GTGGATCGTCAGCGGCAGTACGTGGTGCCTGTAGACCCGGGGCTGACCCCAGCACCGACGCCTTCATAACCCGCCACGCCATCTCCTGCGAATGGTCCCCTCGCCCAACTTACGACGTCCACCTCTCTTCCGCCTTCGCGGCCTCCTCTGCCTCCGCACACGCCGCCTACGCCGCGGCCGGCGGCCCCACCCCGACGTTTCTTGACGCGGCCGCGGCATCCGCCGCCACCGTCCCCTGCCTCGGCGCGACGGCGTGGCGCGCCGCGACGCTCAACCCCGCACAGCTGACGCTCGGCGTGGTCGCGTTGTGCGAGGCCGATGAGCGCTTCGCGGCGTACACCCACGCACCCGTGTGCAGCGTTACGCGTGAGAGCGGGGGGTGGGCGGTGCGTGGGCCGCGCGGGTGTATGTGGGCAAAGAAGGTGGTTTGGGCGACGAACGCGTATGGCGCGGGGCCGGTGCGGGGGCTCGTGGCGCCGCAGGGCGGTGAGTCTGTACTGTGGAGAAGAGGAGGCAGGAGGGGTCGAGGGAGAAGTGGGAGAATGAGGTGACGGAGGAGGGGCGAACGGACGAGTTAAGCACGCTCACACCAGCCCAAGCGCACAAGATCCCGCCCGCACCCGCGCCCAACTTTCCCGTCTTCGAAGGCAGCTACTCCCTGCGCCGCTCCGCCGACGTCTTCTATTCAGTGTACGTGCCCCGTCCCGCCTCGCTGACACCAGCGCTCCCCGGCCAGACGGCAGCATCGTGCTCGGCGCCTCGCGCGGCTCGTGGCCCGCACACCTCATCGCTGCGAACCAAGGATGCACCGACGACTCGGGGTGGCATCCCGCCGTCGCGGACGCCGCGTGCCGCTCGTGGGCGGCGCTCTTCCCCTCTGGCGGGTGGAGCGTGGACGCCAACGCCGACGCCGACAACCCGGGCGGCATGCAGGGCGCCGAAGCGTGGACGGGCATCATCGGGTTCACGCGCGACATGGTGCCCCTCGTCGGCGAGGTCGAGGGGCAGTACGTCGCCGTGGGGTATTGCGGGCACGGTGGGTGTTCAAGATAGAGGGCGAGCTGACGCAAGGCATGGCGCGCATGTTCGTCACTGCGCCCGCGTTGGCGCGGTACATCCGCACAGGCGAGTGGGACGCCGCGATGCCTGCGAGTTTCCGTGTCACTCCGCAGCGGCTGGCGCGGCTGCGGCTGTAGAGACTGTAGTCGCTTGCCGCTGTGCATTCCATCGGCCACACTGTACTGTGGCTGTCCGCGTCGTCGTGGCTGTGCGCGCTCGACCAATGAATCTGAGAGTCGCTATGCCATCAGCATTGCTGAGCTGGCGCACGCCTCGCCCAAGCCCACTGACGATGGCCATTCCCGCCACGCTCGCACGCACAGACGGCACGCGCCGCTCGGCAAGCCGCCCAATCGCGGAATGGAGGGATGTGGCTAAACTCGTCCCCGCCGACTCGCGGCGGCGGTGGTGGAGGTGCCTGGCGATCAGATCGACAGGGCGGCAGCAGAAGCCAGTGGGATCTCTGTCCACACGAGCGCAGCGAGAGCATGAGCGCATGAGAGCATGAGAGCATGAGAGCATGAGAGCATGAAGCACACGCGCTAAAACACGGGTAGCATGCCAAGAGGCTGAGCACTACGCTGCATACCGCGACTCTCTCACGCTCGGCACCGTCGGCGGCGTGTGCCTTAGCTGGCCGGCGCCAGACGTCCGGCACATGAGAGATCGGTGACTCAGGGCTCCGCACGCGAACAGAAGGAGAACTTGGGGAGGTCGCACGAGCACGAGCTCGGCGACGGGTCCAGCACGCCGAGCGCCAGACGGGCGACGGAGACCGACGGAGACCGACGGGGACCGACGGAGACCGACGGGGTAGATGAGCACGAACGATCGGCGTCACATTCGCCAGTTAGTCAGTCACCTGTCGAGGTGGATGAACGGGCCCGCCCCGGCCAGATCCGCCTGCACCGGATGAACAGGATGAATACATCAAACAGAGCCCAAGGGGAAGCGGAACAAGGTGCGCGTGACGCGGTCAGCTGACCGATGCGCCGAGAGCGGAGAGCGGCGCATGCCGCTAGCTGCGGGCTTCAGAGCTACTGCGACAAGCTCTTTTCGCGTGGCGGCGGGCGCGGGCGCGGGCGCGCCGGCGCCGGCGCTGGCGCGCGCCGCTCCTCTGCGCCGGGCAGGGCGGCGTGCGCGGCCTGCGGCGACGTCGCGCTCTGCCGGCGCAGGAGGGACGGCGGGATCGGCGCGGGCAGCGGCGCGTGCGCGAACGCGATCGTCGACCCGCGCCGCGGCGTGCTCGGCACGAGCCGCGGCGGCGCCTTGCCTGCGGACGGGGAGCGCGCGTGCCGCCCCGCCGCTGCCGCCGCGCGGATCGGCGCGTCTTCCGGCAGGCTGCGCGAGAGGGGGGGCGCGTGCGCGCGCGCGCGCGTGTCCGCGACGGCGACGGGGCGGTCCGCGCGCACGGGCACGGGCACGGGGTATTCGAACGGCCCGAGTTCTGCTGTTGGTGTGTTGCGGAGCGCGGGGTCGGGGGCCGGGAGGGGGAGGGGGAGAGCGGGGAGATGGGATGAGCCGTGGAAGAGGAGGTCGGGGTAGAAGTGTGCGTTGCGTGGACTCGTCTTTGGGCTTTGGAGATCTGGCGCCTTCGGCGCAAGGGCCGAGTACGTCGGCGTCGGCGTGCTCGCCGGCGTCAATGGCGGCGCGGAGGATGCAGGCGAGAGCGCCGTGTCGAGCGGCAGGCTGGGGCGCGGCATCGCGCCAGGTGTGGGAGATGCAGGATGGAAGTGTGCCGGGAACATGTATACTTGGATATATCGAGTGGACTGGACTACGGACCACCTGACACCGCCGGCACGCTGGCGGACCACGACAACTGGCACCGGCCGGGCCTCGCCTCGCGGGCTCGCGGGCTCGCGGGCTCGCGGGCTCGCGGCCTCGCGGCTGACGAGACACGACGAGTACGAGAGTTTACGATGAATGAGGCAGGGCGATCCAGGCACTTGGGCAGGGCAGGCGGGGATCGGAGGCAGATCCTGCAGTTCTCGCGCGCCGCCACATTCCAGGCACATCCATGTCAGTTTCAGCATCCGACCCAAGACCCGCGATGGACTGTGGCGATTCCGCTCCCACGGTCCCCCTGGGTCAGCTGGCCAACCTTGCGGCCTGTTGTCGCCTGCTGACTGTATGACTGTAAGCGAGCTCGAGGCGCACAGGCATGCATTCCCGACAAACAGCCTCGCATCTGTCTGGCATGTTTCCAGCAGAGCCGTGGCTTATGTGATCTTTTACTGGAATTGGGGATGGGTTGCTGGAACTTGACAACTCGATGCCGACACCAAAATCGACACCACCGACGACGACGCCGGTGCGGATGTTCGGAGAAACAACTAGGGCTCTCCTCGGTCTGTCTGTTGAGACCGAGAAAACGCATGCCCACCTGTACCACATTTATGGAGAGCAATACAGGTATCGAGCGAATACACGCAAGCTAGAGCTAGATCGGTCAAAGGCACGAGATCTCGCCAGGCCCACATCACATCTATTCATAGTGAAGCACGTCGACCCGTCGCGTGTGCACATGGTCGTGTGCAGTGCGTGTACGAGAGCGAGTGTTCGTGCGTGCATTCGTGCTTGGCCGCGACGATCAGCAAGACATTCACACGGCGCCTTGTTCGCGCTTCACACGCTGCGCCGCACTCTATCTCCCTGCGTTTCGACCGCCGCCACCCCCGCCTGCAGCGTACGTGCGAGGCGCTTGCAGGGCCCCGCGATACACTGGTGTGCCGTGCGCCACGCCAGGTCGCCATGCCCATGTGAACGCCACGGCGTGGCGCTCTCGGTGTTCCCCATCCCCAATCCGTCCACTCTCATCTCCGACGCCCGACTCAGCCGTTCTCCACCTCCTCGGGTCTGCCGCACGTACAGCCGACAGCCAGCTGACCGCAATTGAAGGTATGGACCTGTCAGCTGACAGCACAGGCTGATGAGATGTTCCGCGCACGACCTAGCGCGTAATCGACTGCCTGATCTCCATGGACGTTATGATCGAACAGAACGTTCTCACGCTTTCGGCGGTCATGGCATATCGCCACCGTCTCTATCATCTAGCCATGCCTACGCTATCCGCTTATGCAGCTCGTCCCGCGCCGCCTCGCACATGGCCTCCGCCCCGTCCCCATAGATGATCTTGTACCGCTCCTCGAGGTCTGCGTGGATCGCCGCCATGTCGTTCCCCATGCTCTCCTGCCAGTCGTACATGCGCCCGAGGTGGCGCGAGCTCTCCACCAGCCAGTGGCCCCGCTCCCGCCGCGCCGCGTCGTACGCTTCCAGCACCACGGGGAGGTTGGCGCGCGTCGCTGCGGGGTCGGACAGGAGGGTTGCCAGAACCGCCGCGTCTTCGATGCAGAAGCCCGCACCGGCGCCGTGGTGTGGCGACGTGGCGTGTGCTGCGTCGCCGGAGAGCGCGACGCGGCCGCGCGAGAACGAGGGCACGGGGTTTGCGAGGTCAAAGATGGCCCACTGTGCGTCAGTTATGCGCGCGCAAAGGGAAATGGCGCGGAAACGTGCGTTTCTCCTGCACTCACCACACTCAGCGTCTCGTCGCACATCGACAGCAGCGCTTGCACAGCCGGACTCCACCCCTCAAAGTCCTTGAGCGCCTGCGCGCGCGTGCCTTGCCGCGTCAGCCGTTCCGCATCCGGCCACTCCCCGTCATCCTGATGGAACGCGACCACATTCAACGTCTTGCCATGTGCGACCGGGAACGTGAGGAGATGTCCGTTCGGCCCGAGCTAGTAGTCAGTACGTCACGGCCCGGCAACGCACATGCATGAACGCGTTGCCTCCCAAGTCGTCACCGAGGGCCGCGCGCGCCTTCTCGATCGGGATGAGCCCACGATACGCATACTTGTGCGTGTAGGAGGGATACGCACACGGCGCGTCGTCGCCGAACATGCTCCGCCTTACGCGCGACTTGATCCCGTCGCACCCAATAACCACGTCGGCGCGCGCCGTGCTCCCGTCCTCGAAGCGCATCTCGGCTTCCTCCCCGTCCTGGGACACGGAGACGAGGCCCTTGCCGAACCGCGCAATGTCCGCGGGCAAGAGCTTGACAAGCTCGTCGAGGAAGTGGGCGCGGTGCACCGCGTTCTGTCCGTATGCGCTGCGCAGCGTGAACTCGATCTTGGGCATCTCGCCGGGCCCGAGGCTCGGGTCGTACCCCTTGACGTAGTCGAAGAAGACGCCGGCGGCGCGCTTCTCGGGCGAGGTCACGCGCGTGCACACCCGCTCAAAGGCGTCGTACACGCCCATATGGCACACCTTCATCGCCTCGACCGCGTTCGGCGTAAAGCTCACCCCGGCACCGATCTCGCCGAACGCCGCCGCCCGCTCGTATACTGTCACGTTGACGTTGCGCGCGTGCAGCGCGATCGCGAGGGTCAGGCCCGCGATGCCGCCACCCACAATGGCAACGGTAAAGTCCTTCGAGGTCATGGTCTTGGTCTTGGTGAGCGCTCGCTGTTCGGCCTTGGCTTGACGTCCAGCGCAGGATATATGCAAGCTGAGGATATCGGAGGCGGCGACATGCGTGTCCTGGGCGTTGATGTTGATGGTGGGCAAGAACGGCCCGGGTCTGAGATGTCCGGAGGCCGGCAATTACCGTCGCGTTGCGGCGAGGACCAAAACTCGCACACCCTCAAAACCAAAGAATTTGAAGTATGTGCCGCCGGATATCGAGCCTGTATCTGTGCTTTCACCGAGCGTTGGCTTGCAAGGTATGCCAAGAACAGGAGTAGGGTATGAGGCGTCGGTGAGCCGCCTCGTCAACTTCTCCTTTGGAAGAAGTGTCGCACGAGAGAGGCTGAAGTGCTGCTCCGACCCCGATCCGACGTGCTCGGGAGCGGAGCCAGCATGCTCGAGCGCGAAACGTGGTGACCTTTTAAGAGACCACCAGTCGGAAGGGCCGGGCGATGGAAAGGGCCGCGATAGTCGCGGACTCGAGAGAAAGGCAGCGGTGACATGTGGGACAGGACCTGCTGCTGGTCTGTTAGATCTCGACCTCTTACACAACTGTTACGTCCCAACTCGCTGGAGTTGGAGAACGCAGCCTGAAGAAGGCTTGAACTGGGTGATAAAGTGGGCACTGAAACGTCAGTGTCATCTGCGACGAACTGGCATGGCAGCATCGCCTGAATAATCCGAGTTTATGAAACACAGCAATAAATCCAGGTATTATGTGTATCCTTGATGTCGCAGAGAGTGTGTAGTAGGTACGTGATCGTGTGAGCCTTCTGTAGGTGGAAGAACTGGGACATCGATCGAGGTATTTTCGGTAACGCCTCCCCCACTCTGCAATGAGTGTGCCGTCAGAGCGGGGCCCAGATCCGGGAACGCCGCGGTCATCTGGTCCGTTCACCTCCGGAGAGAGGAGTCGCAGGCATGAGCCAGAGGTGCACGCCTGTTGCCTGTCGGTGAGTACCGTGGTGACGCCTCGATAGAGGCAGGCAATGACGCCGGCGGGCAGCGGATACACCGTCTGGCCAAGCGAATACACTCCAATGCCGCTCCGAGTCTCTGAGGAGCCGAAACAGAGCCGCGGGTGTGACGGGACGCTGTTAATTATTGGAAGACACAAAATGGTGGGAGCGGGAGGTTGTGGATGCTCTGTCCACGGTGTTGATCCGGTGACTCAAAGATCCGATCTCGGCCAACATTCCGCCCACCGCACGCCGCACTTGTCCATCACTCCATTCGCCATACGCAATCCGCCACTAGCGCACCAGCACAAGCCATGAACATCGATCAGCTGGGGGACCTCTTCGGCCCGCGGCAGATGCGCAACTGCCTGCCATGCAAGAAGCGCAAGATCAAATGTGCGTGCCCCCCGCGGCGCTGCTGACCACAGGCGACAGGAAGATCCCATGTACGGCCGTTGCGAGGCGCAGCTAACGACAGGCGGGCCATGTGCGCTGCGGAGGGACATCAAGAGCTGTACCCCGGCGCTTGGGCGTCTCGAGGAGATGGGCGGCGACGTCGCGTCCGTGTCCTCGACAGCAGAGTGCGTTGACTTCAGTCCTCCACCACGAATCCTTTCCTCTTATATATGCTGACCCCAGCGGCTACGTCTCCTCGAATGAGTTCCAGCTTCTCGCGAGCAAGGTTGAAGCGCTGCAAGCTAAGGTGCAGGAGCTCGAGGCGCGGGTCGGCTCCGGACCCCGGCATCCCGCGTCGTCGGCGAGCACGGCTGCCTCACCTGCGCCGCAAGCCAAGGTCATGAGCCGGCGGCACATGGCCGACGACGAAATGGTGTACGCCCTCGAAGACTTTCAGGGTGGGCACCGCATCAACGCGATGCGTAACATCAGTGACTCCCCGGAGATCACGACTGTGCGCTTTGGCAATGGCGAGGGTGGGCACGACGTGTCGACTGCGCCCGCGGATGTCACCGACGACCACCCCCTTTCGTTTGTCATCACGCCCGGCACAGACTACCTCGCCAAAGCTCTCGCTCTTTTACCGGACCGACAGACGTGCGAACTCCTCGTCAACCAGTACTTTGAGAACGTGGAGTGGTTCCAACGTGTGAGTTCTTTGCCCCGATCACTCATTCCTCAACCGAGCCCCATTCCGCACTCTTCTGCTGTGGCGCCGCTAACGCCAGTGCCTGCACTACCCTTCGTTCATGCACCAGTGCCGACAGTTCTGGACAGCGCCGCCACCGACCAGCCAGCTTAGTGCTGATTTCATCTGCACATACATCATGGTCATCTGTCTGGGCCTGCGGACTGTCGTCAACAACTTGCCCGGGATGAACAACGCTCTAGCTCTCGCCGACCAGCTGTATCATGTCGCCGAAGGCGTGATGTGGTGCTCGCGCTTCCTGAACCGCCAGACGTTCGAGTCCCTACAAGCCATCTCACTGATGACTATTTACGGGTTCGGCATGGAGGATGGCTCGGATGCGACCTGGGCTCTCCTCGGCACGGCTGTCAAGATTGCTCAGAACCTCGGCATGAACCGTCTCGAGGCTGAGGCGGCTGACAAAGTGTGGTCACCCGTGTGGAACACCCGTTTGAGACGCGAGATGGGACGGCGCGTGTGGTGGACATTTGTGTCCCTCGACTGGGCACATGCCATCGCCCACGGCTCTACCTGTGAGACATAGTTGTGCGCTGGGCTGATACCAGACGTGATTCACCCAACGCAGAATCTCACCGCGCTGCCGCTCAATATCGAGGAAGAGCTGCTTGACGACCCTAACGCGCAGCCGCAGCCGCTTTCGACGTATACTGTGAGTGGTACAAGTTATGGCGTAGACTGACCCCAGCACATGAGCATGCACATCTTCCGATTTAAATTCGTCCAGATGTACCGCGAAATCACGGACCACATGATGACGCACCAAAACCCGTCGTATCAGTTCATCCTGGCGTAAGCTCATTAGGCGTTCACAAACTGACAACAGCATGGACGATCAGATTATCGAGTTGGCGCGCAATTTGCCAAAGCACTTTGGTGACCCGACAGACCTGCCTGGCGATGCGGAGCCTAGCCTTGTCCTCGACAGCATCTTCCTCAACATCACCGCCAACATCCGTCTGATCCGCTTGCACCGGCCTTACCTTCTCCGAGGATATCAGGACCCGCGCTACCATCGGTCGAAGGATCGCTGCGTGTCCGCTTCGCAAACGGTGCTTCAGCTCATCGAGCTCGCGACCCGTCGCGCACCCGTTCTTCTCGGCTTCTGGACTGTGCTATTCTACGCCTTTTCAGCGGTGCGTTGCGACAGCTCTCGTGTTGCGCTCCTCAGAACTCAGGCTGACTCCAGGCTGTGCCCGTGGTCATCGATCACCTGTTTGACCCGACGGATGAGAAACGCCAAAGCGTGCTCCAAATTCTTGAGACGTTCCGCGAGCACACAGCCCTCTCACCTGCAGCCAGGAAGAGCGTGTTTGTTCTCGAGCGCCTTCTCGAGGTCGAGAACCAGTTCCGTGATCCAACTACGGGAGAAGCGTCGATGAAGCGCCGCCGTGGCGAGAACGGGCCGGAGGCCGCAATGTCACCTGGCACGCAGCAGGCGGATGAGCTGCTGCGGTCGACGATTCGGAACATCCTCGAGCGCGCGACGCAGAGCGAGTCGACGCAGCAGCGCAACATGCCCCCACCAATTGTCGGCGGCAGGGCCAACGCTCAGGAGCAGCATGGTACATTCAATGAGCTTGCACCAGCAGACGCGCTCGGGCTTGACTCGATGTGGGCGCCGCCGTTCGACATTCTAGACACGCTGTGGACTCAGACGGAAAACTCTTGGCCCGCACAGTAGATCAGGTCTTCACCCACTTGTATTCTTGCTATCTTGGATAAGAATGTAACGCAGTCTGGCTGAGCCAATGAGTGACCACCCATTTCCAGTACTCTTGGCACAACCAACGATTCTTCTCACATCTATCAGTGTTCACCTTCTTGGCACGATCACGGATGACATGTACACGGGAGACCAGTATGTAACATGCCATAATCCTTCCTAACTATGACAACCTTCCTAACAATCCGCCCAGCTCTAGCCCAACAACACTCCCAGACAAGATTATCAACGTAAACGAACAAGAGCGTATGTGCACGCCCATTTAGAGGTGCCAACGCCATGCGGGGTGCTTCCAGTCCATCTCCTGGATCTCGATCTGGGTCTTGCCCGCAAGCTTCTCGTCGATCTCGGCGTCGGTGAGCGCGGAACGCTTCTTGTTGTCAACGCCAAGGTAGAGGAGGAGGAGGATGGAGGTGATGAGGATGATGCAGTTGCCCGCGAGGTTGAGGCCGTTGCCGATGTGGAAGTCGGGGCCGTCGTGGGGGAGGTATGACCAGGTGGAGATGAGGCCGCCGATGTTGCCGACCATGACGTTCCACCCGATGGCCGTCGAACGCGCCGAGTCGGAAAGAACGTTGACAGCGACCTGGGCGTTGCAGAGGGCGCCGAAGGGGAACGCGCCGCTGATGGCCAGGAAGACGGCGCCGTAGCGCGCGCGGGGGTTGGTGGTGGCAAGGAAGATGATGTAGCCCGAGATGGCGAGGCAGGCCGACGAGATGAAGTACACGAGTCGCCTGTTGGTCTTCCACGACGCAAACGGAATAATGAGGTTGACGACGACACCAACAACGTATGGCGGCACCGTCCAGAGCTGCTTGCGCACAAGCGTCTCTTTGGGGTAGATGGTGGCAACAATTGTGGGGGTGAAGAACGCAATGCCTTGGACGGTGATGTTGACGAATAGGAAGATCCACGATGTCGCGATCGTGTTGGGGTTGACGATGCCGGCAATGAGCTTCTTCTTGTCGAGCTTGTCCGTGACCTCGGTGGTGCCGACGTTCTCAGACTTGACACGGGCAATCGCAAGCGCCTTCTCCTCCTTGCTGAGCCAGCGTGCCGTATTCGGGTGGTCCGTCATGGTAAAGTACGAGATGACGCCGACGCCCATGGTGATGATGCCCTCAACGAGGAAGAGCTGCTGCCAACCCTTCACGCTGCCGATGCCGGGCAGAGAGAGAATCGCGCCCGCGAGAAGACCACCGAACGCACCGGCCAGGGGCGCAGTGCAGAGGTACAGCGCAAGACGGAAAATCAGCTCGCTCTTCCGGTACCAGCGCGAGAGGTAGTATGCGATGCCGGGGAGAACGCCTGCCTCAAAGACACCGAGGAGGAAGCGCACGGAGACTGCCGCGCCAAACGAGTGCACAAACGCCGTTGCCATGGACATGAGCTGGGATCAGCATGGTCCGGGGTGATCTCGGGGCGTCTTCGGGGCATCGCGAAAACACCACAATACTCACACCAAAGCCGACCGTAATTGCGGGCAGGAACTTGCCGGGCCCAATCCACTTGCACGCGATATTGCTCGGAATTTCGAAGACGATGTAGCTCACGTAGAACGATGTAAGCAAGATGTTGTACTGGAATCCCTTGAGGCCCAGGTCCTTCTCCATTCCAGCAATTTTTGCGTTGCCGATGTTCGCACGGTCGATGAAGCACCACAGGTAAATCATAGCGACGGTTGGGACGACGAAGAGGTCGATTTTGCGGACAAGGCGCTTTTCTGCAACCGGGTCGAACTTGACGAGAACATTGCCGTGCTCGTCGGTCACCGTGTGCCCGCGCTCTGCGAGGCTCTCGAGATTTTGAGGCAAGCCATGGTGCTTCTCGTCAATGTGGTCGATGGAGCCCTTGTGCTCGTGTTCGATGGCGGACATGTTGTTGATGCGGGATGCAGATGGACGTCGCCGCCCAAGCAGGATATTTGTACCCAACCGGCTGTCGCGCGGTCGGAACTGCCGAGTCGTGTCTTTGCAGAGGGCTCACTCCTGCGCCCACCTGCCGCTCGTTGTAATGGGACCTTGGACCTTGCACCGATGCCGTGAAACTGACAGGATGTCACTGGTGACTCCAGCATTCTGCCGCGCCTGGGCCGTGGCCCCGTGGGAGTCGTCTGGGTCAGACGACAGGAGGTGCCAAGACCCTGTAACAGGACACTGGAGCAGGGAGAGATGAACCAAACGCCACTCGGGGACCCCGTTGGGCTCAGACTGGCACGCCCAGAGTTAACGAGCTTGGAGAGCTGGAGCAGCTGAGAAGGGAGTGCGGTATCCACACGGAATGGGGTCACGAGCCGCCCTACCGCGCCCAACCGCGACTTCCCCGGCCCACCTTGGCCGGCCTCCATGCCGCCGGATGCAGAAATCGTTATTGATCCCTGGTTTTGCCGACGCGCTTGGCATCGCACTAGGCCGAAAGGCCTCGTGGAGCGGAAGTGTGGCGCAGATAACGACAAATGGGTCTCCATAATCTCAGAACGAGTCTGTCAAGGTTGTCTGTAACGATACAACGATGAGGCCGGGACTCCGCATAAGATCTCTGGGGCCGCGAAGTCTCCAGCCAACTGGGAGTTGCGGCACGTGGCTGATTTCCATGGTCACGCGTCACCAAAGCTCGATGTGGCATCGCTGAAGGTGGGGGTGGCGAGCCTGGCGCTTGTGGCGCAGATCGGCAGAAGAAGATCGGATCTCATCTCATCACCTGCAGTAATGGGCGTAAACACATTCTTTCATGTGTGTTTTCGGCGCCGCGTCGACGCCTTCAGACGACCAACGCCGCGGCGAGCTCAGTCACCACACCGCGGCAGCCTCCCCGCGGTGAGTCGGGCGTCTTCGAAGCGCGGTGGAGCACTGCGATGCATGCATGCCTAACGGAGAGACCGAGGCACGGCGCAGCTGCAGTATGTGGCGCTCAGCACATCGCCAGTTATGTGGATGTTGGGTGGGGGGAATACGCGGGATTCCCGCGGTACCACCGTGGCTTGGCCGCGGGACGTCTAGATCACCAGACTTCGACTTCGGTGGAATGACCTTACTCTTGACGCCTCTACGTGCCAGTTCAAGCGCCGAGCCGACTGGCCTGTCACAGACGGGCCGCGGCGGCCCCTTGACTGGTCGACATGTTCGGAAGGCCGCTTTGGCTGGCCTTCATGACGCACACTTGTCGCTTGAGGTTGTAAACATAAAGTGACACGAGCCCAAGTGACAAGCCCCAGCAACCAACAACCTCTCGATCACGACAACACTCCAGCACACATCTACAGCATTCCCATTCACATTCACAACCGAAATGTCTCCTAGCACCAACCCCAACTGGAAGCAGCTTAACATTGCCAGTAAGTCCGCCGACGCGAGGAGCGCATGCAACTTCTGGCAACTCGGCTAACCCGCAGTCGTTGGCGGCGGCCTCGGTGGTATGGCGGCAGCGGTCGCGCTCCGTCGCGCGGGGCACAAGATCTCGGTCTACGAGCGTCGTGACTTCAAGGTTGAGGTCGGCGCGTCGATCTCGTGCGCTGCCAACGGCGGCCAGTGGCTCAAGGAGTGGGGTGTCGACATTAAGCGCGGCAAGCCCGTCAACCTCATGAAGCTCACGATGCGCGACTGGGAGACGGGCAAGATCCTCAACCAGTACAACCTCGACCACTACGAGTCCGACTGGGGAATCCCCTACTACATGTTCCACCGCGTCGACATGCACGAGATGCTTCTCGAGTGCGCGACGTCGCCCGACGGGCCCGGAGAGCCCGTTTCGGTTGTTGTCGACCACATCGCCAAGTCGCTCGACTACGAGAAGGGCATCGTGACCTTTGAGAACGGCGAGGTTGTCAAGGCGGACATGATCATCGGCTCGGACGGCATTCGCTCCGCCATCCGCAAGGAGATTGGTGTCATTCCCCAGATGCGCTCCGCTCCCCAGACCTGCTACCGCTGCAACGTCAAGAAGAGCGACATCGAGAAGTTTGGCCTCATGCCCGATGCCGTTGACCCCGCCATCCAGTTCTGGGGTGGCTTCACCAAGGGCGACATCAACCGCTACTACAAGATCGTCATGTCGCCGTGCTCGGACGGCGAGATCGTCTCGTTCTACTGCTTCATGCCCACGGAGATGACCAACCACACCCAGGAGGGCTTCGTCTTTGCCGAGGTCCCCGTCTCGGACATCATGGCTGGCATGTACGACCGCCTGGACCCCCAGTGCTCCGACCTCATCAAGAACTCGATCGACCGCATGCCCTGGCGCCTCTACGTCCACCAGCCCTACCCCTACTGGCACAAGGGCAAGGCGTGCATCCTCGGCGACGCCGCGCACCCCATGATGCCCCACCAGTCCCAGGGCGCCTGCACCGCCATCGAGGACGCCGCCGCTCTCGGCATCATCTTCGGCAAGGACTACGACTTCAGCAGCAACGTCGAGGCTGGCCTCGCGTTCTACGAGCACATCCGCAAGCCGCGTGCCACCCGCGTCCAGGCTGCCTCGGCCCGTGCCACTGAGAACCTCAACGAGCGCATCGGCTTCACCTCGCTCTCGGCGCCCGACGCCGCCCTCGCCGCCAAGGAGGGCAAGCTCACCGTCAACGAGATGAACGAGTACAACATGCACGAGCACATCGCCAAGGAGGCCAAGCACTTCAACAACCTCTACTCGTCCCCCAAGGGCTCGCCCAAGGCCGCCAACGCCGCTCTCAGCGCATAAACGCGGCTGCCTACAAGCTTTCGCATTTCAAATCTTTTAGCATAGGTGTTGTAGTTTCCCGGGTTCACTGTCGGTGCGATTCTCGTCCCGTTCATGTATGAAGTGAAATTTGCGGTCCTCTAAGCCTGTGGAGTTTATCTGACCTGTGGAGTTTAGCCAGTCGAAATGTCGAGCAGCGAACGGCTGACACTCTGCAAACACACTAAGCCTTTCCGGCTCTAAGATGCAGTTGTTTAGGAATCTGCTGCACCTCAAAGCTCTGAAGAGCTCGCCTTAGCAATCCATAAGGTGGAGAAGAGGCGTCCGGCGCTGGGGCAGATTTCGAAAGAACGCGTCCACCAGCTATGGCCAAGCGCACCTGCACGCCAACTCGGACCTGCTGTTATCATTCCGATCTGCTGGCCCACATGATCAATCTGACGTCGTCACATTCCCTTCTTGCTGCAGTGTCCATTCCTGGGTCGTTCACCGCAACGTCACCCACGCCATCAGAGTCACTGCTTCGGCCTCAAACTGGTTCCCGAGATATGTTCGGCTGCCCCGCTGCCCCGATATCGAGATCCATAACTGATACGGCCGTGGCGCCGCCGTCGGCGTCCCCGCAATGCATTCGTGGTCTGCAGAACTGGATGTGTGGTGGCGCTGGCGGATATCGCCGGACCCCACGGGGCGTCATGAGCAGTCTGACTGCCAAGTGGGCATCACCCCCTGGCCGGTGGCGCCGCGGTGATGCCGTCGGGTCGGGAGCGCGTCGAGTGCCGCACCGCGCTCACTCTCCCCCACGTTCCAGCCTCGTCTAACGTTCTCAAACCTCACTGCAGCTCGAGCTATGCACATGCCTGCCGGTCCTGACTCAGAGCAGGTGGGCAGTTACCCGGTGACCGCGGTGGTAGTACCGAGACGTGGCGCACATTGGACCCAAAGTTGCCGAGGCAATCCCGCCCAGCTCAGAGTATAAGGTGTAGTTGAGAGTGCCCCGCAATCAGCATCAACAATTGCCCCGCTTCGGTCACTGCTACTACTAGTGAGTGAGGCCTCGACAACAACGCTGACCAGCAGCTTTCACCTCAACTCTATCCATCCACACAAGCAATATGCGCGGCAAGGTTTCTCTCGAGGAGGCTTTCGAGCTCCCCAAGTACGCGGCGCAGACCAAGCAGAAGGCCGAGCTGTACATCGCGCCCAACAACCGCGACCGGTACTTTGAGGAGATTCTGAACCCGTGCGGCAACCGCCTCGAGCTCTCCAACAAGCACGGAATCGGCTACACCATCTACTCGATCTACTCTCCTGGCCCGCAGGGGTGGACGGACCGGAAGGAGTGCGAGGCGTACGCTCGCGAGTGCAACGACTTCATCCACAGCGAGATCTCCAAGCACAAGGACCGCATGGGCGCGTTCGCCGCGCTCTCGATGCACGACCCCAAGCAGGCTAGCGAGGAGCTCACCCGCTGCGTCAAGGAGCTCGGCTTCCTCGGTGCGCTCGTAAACGACGTCCAGCACGCTGGTCCCGAGGGCGAGGAGTATATCTTCTACGACCAGCCCGAGTGGGACATTTTCTGGCAGACTTGCGTCGACCTCGACGTCCCATTCTACCTCCACCCCGAGCCACCCGTCGGTTCGTACTTTAAGCAGCAGTACGAGGGCCGCAAGTACCTCATCGGTCCCCCCGTGAGCTTCGCCAACGGTGTCTCGCTCCACCTCCTCGGCATGATCGTCAACGGTGTCTTTGACCGCTTCCCCAAGCTCAAGGTCATCCTCGGCCACCTCGGCGAGCACATCCCGGGTGACTTCTGGCGCATCGAGCACTGGTTCCAGCACTGCTCGCGCCCCCTCGCCGAGTCCCGCGGCGATGTCTTCGCCAAGCACCCCCTCCTGCACTACTTCCGCAACAACATCTGGCTCACCACCTCGGGCAACTTCTCTACGGAGACGCTCAAGTTCTGCGTGGACCACGTCGGTGCCGACCGTGTCCTCTTCTCCGTCGACTCGCCCTATGAGCACATTGACGTCGGCTGCGGGTGGTACGACGACAACGCCAAGCAGATCATGGAGGCCGTCGGCGGCGAGAAGGCCTACAAGGACATTGGCCGTGACAACGCCAAGCGTCTGTTCAAGCTCGGCAACTTCTACGACTCGGAGGCGTAGGCGGGCTTGGTGTTGCATTGCAGTGTGTATTTTCGTAGGCATCATGTGATGGGTGTGTATTTGTGAGCTACTCGCAGTCCTCGTAGCATCTCGGTGCTGGACTGAACTGACTCCTGACGGTGGTCAATCCTTGTTAGCGATGTGGCCCTTGAGACTTTGACCGTGCGTCCAATTTGATGTCTGACATTTCACCAAGACTGGAACACTGTTACACTGCCCCAGCATTAGATGCAACAACGCCTAGGTAAGAGTAAACTCATTTGAGGTACCCTCAAAGTCCTCAATACTGCCCGTGAACGGCTTCTTCTGATCCCCATAATACTTGATACGATACGTGCCCGGCTCCGGGTTATCCACAGTTTCCCAGTCAATCTGCACAGTCGACGCGCCCCAGATGACGTCTGTGCGCCTCCACGAGTACACTAAGTGCCAGTCAAAGTCGTCGCGCACGCGTTGCCAGCTGCCGTCGTCCCCACGCATCTCGACGGCCGCGAACGTCCCTTCCAGGCGGAGATTGTTGCGCGGGTTTGCGCCCTGGAACACAGTCTTCACGGTCGCACCGCGCGCGTACGTAGCCAGCGGCTGCGAGAGAACCTGTCCCATTTTCTTGCCGATAGGCGCGTTGTCGTACACAACCGCCGTGACGAAGCTGGCGGACTTGCCCCGGTTATCTGGAGGTGCAGGGCCGCTTGGAGGGACGCTACTGGCTGCGGGCGAAAGGTAGGACATGGCGCCGACCGTGAGGTTGATGTAGGCATTGAGCGTGTCGCGGCCGTAGAGGGTAGAGCTGCCCTCGTAGCGTTGGACGTCATACTCCTCGGGCGTCACCGCGTAGTGGGTGTAGGTGTTCGCGGGACCTCCAAGGACAACGATGGGCTGAACGCCAGCGGGAAGGAATGATTTAGCAGCCTCTCCGATTGCGCTGCGCCACCGCCGCCCGGCCATCGTAGAGGCCTCGGGCGAGCTGACGATAATCACAAGCTGCCCAACGCGGAGAACCTGGATGTCGACAATATTGGCTGTCCACGCAAACGGTGCCTCCATCTCGCCGACATCAAGCAAAATTCTTTTCACGCCCTGGCAAGCTTTCTGGCGCGGCGAGGGTGTCTTAAGGATGCCCCCAACAAACTTCCAGAACGGGTTCGCCTTCACTGTCTGCGCAAAGTCCCCAACGCCAGGCCCATCGGTGGTCCCCGCCGCAAAGGAGTCCCCAAGAGCCGCCGGGCATGTCACTCCCTGTGTCCCGTCGGGGCGCGTGAAGGAGAAGTAGCGCATGTCCTTGAAGAAATGGAACGCCTTCACACTCGGCCCAGTAACAGGCATCCCGCTGTCAATGGAGTCCATAATATTCTTGGCGGCCGCGTATTGCCGTCTCCCGATCTCGAAGGCAGATGCAATTCCGTGATCATTCTTCTCCCACATGGGCCCTCGGCCGTGGCAGCTTGTGGACTTGCCGTCCGCACATGTACTTGTCTCTAGTGAGCATTCGCCCGACCCATCCGTGCACCACTGTCCCAGAACGTTAGGTGAAGTGTCGCCAACATTAGACTGCGAAAAGCCCGCCACAAAACCTGGCGCCGCTTCAGTCGAGGCGCCAAACTCCTTCTCAAAGAGATATGCTGCAACGCCCTTGTTGTCTCCAGTGACATGCGTGTTCGTGTTGTGTGCGCTCGTGCCGTGCACGGCGTACCAGTTGAGAATACCCTGGATCTTACCGTCCGCCCGCTTGAGGCGGAGCAGCGTCATGGTCGTGTCTGTCGTATCGGCATATTGCGCACGCTCAGCCTCCGGATTGGCGAGGAATGCCCAGAGAGAGCGGTTGATCGCACCGTCGTGGACCTTGGCCGTGCCAACAGCGAGAGTGCCCTGCGGTTAGCGCGCTCTGTCGCTAGCTTACCGGAGTGAGGGACTCGTGCGCGCGCTTGACCGAGAGCACAGTGCCGTCCACGATGGCCTGGTAGCTCTGCTTTGTGAACCCGAGCGCCGGCACCTGCGTGAGGACGTAGTTGTGCCACCCACCCGGGCCAGAGTGGGAGTGCGTGCCGACAAGCGCGACGTTGTTCGACGTGTACAGCGCATACTCGCCCCCCAGGGATTGCAACGCCTCGATGACGCCCCGGCGGATGGCCGTGTCGCCGGCGATCGTGTCCAGGACGATGTAGAGGAACCTATCCGCTGGCTTGTTGACGTCGCCAACGATGAACGAACGCGCATAAATGCGTTGCCGCAGACCTGTGCCCTTCTGATCGAGGGACGCGTAGCCGTGGAAGGGGACCTCTACGACCGGGCCGGTAATATCGCCTCTGCCTGCCCCTATCAGATATGTGTCGCCAGCGGCCCACGTCACAACCAGCAAGGCGAGGTGCAGAAGCCAGAACATGTCACTGGGTGTGGCGAGTCTGACTAGATGTTGGAAGACGAGACATGACAAGTGCCTCGCTCATTGAGTCGTTGATGATGGCCTGTCTCGCTGTGTTGAAGTTAACTGCGATCTCGCGTCATGCTTCCGCGTACAGGCCCAGGCGAAGCTGTTCCGCAGGAATGACCCTGGTCGGGAGCGGGTCGGCGAGGGGCGTGGACGTTTCAAGACTTAGCTTGTGGCGCACCGCAGCGTCCGGCTAGAGACAACGCTGGCACTAGTAGTTGTGCAGGCACTGTACAGGCCTGTTCGATCATGAAGGTTATCCGCGTGTGCCACCTGTAGCTCACGACAGTGAATGTGCTGCTTCCCACTGGGGTGCATTTAACGATAGGAGTGGCTAAATTCTGAGTTCGCCTACTCAGACGATGGTTGCCGGTGCGCGTCGCGCGTTAAGGCACACTACGGTCAGCTGATATGCGCAAACTCCCCGATAATCTTGGTTAGCGTGGCCAAGATTGTTGAGGGTGATCTACGGGAGGCCTTGATGCAGGGTGGAGCGAGGCGTCTCAGTCGTCGCTGCTCCCTCGTTCTCCAAGCCGTTGGTCGCCCGTACGCCAGTCTATGTGTTCCGCTCTAGATACGCGTTAAAGGCGATTACGCGGCGACGCCTTAGCGATTTTTACGACTAGTGACAACGCACAACCCAGCTGCTAGCCATGCTGAGGTCAGATACTATAGCTCATAACCGAATGATGCCAACTCAATGCCAGTGGGTGGGTGACGTAGTCAAGGACGACTATGCCACGCCACGCCGGAGTGATGGAGACGCCCAGCCCCGTCCGAGACCCGCGGCGCGAGGCGAATGCTAGCTCTCTTGGCGGCGACTGTCGAGCTGACCCCGCAAGGCCCCCGATGCTGCCCCGACCATCTCCCTGCCGTCGCATCCGATAGGGCAGCCTGAGTATCAAATTGATTTGCGCCTCTCAATGAAATGTGGCTGAGCAGCAATCATGTTCCAAGCCAGGACGTTGCGATACTTATGATATTCAGCTTGCGACCTTTTACGCGCCTCTTTCGTGGCTGCTTTGAGGAGGTAATCGACACAGAACAGAATCTGTTGAATGGCTAGTGGCATTAGGCATGCGCATAGCCATTGTCCACGATGTTTGGCAACTTCGACTTCATCGCCCCCATCCGACTCATCTCGGCCCCGCAATAACTCGGGTCTCGAAAGCTGTATGCGGTCGCCGATGAGCAAGCATGGCCTGACCGCACGTTCCGCTCCCTTTGTAGCCGATGCTTCCCGATTCACCGGCGGGAAAATTCAAGCCTCCTTAGTTGTAGCTAGTAGCACATCACCATCAGGCAATTGAGATGGACTCTGGAAAGGGAAGCGCTCGAATTTTGGACAGGCACCGCTTCATTGAAGACGGCGGGGTCCGCCAGGGGGTCCGCCAGCGGCGCTCCGCCATGTGAAGCCTCTCCCCACTCGCGCTTACCTGACAGTTAATCCTCGATTCTCAACCTCTGCCAGTATCGGTATGTGCGGCACGGCACTCACCGCGTGACTCGACAACAATTTCCGGCTCCAACGATACGCCATATCTCACAGATCCCGAAGAGGTCAAGTCCGACGGCATAAGCTGTTGTCTGTCAGCTGAGCCGCGGCACTCCCCTCCTGCTCCCACTAATGACAGTGGTCGTGTGCCAATCATGCGCGTGCAGCCGTGTAGATGGCAGGATTGCAGGATCCTAGCGACCTTGGCGAGCTATTTCCATTTCAATCGCGGCACACGTGAGAGGCAGCAGCCGCCGGCACCCTGCCTGGGAATACGTGTCCCTGGGCTCGGGGACCAGCATGCCCAGGGTGGTCGCCGCTCACCCTTGTCTGATCCTCTGACGAAATCTAATCCCAGTCATACTTCTACTACTCCGTCGCCCGGCCGTGCGGAGTCAGCGCGCAACTCGCCGCCAGCGTCGCCCCACTTCGTCTCCGGGCTCCGGCCGGGCGCGTGGGGGCGAGCGGGGTCGTGTGCCTCTCATCACGAGCTAGGGAGGAAGTGAGAAAAGTTGGGCGGCATGACAAAAGTCATGCCAACACGGGTGCGCGCGATAAAACTGGCTGCTGAGACTGTTCGTTCTGGCTGGCCGTTTTCACCCACTCACAAATTCATACACGCCCCTTGCTCACCCTCCAACACTCCCTCGTCTCCACAGATCCTCCTGTCATGGTCGCGCCGAGCGAGAAGGTCCGGTCGTCGATCGACACCGAGGCCCAGACGGACACCACCTCCGTCGTGCACACCGGCAAGGATTGGACGCGCACGACGTTCACTCCCGCCCTGGAGCCGTCGTACGAGGTCGACCCGTTCTCTGCGCAGCGTGATGTCCACGACGAGGATGATTATGTCGACTTCCGCTCTATGGGCTGGATCAAGGCCTTCCTCATTGCCACAGCAGAGGTGCGTGGCCGTTTTGCGTCTGCAAAGTAACTAACGCACGCAGAACATTGCTCTTGGCCTCCTCTCGTTCCCCTCCATCTTCCTCCGTCTCGGCGTCGTCGGCGGCGTGATCGCCACCCTCGGCCTTGGCACCCTCGCTTACATCACCGCCTGGATGATGATCGAGTTCAAGATGAAGCACATGGGAGTCATGCACTTTGGTGATGCCGGCGGCGTCATCTTCGGCAAGTGGGGACGGCGCATTTTCGGTATCGGTATGATCCTCAAGTCTATGGGTCTTGCTGGTTCGCACGTCCTCGTCGGCCAGGAAGCCATTACCAGCATCTCATCGCACGCTATTTGCAACGTCTGGTGGGGCCTAATCATTACCATCGTGTCAATCCTCCTCGCGTACAACCGCGAGTGGCACAAGCTCTGGTGGATGTCGTTCATCTCTGTCGGCTGCATTCTCGTCGCTTCGATGATGACCATCATCGGCACCGGCGTCCAGTCGCCCTCGCGCCTCGAGACCCCGGCCAAGGGCCCGATCGCGTGGCACGCCACCCCTATCCACCCAACCGTCATGGACGTTGTTGGTGGATACACCAACGTTCTCTTCGCCTATGGCGGCAACATGGCTGTCTTCTCGTTCTGCTCGGAGATGCGCAACCCCAACGACTTCAAGAAGTCTTTCGCCCTCTCACAGATTGTTGCTACCGTCTGCTACTGCATCGTTGGTGGCACCATCTACTCGTTTGGTGGGCAGTACACCACCTCGCCGGCCCTCACCATGACCTCGACTCCGGTGCACATCACCTCGTACTCGATCGCCCTCGTCACTATCATGGTCTCCGGTATTCTTGGCGCGAACGTCGGCGCCAAGTACCTGTACATCACGTGGCTGCGTGACTCGGAGCTCCTCACTTCGAAGAGCTGGCGCGCACAGCTCGCGTGGATGGGCATGGTCGCCATCGTTTGGGTCGTCGGCTTCCTCGTCGCTGAGCTCATCCCCTTCTTCAATCAGCTTCTCACCATCGTCTCGTCGCTCTTCTCGGTGTGGTATGTGTGCGGCGGGGGCGGCTTCCTCTGGCTGTACGACAACTCGCCGTGGTTCTTCTGGCGTAAGCGCGAGAAGGACGGCGAGCCTCCCGTCCATCGCGCCCTCAACACTCCTGGCAAGAAGATCATGTGCTTCATCGCATTCTTTGTCATCTTTATCTCTGTCGTGACCACCCCGCTCGGTCTCTACGCGGCTGTGCAGGGCATCATTGATGGCTACAGCCAGGGCAAGTTCAGCCGCCCTTTCGCCTGCTAGAGTCGTAGATTGTGATTATCATAGACTCATAGCATGCTTCGTCGGGCCATCGGGGCCACGAAGTCCCCCTCTCTTTTCCTCATGTTCTCGCAAGATGTAACAATAGCCATAAAGGTCCTGAAGCGGATACACAACCCGTGGACGTAGCGAAGTTGCCACATGTTTGCTACCTTATGGACTCAAAAGCCGCAGGATGTTCAGCGCATGGCTCCAATCCAATCCCCGTCGAACTCATCGACGTCTCCATGCGGCAGCCGCGTTCGCGAGAGAGCAATCCCCTCTTGCGACATCTTGCAACACCTAAAAAGCTTGCGCAAGTGCCCCCACTCAGAATCGAACTGAGGGCTAGAGATTATGAGACTCACGTGTTACCATTACACCATAGGGGCTGCTTGCACACAGAATTTCACGATCTTGCCGTGGTGCCAGGCGCATCATCATTTACAGAATTCCTTCGAGAGCTGTGGTTGATCGGTGATTAACGCGGCTTGTTTTTGGCGGATGCAGACCGAGGCCTCGCCGAGCACGACGGGCTTTGCCAGTAGTGCTCCAGATCAGCAAGTCACGGCCGCCCACCCCACCGTCACTGGCTCCCCGCATGTGGTGTTCCAAGAGATCCGGTGAGCCGGCGTTTGCCCTCTGCCTGCTGATAAGCAGCTTATCAATGCGCGAAAGACACACGCGGTTCCGGGGTTTGGGTAAGCGGAATGGCGACATGCGGACAGTGACCTCCCTTGAAGACCGTGACGTCATGTGATGAGAACTGGGTCTGCCATTGCGCCATTAGCCCACATCAGCCACCCGCCTACATAAACACATGTGCTCTCTTCCGCATCAACACTCTCCCACCACAACCAGCCCCGCATCACAATGTCCAAGCCTAGTACGTACTGTCCCGGGAGGGAGGCAGCCGCTGACACCAGCCCTTTACGAGTTTAGCGGCTCTGCCTGGTGCCAGGTCCCCAAGTTGGCGGTCGAGGAGCTTGGGCTGCAGAATGTCGTCGAGTACAAGAGCGTCAACCTTGCCGAGGTGCGTGGATTGCCGGATGGAAGGGTTACAGGAGATGGAGATAGGACCGCACAGCTCGAAGCCGACCGGAGTGCCCCAAGAGATGAATGGCTGACGTGTAGGGTGCCAACTTCAACCCCGAGTTCCTCAAGGTGAACCCTCACGGCACCGTGCCCACGCTCGTCATTGAGGACGGCAACACGCCCAAGAAGTACACCGACTCAACCGTAAGTTCTGGGCTCTGAATTTGGCTCGGTCACGGCAAGATGCGGGAGGGGATGGCCGGCGGCTCCCAGAAGATGACACGTAACGTAGGGCATTCACTACCCTGCGGACACTCATGCCATGTTTTGTTGTGCCTTTGCCTCCCTCGCCCGCTGAAGCCCGTTGCCTCGCCGGAAGCGTCACCTGCTTTCCTGCTGACCACAGAACGCTACCCGCGAGATCCTCAAGCTCGCGCCCAACGCCCCCAAGACCAACACGCACACGGACCACGAGCTTGACAAGCTTATCCGCGAGGTGCACTCGGAGGAGCACGACCCGAACGTTCTCCTCCTTCTGGCCGTCAACGACGAGGACCGCGCGGCGAAAGCGCAGGGCCTTCCCGCCGCCTTCCTCGGCGGCCGCCAGAAGGCGCTGGACCAGTACGCGCCCGCGGGCGGCGAGTTCGCCTCCTTCCTGCAGGAGAAGCAAAAGGGGAACGGCGCCCTGCTGTCCTTCTACACCGGCAATCCGGACGAGGCCGTGCGCCAGAAGATGTACGCCGACGCTGCGGCGCAGTGGAAGAGCGCGGGCAACCTCATCCGCGGCGAGATCACGCACATCCTCCGCAAGACTCCCGGCTCCTTCCTCGGCGGCTCGGACGCGCCAGGCGAGGCCGACTGTGAGACACCAACTAGCTGATAGCTTACCCCAGTCCACCTCATCACGTGGCTTGCACGCATCATTACGGACGCGGGCGGCAAGCCGGGCTCTGTGTCCGGCGAGGCGTTCGCTGCGCTCCAGCAGCGCATTGGCAGCGAGCCGATCGACCCCGTCGTCGCTGGATACTGGGACACGTGGACGCAGCGCCCCTCGTTTAAGAAGCTCGGTGTGCACTAGTTGAAAAATCAACAGGAAGCCAGATTCGTGGCCGAACTAGGGACGGCTTGTAGAAAAGACGCAATGGCGGAGTGCGCCGCATGCAGGATACCTCAGCGCAGCCCACCACTCACATTGCAGACCGCTCCCAACGCTGAGCCCCCTGATAGATATGCCTGACTCTGACCATGATGATTGCCTTTGCCTCGTCCCGAATTCGACGCGTCACACTGAGCTCTGCGCTCCCTCGCTGCCATTTCGTTGAGCAATCCGTCCGTCATGGACACAACGACTCCCAACCCCGCGCGGCCTGCTCAGCACCCTCTTGGCGCTCACTAGCGTCTCCTCGTTAGCTCAGTTGGTAGAGCGCGACACTAGTACGACGCCGCCGCTTGGCAGCGGAAACATGTCGAGGTCACTTGTTCGAGTCAGGTACGAGGAAGATGCGCATAGACAGCTCTTTTGAGTGCGCGACGCGCTTGTGGATGTCTGGAGGCGCGGAGAGGAGGCGAGGCGTGTCGGAGGGCGTGCAGGAGAATGCGGACGCGTAAGGCGTGCCGGGTGTTGGTTCCAATGGCAACAAACCTCGGTCGTCGCCGGGAGGCAGTCTGCGCACCGGTCCTCACGCATTGCGTGCGAGGCATGCGACGACCGAGAGGCACAGAGTCGCTCAGCTGCAAGCCATGTATGTTCCGCAGAACTGGTTGAACTGGGAGGAGGGCGACTTCGCGCTACATGAGGCAACTGGACGCAGAGAGCGTTGGGCTCCGACGGCGGCGCCACTGGCCGCAGCTGTGAGCTGTGACAGCAGCTGTTGAAGGAGTGGGGTCGGCGAGCAACGAACTAGCAGAAGTCCGATGTGACGAAAGCTCGTGTGTCAGGGGGTTACGATCAGAGATGAGAGGCGCGGGAAAGCAGGCCTCAGCTCAGTCTGAAGAGGCGCGCGGATGATCAGTAGCTCCCCCCTCGTCGAACGACGGCAACGCCGCTACACTCTACAAATCCATGCAAATTCAGTTTACTGCGAAGGCGTGTACTTGACGGTCTCGCCGCGCGCCTCCATGCGCTGCTTGGCCTCCTGCAGTGCCCATGCCTGGATGCTGTTGTGCCGACGGGTGGGGCGCGGGTGGAACGGGTAGAGCAATGGAAAGTGGGACGAGCAATAGGATGTGTCAGGAGGGATCCAGCGGGCAATGGAAGTGGAATGCAAGCGATAGTGCAGGTCAAGACGACAAAAACGATTGCGGAAGAAGGCGTCAGCACATATTCACAGCACGCGGAGTATACGCACGAGGTGTCGGGCTTGTAGATGACGATGGCGGTGGCGAGCGCAAGGCCGCCGAAGAAGCCGGTGTAGAAGATGGTCCTGGGGTTAGCGGGAGGGGTGGGCAGGTCGGCCTCGGTTGTGCTCTCTTGCGCAACCGCCGCCGCCAAGACTCACTCCCAGGCCTCACGGACGCGCTTCTGGCCGGCGGGGATCTGGGGTTAGCGTGCGCGGTGCGGGCGATCGAGCGCAAGGTGAAGCGTGAGGAAGGAGAGGAGGCGGTGGAATGCGCGCGGGGTGATTGGCGGACTGGGTGGCAACTGACGAGTCGAACGCAGATGACGGCGAGATGCAGGCGCGGAGCGCATACGAGCGGACGCGACGCGGACGCGGGCGGGGGAACGCGACACGCAGTCCGCCAAGTGTGTCGGCGCGATGTCCGTGTCCGACACCGGCTCCGCGCCATCTCCGACACCCTCCTTCCATGCCCTGCCTCTTCCGCCCACAACCCATCTTCCCCTCCTCCTCCTCCTCGCCTCTCCCTCCCCCTGCCCCCTCTCCCCACCCCTCCCTCCTCCTCCTCCTCCTCGCCTCTCCCTCCCCCTGCCCCCTCTCCCCACCCCTCCCTCCTCCTCCATCTCCGCGATCGCTCTCGCTCTCGCTCACCTCCTCGGAGAAAATGTAGCCCGACGGCTGGTGGTAATGCGGCGTGCTCCCGTAGCGGACCTGGACGGGGCGCGCGGCGCGTGCGATGGGGCGTGCTGCGTGGCGGAGCATTGTGGGTACCGTATCCGTTGTCCGTTGTCCGAACTGTAACAACATCGTCAAGGATGAGTTGGGCGGCGACGGGAGGCGAGGGTCGGCGTTGCCACGTGGCGGGGATTCGGATGTGGCGGTTGTCGCCACCCAACCCCCCCATCCCTGTCAGTCCACCTTGCCACTCGTTCATCGTCCATCATGGCAGCATGAGCACACCCACCTCACCCCCCTCGCGCACCGAGGACGAGCCCTCCGCCTCCATGGTGATGGCGACGGATGTGGGCGAGGGATACACGTACAACTCGAGCACGATTGTGCGCGTCGCCCTCGCGGCCGGCATCATCGTGCTGGGCGTGTGTGCGCTGCTGCTCTTCATGAAGGTGAGTGGCTGAAGCTCGCGTCATCATCGGTGGGCACTCCATTGTCCGCCGTGCGCCCTCGCAACCCAGCGGCCTCGCCAGCCTCCCATCCACCCAACTCACCCCAGATCTCAGGATGGGTGCGCTACCGCCAACGCGTGAGCCGCGAGCGCGCGCTCCGCACCGCGCAGGACGGCGAGCAGCGCGCGCGCGCGTTCGAGCTCGCCGCGTGGGCGGATACGCCGGGGCAAGCGCCCGTGAGCGGCGGCGAGCCCGCGCGGCGCCGGTGGTGGCGTCGCGCAGACAAAGACGCCAAAGGCTTGCGCGGCAAGACGAACGCGTACGCCGTGTACGAGTGGGAAGGGGTGCCGCAGTAGACGGTGGATTTGTACAGTTGTAGCATATGTATGGCCTACAAGCGTGGGTTGACGAGCTCGCGGCTCACGCGAACTGGCCCAAGCCCATCACGCGATCCCGCGCCTCCTCATACTTGGCCTTGGTTTCCGCGACCACGTCGTCCGGCAGCGCGACGCCCTCCTTCGCCTTGAGCCCGCCCTGGATCAGCCAGTCGCGCAGGTACTGCTTGTCGAAGCTGTCTTGGGGCTTGCCTTCGACGTACGCCGCGGCGGACCAGTAGCGCGACGAGTCGGGCGTGAGCGCCTCGTCGATGAGGATCAGCTGCTTGCCGTTCGGCGTGTCGAGCAGGCCGAACTCAAACTTGGTGTCGGCGAGGATGAGGCCACGCGCGAGTGCGTACTCGGCCGCCGTGTCTGGTGTCAGCGGTCGAAGTGCGAGGAGGCACGATGCGTGCGCCGGATTCAGTTGGGACAGAACGCTCGGGTCGCCGCTCGGATCCTGCGGATCTGCGCCGCCCACGCGCACTCACTGTAGAGCTCCAGTGCAACACGCTCAATCTCGGCCGCGACCTCTGCGCCACAGATCTCCTTGGCCTTGTCAGGGTGGATGTTCTCGTCGTGGTCGCCGAGATCCGCCTTGGTGCTGGGCGTAAAAATGGCCTTGGGGAGCTTTTGGCTCTCGACCAGCCCGGGGGGCATGGCGATGCCGTGCACCGTCTGGCTCTTCTTGTACTCGTTCCACGCCGAGCCGGTAATGTAGCCGCGCACAATTGCCTCAATCTTGACGACCTCACACTTGCGCACGATCATCGACCGGCCCTCGAGCTGCGCGCGGTACTCGGCCAAGCTGGCGGGGAACTCGTCCCACGCCGTCGTGCCGCCCTGCAGGCACGCGGGGGCAGGGCCGGCGAGCGACGGCGTCAGCACGTGGTGCGGGATGATGTGCTGCAGCTTGTGGAACCAGAACATGGAGAGCTGGGTCAGCGTCGCGCCCTTGTGCGGGATGCCGTTGTCCATGATCACGTCGAAGGCCGAGATGCGGTCCGTCGCCACGAACAGCAGCTTGTCCGCGTCCGCTGCGTCCGGCAGCGCGTAAATGTCCCTAACCTTGCCCTTGGACAGGAGCTTCAGCTTGGGCATGTCCGTGTTAAGCACCTTAGCGTTAGTCTGTGCACCGCATCGCATCCATCGAGCCCGGCTCCTACGCAACGCCCACAACACCCCCTACTTCTTCTCGCGGTTGCGCGGGTTACTCACAGCTGCGCTTGGTCCAGCAGTGGGGGTCGGGGCGAGGGCGTTGGCCCCAGCGGAGAGCGCGGCGCCCGAAGCGCCAGCGGCACCGGCGGCGGTCGCGGCAGCGTTCTTGGCCGCGAGCTCCTTGGCCTTCTTCTCCTCCTTCTCTCGGCGGAGGGCGGCGCGCTCCTCCTCGGTCGGGGGGCGGTTCGAGCCCTTGGCCTTCTTAGCGGCCTTGGCGGCATTCTTTTCCGCCTTGATGCGGTCCGCCTCAGACACCTTGGACGGGTAGCCGAGACGGTCGACCTCCTGCCAGTCGGGCGACGAGTCGTAGACCTTGCGGATGGGTGCGAGGAGGCGGATAAGCGCATCCGTCACGCCAGACTTGAGGTCTCCCGGGTGAAGCTTCTCGGCAGCGTACGCGTCCTCGAGCTCCTGGTACGAAGAGAAGTGGAGGTCGCCGCCGAACTTCTCGGGGCGGGCAATGGTGAACACAGTGCCGAGGGGCGAGGTGGGCGACGCGAACGACAGCTCGCCAATGTAGCGCTCCTCGCCTCTGGCGCGTGCCTGCTCGTCGCGCATGATCTGCGCGGGGATGAGCACGGCCTTGACGAAGGCAAGAATGCCGTTGCCCTCGACGACGCCGGGCTCGGACACCGCCGCCTTGATCTTGGCCTTGACGTCGGCGGGCGAGTCGAGGAAGTCGATCTTGGACTTGGGGTCCGACGCCGACATCTTGCCTCCGCTCAAGCCCGGCACCATGGCGTTCATGAGGTGCGCGCGCTTGGCGTAGCCGAGCTTCGGGAGGTAGTGAGCCGCAAACATGAAGATCTTGCGCTGGTCGACGCCGCCGAACTGGATGTGCACGTCGAGGTACTGCTCGTCGAGGCACTGCAGGCCGGGGTACATGAGCGAGCACATGAGGGGGGAGCTGGACGCCTTGACGACGTCCGCGCCGGCGTGCTCGGCCTGCTTGACCGTCGTCATCGAGTTGAAGCGGTACACGTCCAAAGTGTAGTCGGGCTTGAGCTGGTACGACGAGCCGGTCACGAACTCGAGCTTGTCGGTCGGAACACCGAGCGTCGTGAGCACCGCGTGCAGCAGGTACGAGTAGTACTTGACGCGGTGCTGCAGGACATCCATGGTGGACTTGTTGGCATCGAGGAAGGCGTGAATGTCTGCGGCGCGTGAGATAAGCTGAGACAGAGTACGCACCAGCAAGGAGGACCTTGACGTGGACGCCTGCGCTGAGAAAGTCGGCGATCTTGATCAGAGCCACGCAGTACGCGATGTGTGCTGCGGTCAGCTCCTCTCTGCGCGTGGAGGTCCAAGTCGAGCCTCTGCGGACTCACGCCGGCCGGTCGGCGCAGTGCCCCAGTAGAGTCTGGGTGTCTCCCCATCCGCGAGAACTTTGCGGATAATGTCGGCGGAAGTGACCTCGGCGAGACCGCGGGTGATGCGCTCGAAGCGCGCCTCGGCCTCGGGGTCGAGGGCGATGTTGATGGTCTTGTCCTCCTTCTGGTTCGTGAACTCGAGCTCGTCGGACATGGTGGAGAGCGATGGGGCGATGTGGACAAGAAGGTCAAGATGGTATCCCAAGTGCGGGGCCTTGCCGTGGCTGCCTGTCGCAACTCGCGAGTCGAAATCTCACCACGTGATTTTCCGCATACCCGACTCGGTTTGCCCGACCTCGATGCATTTTCGTGTCAGTTTGATCCAACCCATCACCATGGACGCATGTCTCCTCTCTCTGACGCCAAGATTACCTTTCGACCGCGTAACAGGTAACCCGCGCCCCCCCACTGAGTCAACATGATGCATATGCGGCACAGGTACGATACAATGCAAGGAGTGTGGGTGCAGATATAGCGCGGGGATGTATTATATACGCGCATTTTCATGATATAACGTCCGCTCAGTCCATTCAACTCCGGTCGTTGAGGGGGACAAACATGGCGGCCGAGTAGCCTAGACTGTCCTGGCTTACTGGGCGAGGTGGGCGTTCAGTGACGCCCGGCACAGGGGTTGCGGCGGGCGAAGGGCCTTGGCTCAAGCGCCGCGCGCCGCCGTTGTGCAACGGGTCGCTCGAGCCGAGTGACGTTGCGCTGTGCTGCAGCGGCTGCTGCCGCGCATCGTGGTATGACGAGGGCGGACCTGATGCGATGAGCTCCTCGTCTTCCTCCTTGATGAGGTGGGACATGCTCGAGCCCGCCGGGGTGGGGAGGCGCTCCGGGCCCTCGCCCTTGCGGCGGACCTTGAAGCTGCGTGGAGGCGCTGCCAGCAGCGACGACGAGTTGATCTCTCCGCTGTCGGGGCGCGGAGGGCGCGGCGGTGCCATGAGCTTGCGCTGCACCTTGAAGGTCGAGGGCCCAGGTGGCGGTGGCGGCGCGTCGACACCTGCGAGCAGTGCGCCGGAGACGTTCATTGCCACGGCCTTGCGCACCGAGTTCTCCGTTCGCTCTTGCTCGTCCATCGCTCGGCCCTTGCGGCTGAACAGCGCCTTCCAGCCGCGCGACGGGGGAGGCGGGTCGTACGCCGCTTCCACATCGCCACGGGCAGCGGGGCGAGCACGGCGACGAGTCCGGGGTGGACCGGGCTCATCGTCCGATCCAGAGTCCTCAGCGACATTTACTCCGCTGTTCGACTTGGAGAACCAGTTCCCGCTGGACCAGGAGCGCCGCTTGTTCTGGCGGCTCTGCTCCTCCGCTTCAATTGATATATTGTTGAGCGACCGGCGACGCGGAATGGTCAGAGGAGGGGGTCTACCGCCCGCGCGATCGGCGCGTGCGCCGGCGGTCGGTGGATATACTGGCCCAGGCATGACGGCAGGGCTGATGCCAGGCGAAGTGGAAGACGAGCGCATGGGCGGCGAGGCCGTCGGCTGCACGTTAGGCGACGACAACTCCTCCATTATCGCCGACGACGAGTATGCGCGGCTATGTCTAGGCATGTAGTGCTGGTCATCCGACTTGGTGACACGTATCGACGGCGCAGGGCCACTATAGTAGCCACCAGAGAGGCGGGGCGAGCCCAACGGCGTCGTGCCAGCGCTCGGTGAGGCGAGCGGCTGTGCGTCACCGTAGTAGTTCATCGGTCTCCACGGTTCAGTCAACCGGTTCTCGTCCGAGATCGTGAGCATGCTTCCCTGGTCCGACACCGAGCGGCGACCGCCAAACTCGTTGACCGGCGAGATTCCGGGATTGCTGACGGGGAAGTACGAACCGCGGAGGCCACCACCACCGTGACCGTGGTCCGAGTCGAGCAGAGGGTAGCTCATGCGCTCAACGCCCTGCGAGTGCCTGTCAAGCATCATCTGGGTGGTCAGGGAACCGGCCACGGATACGTTCTGCTGAAGCAGCCGCGAGTCCCGCTTCCTACGGCGACGGGCCGCCGCCTTGCCACCGCGTACACCGTTGAGGCAGTCGAGGTCCATGATTGCTGCAAAGATGCCGCCATCGATTGGGTGGTTTGACTCATCGAACGGTGAGCGACCAAAGAGGCGGATCAATCCCTCAACGATCTTGGTCAGAACCATGAGCAGGAGGAATATGAACACAATCGCCTGAATGAGCAGGATCACATAGGTGATCCACTGCCCCGGCGTTCCGCCGGCGTTGACCTAGTACAGTCAGCACTCGTCTCTTGCAGAGGAGCTCACCTCCTTGGACATGACCATGGTCAAGACGATCGAGGCGATGCGCACTACCGAAACGAAGAAGACGTAGGCGCCCATGCTCGCTCCCTGCCCCCAAGGGCTCCAGAACGTGGTCGTGATGAACGACGCCAGCTCCACAACGACCAACACGATGGTCTGGGCCAAACCGCTGCTCTGCCCAGCACCGATTACTATGCCACTCGCAAGACTGCCGAACAACGGAAGAGTTCTGTACAGCTGCTTCTCGGGCTCGTAGACGTTGTACACGGTGCCGAGGGCGAGCAGCGTGCGCGCCGCGTCGTAGAGCTTGCCGGTGGGCGTGCGTGAGATCTTGAACATAATGAACGTGGGAATGAGGACCGAGATGAACACAAACGCGAGAGCTGCAAACACTTTGGAAACGATCGATGCTTCCTTGAGAGTGAGCTGGTACACTGAGAAAGCCGTGACGGGGAAGTGGAACGTGATTATCAGGCGGAGGAGGTTGCCGTAGAGCGCCGAGAAGTGGAATGCGCCGGCCTCGCCACGGGGCATGAAGCGCTTGCGGGTGCGGTGCCAGCGCGAGGGCACGGTGGGGATGGCTTGGGCGGCCTGTCGCAGCGGCACGCCGACGGGCTGCGTGGTAAAGTCTGCAGACTGGTTCCACTCCTTGCTGCCCATGGTTGTCGCGCTTAGAGCGCCGGAGCTGTGGCGCGGAACGTGCTTGCTGCGAGTTGTCACTCTCTTCGTGCGCTCCGGGCCGAACGCCTCGGTAAGCCAGTGGATGAGCCACATGAGCAAACTGAACACGACTATGACCGCGGCCAACATGAGGAAGAGGGTGAGGCAGGTGCCGAAGAGGTCCTGGGGCCGCAAGCCGACCATGCGCGCCCACGACAACATGCCGTCCGGCGTCGAGTCGAGGTCCAGAGCTCGGGGGCTGGCCGATTCATTCAGGTACAGCGCATGCTGCGGATCGACGACTGCGCTCTTCATCTGGTCGGGAGCGGACCAATTGGCGGGGTAGACGGAAGGGTGGTCATTCGAGACGATGGAGACATTCCAGACCAAATTGGCCCACGCACTCTGCGTGACAATGGCGTAGAAGAACCCTGGCCACCTGACAGTGATCATGCCGAGCATGGTGACAAACTGAATGTGATGAATGATGTCGCGCAGACTAGGGGTAACTGTACGAGATCAGCACAAAAGCGTGACGGGGCAGAGCAAACAGAACAAGTCAACGCACCAAAACGAAGCAATGCAGCACTGGCTCCCAGACGCTCTCCACTCAGTCCCGAAATAAGCATTGTGCCCCACTTGAGCATGTGAGCTTCGCGCTGGGCCTGGTCGCTCCGGTCCAGCCCGATCACCCAGCCGGCAGCGAATCGCGCGGCCCAAGTGACGATCAAGTAGGCGATTGCGATGGCCGCGGGCACCCACAGGAAGACCTTGTAGGGCCACGAGTCCTGTTCGTACGGCACGAGACTGATGTCGAGGCAAAGGATGGAGAGTGCTGGGTCGCTCGCATCGACGACATGAATCTCGGTGTGCAAGGTGGTGAGAGCGTGAACGTTGTAGAGGGGAACCGAGACGTTGAGGCCATAGAGCCCGGCGGGGAAGCCGACACCCAAAGTGCAGTAGTTGTTCACGTTGTCGCGCGGCGCTGACGAGTTTGCCGGCCAAAGCGAGTTGCAAAGATAAGACATGGACGTGTATTGCATAATGCCGGCCTCGGTTGTCTTTGTGAAGAGTGTCGCTGGGGGTCAGCGGCGATTGACTTGAAGACTAGGGCCCATGACTCCATGACTCGATAGCTTCGCATGGCTCTTTCATGGACCCATGGTCGCAGCGCTCCGCAGCACTCTGGCACCCGAACTCACCGAGCTTGCCGCTCGTGTCGTTGTATCCCACGAGGTTGGAGCTGACGACACCCAGGACGTCGATGCGGAGGACGTCGTCGTTATCACCTACGAGATTCTGGCGAGCGGCCTGGGACCCGGGAACTATAGTGGCCAGAACATTCTGCACCTGTAGTTCGTTCTGAGGTTGAGCGACAGGTTGGTATGCGCCGAGACAGCTGGACCACTGAGGAGTGAAGATGGTGGCTGCGACGTGTGGGAGAGCGAGGGCCGCCCCGAGGAGGGCTGCGACATGCATGATGACGGAGCTGCCTCGGGGGGTGCGACGGGGTGTTGGGGGGGGGATGTGGTGTTGGCGGGTTGCGTCGCGATTGATGGAGGGGTGGTAGTTGGAGGATGAGGGTTGGGCGTTCAAGCGGAGTGGTGGATGAGGTGGAGAGGGGGGAGGGGGTAGGGCGGAGGGGGGGGAGGAGGAGACGTGGTCGTCGTCGGAGGAGGGGGGAGATGGCGAGGGGGGGAGGAGGAGGAGGAGATGATGATGAGAGAGAGAGAGACAGAAAGACAGAAAGACAGAAAGACAGAAAGAGGAGGAGGAGGATGAGAAATATTGATCGATTAAAGAGAATTGAATTGAATACAAAACTACAACCGAGGCGAGGGGGCGGAAGGAGGGAGGGAGGGAGGGAGGGAGGGAGGGAAGGAAGGAAGGTGTGTGAGCTGTGCAACGACGAGCCCGATCGTGGCGTTTCTCTCCTGGTGTGCCATCTGCTTCCGCGTCCAGTCAGTGCGCAGCTTGCCGTGCCTGTATATCCCATGTCTCATCTCCATTATCTACAAAGTCTTTACTCCATCACGCGCCATCATCTCCCAGCCTCGACTCGAGAGCATCGTTCGCCCACAGCTGTTGCCTACTGCCCACTGCCCACTGCCTACTGCCCACTGCCCACTGACGACTCACGACTCACGACTCACGACCGGAGACAGGGCGGTGGGAAACCGAAAGTCATGCCGTCAAGCCCTCAAGCCGTCGCATCCGCCGTGTGTCTCCGCTCCTGCTCTAGCGGTATCCAGCAGGCATCTCACGCATCCGTCCACCCGATTCCCCCAGGCATCCTCGGCATGCAGTCCGCAATTAGCAGGCCGTGGGTGTGGGATCTGGGAGCATACGAGTCTGGCGGCTGGCGGTCGACGCCTACAGAACACCCCCAGGCCCCCGAGGCCCCAGGGCATTCCGCGCCCTCGACGTCACAGCCCTTGAGGGCACAACTCTAATCCCATTAAGCCTCATCCAATTCATACTGTACATGTGACCTCTGCCGCTTGGCGACCAGTAGTCCGTCCCCATGTCTTGGGCATCGCAATTGCATGCACAGATCTGGGATATTCTCCGGGTGGGCAGAAGAATGAATGAGATGGCCACGAGGCCGGATGACACCCAACTGGCCAACTGGCCAACTGGGAATGAGATTGATGGCTTGAGGATTGAGGCTTGGCTTGGGAACGACTCTCAGCCGACTCTCATGGTCCGAGCCATGTGATTGCCTGCGACGTATAAGCAGGAATAGAGATGCCCCGGGAGAGAGAGTGGAGACTGCCACTGCAGTCATTGGACGCCAGATGCTATTTACAGTACGAGTCTCCTCGCCGTGTTCTCGCCACATCACAAGATCGCTCCCTCCGAGACCTCGTCTCACACCCTCCTACATGTACCCAGCCAGTCATGGCGCTGCTGGCCAACCCTCCCTCGCGCCACACATGCACACATTCGCACATTCACACATCACTCATCACACATGCCCTCCATACCCCAACCCATAATACAATGACTAATTCTTGAGCGCCGCGACCTCGTCCATGAGCGCCGTCACGAGCGCCTTGCCCGCGTCCGCCGTCTTGACAGCCAGCGCAAACGGCTTCATCTTGCCCTCCAAGTTGAACCCGATAAAGCGCACATGCTTGCCCTCACTTGTCGCCTTGAACGCGTCGTGCAAGCCCATGTTCAGCACCACCGTACCGCTCCCGTCCGCACGCATCAGCAGGCGCCGCTTGCCGTCCGTCGCCCGCTTCAGCTTCAGCTGGCCCAAGCCTACCACCGTGTTCTTGCCCCCCTCCAGGTCGTACAGCCGCCCCCGCTGCTCGTAGACCGTGGTCTCGTTCTCCTCGCCAGCACCCTCCGCCTCGGCCAGGTTCTTCGAGGCTTCCTCCTCGGGCGCGGGTGTGGTCGGAGCCGGCGTGGTGGAGGCCGGCGTGGAGACCGCTGGAGTCGACGCCGACGAACCAAACGAGAAGGCCGGCGCGCTCGAGCCAAAAGAGAACGGCTTGGCTGCTGGCGCCGCGGATTCAGTAGACGACGACCCAAGTGAGAAAGCGGGCTTGTCTGCCGGTTTGTCCGCTGGCTTGTCTGCCGCTGAGCCGTCTGCCTTGTCTTTCTCCTGAGAATCGGTGAAAGTGGCCACAGAGGAAGAGCTGGACGAGCCGAAAGAGAACGCAGGCTTGTCCGCAGGCTTTGCCGCGGGCGAGGTAGTCATCCCCGAGCCAAAGGAGAACGAAGGCTTCTCCGCAAGCAGGCGAGTACCGTCAGTGTATTTGGGGGATGAGGCCGACGCCGTGCCAAAGGCGAACGCAGGCTTGCCCGCGTCCTTGAGTGCGGTCCCAGAGCCAAACGAGAAGGTTGGGTTCGACGCTGGCTTGCCAAACTCGAACGGCTGGTCCGGCTGGTCCTTCTTGTCCCCCCCAAAGCTGAATCCTGTGGCGGGGCCCTTGCTCGGCGTCCCTGCACCTCCAAAAGGCAGCTGCGGCGTGGTACCATCCGCGCCAAACTTGCCCAGCTTCTCGGACGGCGTGAAAGTCTTGCTCTCGGGCGTCGTTGGAGCGAGCGGACCTGAGGGAGCAAACGAGAACAGGCTGGGCTTGGACGACCCGCCAAACGAGAACCCCTTGTCCTTCTTACCCTCGTCCTTCTTCTGCGCATCCGTCTTCTCCGGCTCCTTCTCGTCCTTCTCGGCGAGCACCGCCGCCGCAGCGGCGTTGACCGCGTCCGAGCTCTTCTTTGGTGCAAAGCTGAACGCGGGCGTCTTGTCCTTCTCCACCTCGGGCTCCTTTGCCTTCTCCTTCGCTTTGTCGTTGCTTGGGATTGCGGTGAATGTGGAAACAGGTGGAGCGGCCACGGATGCAGGCTTCCACCCTGCCTTGGCGCTCGATTCGGCCAGATATCCCTCGTACTGCCGTAGGAGCTCAGGCATCACAGTGCCGAGGTTGATGAACTCGTTGCTTGTAATGCTCTTCGAGACAAAGCTCAGGAACGCCGCGTTCAGTCCGCGTAGCGCAGTGTAGTACGCGACTTCTCCATCGTGTGGCGGCGCCGACTGAGAGGGCACGATGCCGCTGCTTACACGCTGCGCAGGGGGCGCCGGCTCTTTGGCTGTGCTCGACGACGAAGCCGTTGGCGCCGGAGCAGTTGCTGTCGTCTTGCCAAAGTTGAATCCGCCAAAGGCGGGTTTCGCGGCCGCCGCTCTGTCTGCAGCCTTCTCGGCAGATGCAGTCGTCTTGCCAAAGCTGAACCCGCCGAACGCCGCCTTGGGTGCCTCCTTGGGTGCCTCCTTGCCGCCGTCCATCTTGTCGTCTTCCTTCTCCTTGGAACCAGAATCAGTTGCAAACGAGGAAAAGGTGGATGGAGTAGCGGCGGGTGCTGGAGCTGCAGATTTGCCAAAACTGAAACCTCCAAATCCACTCGACGACGCCGCGGGCGCAGCCGGGGCGGAAGCGGGCGTCGAGCTCGAGCCGTTACTCCCACTCCCACCGAACGCGAATGATGAGGCGGCCGCTACGCCCTTGCGCTTAGGCATACCGCGCACCCTAATCGTCAGCTTGATCACCGGGAACAACTCACTGTCGCCCTTCGACGGGCTTGAGCGCCTCGGTGCGCACGCCCGGCTGCCATCAGCGCCATCGCTCTTCGAAAGTCTGACAGCGCCCCTTGCATGTTGCAGAGGTGCCTCGGGCTGAACTCACATCCTCCTCCTCGTTGTCAGAGGCGTCATCGCGTGTCTTCTGACCGTCTGCTCCACGCTTTCCCATGGTTGATGGATATCTGGATTACGATATTAACAAGAGACTGAGCGAGTGCGATGAGTTGAGAGTTGAGAGTGAATGTGTGGTTGACGCACTCAAGCAAAGAAAGACGAGAGACCACGTGGAAATGCTCCCGTCGCTGTCGTCACTGTACTCTCTGGCGTCGATCGAGTCCACCCCGCATCGTAGACAGTCGCCATCATCCATACGCGCTCTATCATCATCATCGCTCTTCTCTTCTCCCTTCTCTTCTAAACGTCTAGACATTGCACGCCGAGCCCTTCAACGGGCATCGACCAGGCGCTGCGTTAGTCCTACTGTGCGTTCCTTGGCGAGCAACACTGCTGACCACACAGCATGACGTCTCCCACTCCGCCACCAGGCGGCTCGCGACCCTCGTCAATCGTATCCGCTGGCTCGGACGGGAGAGATCGTCCCCGCGCGCCGCTAGGCCCGCGTACGCCGCAGCGGCAGGGCAGCTTGCGCACACATTACACCGTCACCCCCGCCGCGACAGCCTCTCCTTCCGCCTCACAATCACCTGTGGCGGAGGATACAGTGGCGATGCCGGCGTCCGCAACCGTACCCATTCCAGAGGTCGCCGACGAGCCCATGCCATCCTCACCGATCCACTCTACGTCACCCAAGGTGCAGACCTCGCTTCCTTCAGCGTCAGAAGCCCCCAAGTCACTCCCTCCTCCCCTTCCCCCCCGCACCATTCCGCGCCTGCCCTCCCATCAGCCCCTCGCAACCGAAGGCGCCACGTCCACTTCTTCAGATGTCACAAAGGATCTCAGTCCAACAACATCCACCAGAACCAAGGTCGAGGTCATGAGCGCCGTGCAGAGCGAGCACGGTGAGCAAGAAGCTCTGCCGAGCTACAGTCGCGGCGATGGGTATCGCAGCCCGGAGGCTGTCTATGAGCTCGTCGATGGCAACGAAGGTGCAATGCCTCCTGATATCCTTGACGTGACATGGGGGGACGACAAATGGGAGGGCAAGGGAGAGCACCCCGAGCGCCCCCAGATCGGCCCAGGTCGCCTCGCGCTCCGCTTCATCGATGACATCCATCCACACCCGCTCGCGCGGCCTGACATTATCGCCCTCCCCTTCACCAGCAGGTCGCCATTTTCGTCCCCTGTTACCTCGATATCCTCCCTTGACCGCGACCACGAACCACACACTACGCCCAGCATAACAATCGAGGATGTGTATGACGTTCTTCCCGGCGGCGCCGAACAGCGTGGAGAGTGGTACTTCTGCGCCGAGTGCTTTGGGTGGTTCCACATTGTGATCGGCTCAGGTGAGCCGCCCCAGTACCGTGGGTACGACAGTCGCATCCCGCGCCCGCTCCAACGCGAGACGGACGAAGAAGAACTTCAAGCATGGGGAATGGAAAACTCGCGCTTACGCGACATCCAGCTCAGCCGTTCCTCAGCACCTCACCCCATGACTCACTTCCACACCTTCGAGCGCCTCCTTGACCCGCTCGAGGAGGTCCGCATTCCTCGAGTGGTAGTCGATGGGCTCGTCGAGACCTTCTCCCACCTCGACCCTGTATATGGCGTCGTGCCCTCGCAGCTCGTCGATCCCCAGTTGGGCCGCGTGAACAAGAGCGAACTTCACGTGTCTTGTTCAACAGACTGCTGGATTGCGGTGCAAGGCCCCGTCGGCGGACAACTCCCCAAGGCTCTCGCCCACGAGTGGACGCAGCAGAAGCGCGACAACCCAGTTCCTGGCGTGGACGGTGTCTCATCAGCGATTGAGGCTTGGATGCTCGTTCTCAGGCTTCTTCAGAACCCCCTGTTTCAGGACAAGCGAGGCTGGATCAAGATGTCGAATCCGAAGTTCTTCTCAGTTATCGGCCCAAGCCTCAGGTCGTGAGTATCGCTCGTCTGTCATGCTGACACCAGCTCCATTCTGTTGCACCGAATAGGATTCAGCTGCAGCACTAGCGACGATGGCTATCAGGTCGGTCCCTTCTCCGTGGGCGACCTTGTCTCCGCCGAGGATGTCGACCAGATGTACAAGTACATGCTGCGAACGTGGGTTGAGATCAGCCTCTACCTCCAGGCACTTCAGGATCGCAATGGTGAGGTGTTGTGTCCATGTCGAGCTGACGGTAGGCAAGGTGATGAGCGATAATTTCGTTGCCGCAACATCCCTCCGCGAGATTTTGACTCCTCTTCTACAGCTGGACCTTGTCTCAAAGAGTATGAAATGTACCACTTCAGAGAACTGACATCAGCTCCGCTTCCATGGGGTCAGCAGTGGTACTCGGCACTCGACGTGCTCGGCGTGACGCCTTATGACACCATAGGAACCATCGACAAAGCGTACGACTTTCAGATATCTGATGACCAGGCGCACTCTGCGACGTACTTCACAGCACTGGAGCGGATGTCGAACGTCAACCGCCCTGATGTGGAGGTTCTACGTCTCAAAGTTGCCTTGGAGCGTTCAATGGACCGCTATACCCTCGGTGAGTAAGCCCTCCCAGCAGCGACTGACGGCAGACGAGCTGGACAGTGCATACGCTCGCATCGGCATCGACAAAGCTCATATCGAGACCATCATGGTCGCACGCAGCGACTTGCCTGCCGAGTATATATACGACCGCCATCGCGAGACAATACAAAATGCATCCAACCCCGAACAGCGCAAGCACATCTCCGATGCCCTCGTCTTGGTTGGCAAGGATCGCAACGACATCGCCATGCAGACTCTGGGCCGCAACGGTGACACGCATCTCTCGCTCGAGCAGGCGTATCGCGAGTTCAACATCACCTCAGATCAGCCTATTGATAACGAGATGCTCATCCTGTGAGTCATGGAATAGACCGGACAACATAGCTGATCGCAGACAATACGAAACGTGGATCGCTGATAGACCAAGTCGTAAAGACCACTACCGCCAAGCTCTCAGTCTTATCGCAAATGCACCGGGTCAGGAGCGGCCAGCCATCCAGGCGTTTCTGGAAGGCAAAGATATCTCAGAGTTCCAAGGCCCCGTGCGCCGCGATATCCCTGCCGGGCTGCGCAACATTGGCAATACTTGCTACCTGAACTCCGTGTTTCAGTTTCTCTACGCTGTCAAGCCGATCCGCGACGCGGTACTCGCTTTCAAGGAGGTGCCGAATGAGGCGGCGACGGCGACCACGAATGGAGACCTCAAGGAAACGGAGAAGCTAATCAAGGCCCAGTCATCACGACGCTGTAAGTTTTCCAAGCCAGCTGAGGCTCACAGCAGTTGTCGAAATGCTCAAGGAGCTATTCAGCGAAATGTACGAGACCGAACTCGCGGCTGTCACTCCAGCAGAGGAACTTGCTCGTTTAGCGATCCTCCCGATCGAATTGGTCGAGCAGCGCCGAGACCCGCCCGAGACTGATTCCGCAAAGTCAAACGTGAAAGCAGACACCCAGCAATCAGCATTACGAATCTCACAGCTTGCTTCGCCTTCCTCTTCTGGTGTGGTGACGCCAGCAGACTCTGTGCCGGCCACACCCGTGTCGCCCTTCTCTCCCACAATTTCATCCACCGGGATATCGCCTACGCATGAAAGGCCATCGCCTCCGGCACGTAAAGCTAGTGTCCTCGGCAAGAGGGCGAGTGAAGACCGCGAGTCTACATTCGGAGGCAGCGAGGAGAGATTGCGGACATCGATGAATCGCAGCAGCAACCTAATGGAGGTCGAGTCTCCGACACAGGTGGCGTCCTCCTTACCAAGTATGGCGACTGAGGATGACGTGGACATGAAGGGCGAAGACCTGCCCACATGTGAGGGCAGCGATCTGTCCCCCGCGGACGCTGGCATGTCCGGCCTGGGGCTCACGTCGCCACATGACAGCATGACAGGCCCGGCGACGCCGAGGACGAGCGCTCCGGCGTTTCCTACGCCAGAGGCTACGCCGCCCCGCGCGATTGGTCCTCAACTGCCTGGCAAGGATGACATGACCATGACAGACGCCTTGCGCACAAGCCCTCCTCCCCTACCTCCGCGCCGCCGCTCGATGGGACTGATGGCTGCTGAGAAATTCGGTCTTCAGCAGGATGCGGCCGAGATCTTAATCAATGTCCTCAGCCAGCTGGAGTACGCTTTCGACAATGGCGAGGGCGGTAACCTTATCAAGAGCCTTTTTTCAGCCAAGTTCCGGCAACAGATGCTTCTGACCTCCGCGGACGGAGTGACCGAGTCGCATCCTCCTGTCGAGAGCCAGTTCTCGCATCCTATTATTGGCGTGGAGGAAGACGACAAAGACCTGTATGACGGTCTGGCTGAGCTGTACCTCGGAGGTGATGAGGTCGACTACGATGGCAAGAAGGGGTACAAAATGGACTTGTTGGACGAGCTTCCGCCCGTGCTGTACATTCTAATGCGTCGCAGCCAGTACGACTTTGCGCGCAACCGGCAAATCAAGACGAACACGCACATCAAGTTTGGCGAAACACTCACGATGGATCGCTTCATGGCGGGTGCCGATGCGGCGCGACGTGAGGCGAGCATCGCCCTCACGCGCAAGATGATGCGCATGCGCGCACGCCGGCACGAGCTGCGGCACCACAAGCCTTGTTCTATCCCCGACACATTCCGCGTTGTGCGCGACGCTCTGGGCAGCGCCAAGCTCAGCAGCTTGCTTGGTGACGACGCCCCGTCAATGTCGTTTATCGAAGCACTTGGCTCGCAGGTAGGGCGCACTGAAGAGGAGATCGCCCAGCTCGGTCGCGAACTTGCCGAGTGCAAGGAGCAGCTTGAGAAGATGTGGGCGGACGCGCATGATGTCGAGTACGAGCTGGTGAGCGTGTTTGTGCACGGCGGCACAGGCACGGGTGGGCACTACTGGACGTACCAGTCGGCGCAGGATGGCCGGTACTTTTACTATTCGGACGACACGGTCAAGGACGTGCCGTCGGCCGAGGTGTTCCAGGACAAGTCGGCACAGGGCGTGTCTCCGGCGCTGTTGGTGTATGTGCGGAAGGGACAAGGCCTGGTGGACACGCTGCACCGGCTGGGGGCGGAGGAGGCGGCGGCGTGTGGAGGAATGAGTGAGTCGGGGACGACGGGGAAGCAGAGCGAGGAGGATGAGCGCCGGGAGGAGAGTGGTGGACAGAAGGGCAGCGCGGGCAGCGCGGGCAGCGCGGGCAGCGCGGGCAGCACTGGGAACTGGGGACAGCAGGCGTTGGCGATGCTCACGTCGTCGCCGGAGCGGGATACATCGCCTCGGGTCAAGTTTGCTGTTCCGGCGGTGACTGCGCCGCTGTGGGGAGCGGGAGAGTGGATGCATTAAGTCTGCAGCATATTATAGACGGATGGCAGTAGCTCATTCATGTGACAAGTTGATGGGGAACAGGGAATGGAAGCGATGCAAGGCAAGCACATGTCAGGGTCAGTTTGCGGCAGTGTGCGGCAAAGGCATCACTTGTGGGGTGGGAGGATCAGGGACAGGCAAAGGAGAGTGACGAGTGGAGTGGTGCCTCTCTCTTTCTGGTGGTGTGGGCCAACAACATCATCCTTGCTCCTCCTCCTCCTCCTCCTCCTCAACACTCTCCTCTTCTTCTTCTTCGCCATCGTCGCATCTCTCCTCTCTCCATCTCTTTACAGTAGCCCCAATCACCCCCGCAAGGCTGTCTTGACTCTCACTCGTTGTAAGTCTGGAGCTGGCCGGTCGATCCTCAAATCCCCTTGTCGCCTCCCAACTCGGATCTCTGCGCTCTCCGCTCTTCTGCGCAGTCTCTCGCAACTCCGCTCTCCTCCCTCTCATCGCCCCCATGTGTTCCCCTCTCCGCAGCATCTGGCAACCCGGGTGCACGCGGCAAGTCCGTCGGCTGCAGGACAGCGACAGCCAACCTGGCTATGATGGGCGATGATGCTCACCTTCTCCTCCTCTTTTCCCATACACTCTGTCCGTCCTCGCCCTCCTGGGCACCTCACAGTCGCCCATAACAACCCCCAGCCTCCTCTTCAAGCTCCTTCGCCTCTCTCTCACCCATCTGGTCACAAGCAGAACAGCCGCTAATCATGGTAGCCTCCCTCGATACCTCTGACGACGACAACATGTCCGCCCCTCTGGAAGACGGCACCAACATCGGCGGTGGTCTCGCTCGCAAGGCCTCTGTCAAGCGGGCCGACTCACTCGGAATGGAGCGCACATCTTCGACAGGCTCGAATCGGCGCCCTTCAAACGCTTCCAGTCGCAAGAACAGCATCGGTGCAGGCGACTCTATCGGCGGCATCGGCGGCATTGTCAGCGGGATGGGCATGACCGCCATCGGTAATGACAGGACGCCCAACCTCTCCCGCAGCAACAGCCGCCGCGGCAGCGGCTCCTTCTCCACCCCGAGTGGAACACAGGTCGTCTACCACACGCGTACGCAGGTGCGTCTTCCACTTCACATCACCCTCGCTCGAGCTTGTTTCCGTGGCGCACAATAGCCTGGACCATCTGACGCCAGGATGAGCTTCACGAATACCCTCACCCCGAGAAGAAGACGATGGCCGATCACCTGCGCAAGTACGAGGCCCTTCTGACCGTCTCTGCGCCGCGCATGCGCATGATTGTCAGCGCATTCGAGGAGACGCTAGACAAAGGCCTTGAAAAGTATGGAGAGGTTGTGGTGAGTCACCCTGCGTCCTCCTCGCGAGTCACCCTGCGCACACGCTCACGCACAGCCGATGAGTGAGGTTCTCGGGGCGCGCGGTTGCTGACTATAGTTCCCACCTACGTGTTCGGATGGCCGACCGGGAAGGAGAAGGGCGAGTACCTCGCCGTCGATCTCGGTGGCACCAACCTCCGTGTGTGCCTCGTCACCCTACAGGGCGAGGGCAAGTTCGAGGTTACGCAGACCAAGTACCGCCTCACCGAAGAGCAGAAGCAGGAGGACGGCGAGAAGCTGTAAGCTGCACACGACGACATGCTCGGCTGACTCCCAGCTTCGACTTTTGTGCCGAGTGCCTTCACTCGTTCATCTGCGACAACCTCGGCCGTGACGAGAATGCGGATCACCTTCCGCTTGGCTTCACCTTCTCGTACCCATGCGAGCAGAAGCGCATCGACCACGGCGAGCTTATTCGCTGGACAAAGGGCTTCGGCAACCCTGGCGTCGAGGGGCACGACGTTGGCGAGCTGTTCGCCAAGTCGTTGGAGAAGTACAATGTGCGCGCCAAGCTCACTGCGCTTATCAACGACACGACCGGTACCCTCATTGCGTCCAACTATGTCGACCCTAACACGCGTATTGCGTGTATCTTTGGTACAGGCTGCAACGCCGCTTACATGGAGACGGCCGGCAGCATTCCCAAGATTGGCGAAATGGGGCTGGCCGATGACCAGCTCATGGCGATCAACTGCGAGTGGGGAGCATTCGACTCGTTCGACCACCAGCACCTCCCGCGCACCAAGTACGACATTATCATCGACGAGAGCTCGAACAAGGTCGGCGAGCAGGCGTTCGAGAAGATGATTGCGGGCCTGTACCTGGGGGAGATCTTCCGCCTGATTCTCTGCGAGCTCATCGACCAGGGCGACCTCTTCCTCGGTCAGAACACGTACAAGCTCGAGAAGGCGTATGCGTTTGACACTGCCTTCCTCTCGCTCATGGAGAGCGACCCGACCGACGAGCTGCTGATGAGCATTGGCATCTTCAACCACTTCTTTGGCGTCGAGACGACGATTGAGGAGCGTCAGTTCTTCCGCGAGCTCGCAAAGCTCATCGGTACGCGCTCAGCGCGGCTCTCGGCGTGTGGCATCGCTGCCATCGTCTCGAAGAAGGGATACCTCGAGAAGGGGTGCAGTGTCGGTGCCGACGGCTCGCTCTACTCCAAGTACCCTGGGTTCGCGAAGCGTCTCGAGCAGGCGCTTGTCGATATCTTCGGCGAGGCGGGCAAGAAGATTACGACGCACGCGGCTGAGGACGGCTCGGGCGTCGGCTCGGCCATCATCGCCGCCATGACCGTTAAGCGCAAGGCTGACGGGATCTACGCCGACTACTAGATGAGAGAAACTTTGTATATATGCGACCCATTGTAGAGTGAATGGGGCAAAGCGAGCTGGAGCTGGACAATGGCTGCATGACAAAAGTTATAAGATTACAAAGGCGGGACGTGAACAGCACACTACTAGCGGATGCGCATGCGGCTCGAGGGCGCAGTAGAGCTATCGGCTTTCTTGACCGTGCGTGCCTCCCAGATCTTCCAGAACTTGAGGTTCTCGTCGCCCGCGCCCGTGGCAACGGTACACCCGTCGGGGCTGAGCGCGGCTGCGAGCACGCGCATATCGTGGGCGGGCACGTCGTAGATCTTGGTGAGGGCAGGGTACGACCACACGCTGAGGTTGTTGTCGGGGTATCCGTGTGTGGAGAGGATCTCCTTGGCGTGCGGGCTCCACACGAGGGCGGTGACCTGGCTCCCGGTCTTGAGCGACGACGTGCGCGCGCCCGTCGACGTGCTCCAAAAATGGATGTGCTGGTCCTGCGACCCGCCGCCGGTCGCGAGCAAATTCGGCTGCCACGGACACCACGCGAGCGCCTTGACGGCCGCGGTGTGGTTCCGCTTCGTCCACTTGGGCACGGGGCGTGCCGTCTCGTCCATGACGCTCGAGAGGGTACGCGCGCTGCGTCAGCCATGTCAAGAAAGCACTCACTCCCAACAGTTGACGACGTTGTCGTTTCCGCCCGACGCGAGCAGCTGCCCGTCCGCGCGCCACGTGAGGCCGCACACCTCGGCCGTGTGCCCGCGCAGCTCGGCCGTCTTGTGCTGCGCGACACGCACGTCGTGGTGGAAGATCGTGCCGTCCCGGCACCCACTGCTGAGCACATGGCCGTTCCAGGAGAGGGACGCGACGCGGGCATTGTGCCCCCCCATCACGCGCACTCTTTTGTTGTCTTCCACGTCCCAGATCTCGACGGCGCCCACGTCGTTGCCGACGGCGAGGTACGCGCCGTCGGGGCTCCACGAGACGGAGCAGACCATGGCCTCCGAGTCTGATTCGAGGGCCATGACGTCGCCCGTCTCCGCGTCCCATACGTACGGAAGCGTTTCGAGGCCGATCGCGACGCGGTTCGCGGAGCTCCACGCCACAAGGTTCAGGTAGTAGTCGTCTGTGAAGTTGGGCGCGTCGAGCACGCGTTCGGGCATATAGGGTGGAGTGCGCTTCTTGGGGGCCGCGGAGGAGGAGGCGCCCGTCCCCCGGTTCGCGGTGGCGGACGAGTGGAGGAGGTAGGCGCGCTGCGCGTCCAGATGGGAGGTGGCGTGCGTCGCCGAGGGGGGAGCGGCGCGGAAGCTCAGGATGCGCGACTTGGGGGCGGTAGAGGAGAGTTCGGCCGAGAGATCGTGGTAGGGAGTCGAGGTCGAGGAGAGGGAGGAGCCGCGCGAGGGGACAAATCGGTCGAGCTGGGGTGAGCGGGCTGCGGGGAGAGGGTGGCATTGGCGGCAATTATGTGTGATGATAGCGGAAGGGGGAGGGAGTATGCGGAAAGGGATTAAGATCAAAGCAGGAAAGACTGTAGGCAGAATTAACCATACAATGGTCACGGCGTGAAGCTGGACGTGCAGGAGCCTCATGCCCCCAACACTCGGCGAGAACTCACATCGCGCCCCCGGTTCTCCCGGTCCCGACGCTTTGGGACGTCAGAGACGAACTCGCCCGCGCCATCGAGGTTCATGCGCCCGAGCCCATCACGAAGCGCCGTTATGCTCGCGCTCTCGCGCTTGCTCCGAGGCGTCTTTGGCGTCACCGACTTGCGGACGAATGGGTTTGATCTGTTGTGAGCGTGGGCCGCGAGACGCGGGCGGAGCGGTATGGAGAGAGTTGAAGGAGGTGGATACATAGAAGAGGGAAGAATGAATATGCTGCGCTAATTCAATGGAGGACTTACTCGTCGTGGGCCATGGTGGAGGATATAGATGTTGTGAGAAGATGAGGATGATGATGGATCAGGAGTGTTGTTGTGGCTGGAGTGTGGAAGGCAATGAAAGCAGTCGCGTGCGGGATCAATTTGCTCCCGCCCAAAAGTCATGTTTCGGCGGTGGAGGCTGTCCCACTCCTCCTAGTCTCGGTACTCGACCCACTTACTCTCGCGACCGCTTCACTTTGATCTATGCTGCGGGCTCTCACGCGCGCCTGCGTGGGATGTCCTGGGCCGGGTCCTGCCACTGTGCGGATGCGCGCCATCCGGTCATGGTCCACTCTGCCGAAGGCTGAGCTGGAGGACCACGACTCTCCCCCGACCCCTCGCGACTCGGTAGCCCACGATGTCGTGCGCGCTCGACGACGGGCCGCGCGTGGAGGAACGCCCTGGCGAGACATGAATGAGCATGTTAGTATCTCCGCCTTCTCTTAAGGAACTGTTCGCGACATCTCGACTGACAGCAGGACTATGCTAGGGCCGAGAAGGTGGCGGAGCTGCAGGCCGCGCGGGTGAAGCAGGCCGAGATGCACTTCAAGGAGGCTGCGGACAGGCTAGGCGAAGTCCTTCAAGCTCACCGCGGTACGCAACCCCTGCCGCCCGCGGTATCGGAAGACGCCGACGCCCTCGACCTTGCCCAGGCCGAGGTCCGAGAAGCGGTCGACGACATGTGTCACGACTTGGATGATCTTGACCTCCCACGGTTTGCCCTCCGATGGCTGACGTTTATGGAGGCAAAATGCTATTCCAGTCTAACCGAGGCGGACTGGGACGCGCTCAACCAGCGTCTAGCGGCTTCCTTGCGAGGGACTGAGCAAACGCAGTACCGCGGTGTCCTCCACGGTCATCTCGCCGACCTAGTCTACGGCGACCCTGCGCTGTTTCGGGCCGTGTGCCATTTTGCGGTCGAAGCAGCGGCGCGGCATTGCTGGCAAACGCTCCTCGAGGTTCTCTTTGAGCTGCTACGGTTCGAACACGCCGCACTCGCCAAGATCCTCTTCGAGGCGTACAAGGCGCGAGGCATCGTGGTTGATGGCATCGACATCTCTCTCGCCCCATCCCAAATTCGTGCTGAGCGTCTTGCGTCGCGCCTCAAGTCGGAGGGCATGCGGCCCCTCGTCCTTACATACGTGGCGGCACTCACCCTTCTCAACAGGTGGGATGAGTCAACGTCCTCGGTCTTCATTGGACTCGACATGGACGGCGTGATGCGGCGGTTCACCCGCCACATGGATCAGTACCAGGTTCAGCGGCGCGTTCCACGCCTAGGCGGCGATCCCAAGCTCCTCCGGCGATACCGGGACAATTGTGACAAGTTGGCCCTCATCTTCTACGCCTGGCATGCCGACGCACTGAATCTGCATATTCACCACCTCAGCGTACAGTCTCCTGGCGACACTACTGCTTTGGATAAACTTTACAACGACGTCCTCCGCGCATCGATCGGCCCGAATCGTTTCATGATTCCTGCAGAGCGCCCCAAACGCAACGCTTCCACTGTAATTCTGCCTGTCATGGTCTGGGGTTAGTTTGCAAGGCCGTCCACGCTGACACCAAGGTGCGTTTGCCTGTGCATACTCTCGCCAGCGTCGTGCCGATGTGATCATGCGTATGATCGAAGTCGACATGCCTGCGCGGTACGGCAGGGTACCTCTGACGGCTCTCGAAACGTTCGTTCCCTGCCTCGCCGTGACCGCGGGCAAAATGCCTGATCTCCGCCCGCGCATCCAGAAATACTTAGACATCGTCTGGCAGCGCATGCTAGGCATGGGCGCGGCACGTTCACCTAACGCTGTCTACAACCGACTTTCCGCTCTGCTGAGCATGGGCCAACTGGAGGGATTTCAAGCAACCGTGGCGACACTACATGCCTCCCTCCGAAATGCGGGAAACACTCTGGCAGACGTAGCAGTCGTGCCACACCTCGTCAGCTTCCATCTGCGGATGCAGCACTACGACGAGGCGCTGCGTCTTATCCAGGGGCTTGCTAGGCTCAAGGATATGGCCAGTCTTAACCTCAGGGCGGTTCGCGACCTCCTTAAGTACACGAGCTACGCCAAGTACCCGTACGAGAAGCGGCGCAAGCTTGTTGCCGAAGTGCTACGCCGCGTCGATCCAAGCCTGGTCAGCCCCGTATCCAAGGCCCTCCTGATGCGGTTTTTGCTGGACGGTGGTAATCCTGTCGAGGCCGTATGCGCGAGTCTCATCAACTCCAATGCAGCCTCACCAGGCTACTACCTGAAGGTGGTAAGGCGGCTTACGCAGCCCCGCACGTCCCGGAGAGACATTCCCCTCGTGTACCTCGAGGCAGCTGTGCACATTCTCGAGAAGCATGTGCCGACGGACAAGAGCTACGCAGGCGTCACGTACACAACTATCTGGAACACAGTGGTGAAAGCAATCAGCATGTCGCACGCCACGGAGGGCGAGCGCTCCGAGCTCGTCCAGCGCGCCTTCGACTGCTTCCCCGCTACACGCGAGACGCAACGCGGCCACACGCTCGCACTTATGCGCTCCGTGATAATGGACAGTCTGTGGCGTGATGACCCATTCCCAGCCCTCGCAGCCCACTGGTGGCGCAAGCTCTATGCCATGGACGCTGGCATGCACTACCTCCCCGAGGTGGAGGTTGCGGTCAGCGGCTTCGTGCAGGCCGGGCTCATCGAGCCCGCGATGCAGGTTGTCGAGATGTGCTGTCGCATGAGCACGCAGCACGGCAAGTTGCGCAGCGTGCTGGCCGAGCGCGCAGAGTGGACATGCCCTGCGTTTGAGGAGGTGTTGTACCGCGAAGGCATTACAGAACGGAACGGCGAAGTCGTCCCCCACCTCCCGCGCTTTGGCGTCGATTATGGCGCAACGGGATGGCAGGACAGCCCATGGAGCCCTGAGGTGCGCGAAGAGTTCGACGAGGAGGCCGCAGAGGCTGAGATGGGAGTGGGTGAAGAGCTGGAGGAGCTGGAGGACGTAGATTAGGGATGATTTGCATTCTATCTTGGACCCAACCCGGGTTTATTCTAAACCGGCCCGGCCCACCGGCCCGGTGTCGGGTGTCACCATCTCGTTTCATCGAACTGCACACCATCCATCGTCCATGTCCAACCACCCCTCTGCGCCAGAGGAAGTCATTCCACCCTTCGACCTCCCCCCTATGGGGGAGGATGATGCGGTATCTCCCGCCGAAATGCTTCCCCCACCTGTCCCCAACCCCGCCTTGCCGGACGTCACCCTCCCGCGCCTGGTGCTCGGATGTGCGCCCTTCGGGTACGGCGTATACACGGACAAGGACGCGGTGCGCACGTCGATGCCTGTGAGGATTGTGCGTGCGGCCCTGCGCGCAGGCATGTGCGCGTTTGACACTGGTGAGTTGCCCGTCTGAGCTCTCACTCTGCCCACCTAACCCCAGCTCCCCACTACCACCCATCCGAGATCATTCTGGGGCACGCGCTCGCCGCGCTGCGCGACGAGTTCCCGCGCTCGTCATACGCCATCATCACCAAGGCGGGCAAGTACGGCCCGACAGTCAAGGACCACGACTACGCGCCCGAGACGATCAAGGCGAGCGTTGAGCGCAGCCTGCGGCGACTGCAGACAGACTATCTCGACGTGGTGTGTGCGTACTCCTCCTCCATTCACCCTCCTCTCTCTAATGGTAGACCTGCACGACGTCGAATTCGTCGCGGACGCACCGCCGGCGCAAGGCACACACCTGGACGCACTAACGAACCCCGCGGCCTTCCACTTGACCGACCCGACGCCGCTCGGCGCCGGCGACGAGAGGGTCCTCGCCGCCCTCGGCGCGCTGCGCGACCTCGAAGCCGCGGGCAAAGTCCGGCGTATCGGCATCGCAGGCTATCCGCTCCCGACGCTGCTGCGGCTCTGCCGCCTCGCCCAGGCGGCGGGGCTCCCCGTCGATGTCGTGCAGAGCTACGCGCATCACACGTTGCAGTGCTCGACGCTGCCAGCGTTCCTGGCTGCGTTCGAGGACGCGGGCGTCGCGCAGGTCCTCAACGCCGCGCCGCTCGCGATGGGCATTCTCACCGCTGGCGGGGGGCCGGACTGGCATCCCGCGAAGTACATCCCCGACGTGTATCCCGCCACGCGCGAGGCTGTGGACGTGGCAAAGCAGAGGGGGACGAGCATCGAGCAAGTCGCGTGCAATCTCGCATACCGGCCGCTCCTGCTTGGCAGCGGCGGTGTCGTGCCCTGCGTTATTGGGTGTACAGATCTCGCGCAGCTCCATGTCACTCTCCGCGCGTTTGCGGCGGCAAACAACGGCGACGTGGAGGAGAAGGTGATGGAAACCGAGCGCGTGCTGGTCGAGTTGTTCAAGTCGCGGGGTGTGCATAACGTCAGCTGGCAGAGTCCTGCGCCTAAGGACATGTAGCATGCATAGGGTGGTATTTTGTCTAGTATTGTCTTCCTGCGGCTATGACAGCGAAATGTGACAGCCCGCTTGCTCTACTCCTCGCGCGTCGGCGCGCGCAGCTGGGCCTGTAGCCCGGCCCGAGTCCCGCGCACCGTCGTCCAGATGTACTTGAAGACCGTCTCCATCGGCGTGAACTGCCCCACGAGCTGCTTGTACGCGTTGTACGCTGGGTACTGGCGTCAGCCGGCTGCTGAGGAGCAAACTCACCCTGTGGCTCGTGATCCACTCGGTCAGCGTAGTCGAGGCAAGGAAAAGGAGGCTGAGCATGAAAGGTGGGAGGAGGCATGTGCCCACGCGCGGCGCGACCGGCCCCGCCCCGAGGCCCAATAGGCCCTGTGCGAGCCAGAAGCTCTGCTCGCCGGTGAAGTTGGCGTGTCGCATGACGGCGTGGATGCCCTTCGTGGGGAAGCCGGGGAAAAACTCGGCGGGCACCTCGGCGGGCTGGGGCACGCCCGTGTCCTCGGGTCGCGGAGTGCCTTTGGCCTTGATGGCGGCATGCTTGGCCTCCTGGTACTCGTACATCGCGTCGTCCGTCTTCTTCTGCATCAACACGGCGCCGAGGGCGAGGAGCGCGGCGATGGCGTCGCCGGCGTGGAGAACCGGCGTGTCGAGAGGGATGTTGTGCTTGAGAGCCGTGGACCAGAGGGGGCGGAAGAAGTTGAGCGTGACGTGCCAGTCTGGGAAGGGGCCGGTGGAGAGCTGCGAAGGAGGCAGGAGCATGGCAGCGATGGGGAAGGACAGCGTCAAGAGGAGGAGAGGCTGGGCGACGACAACGGCAAAGATGTGCACCACAATCTCGAAGAACCACTTGGGCACGAGGCGGCGGACAATCGGGTAGCGGTAGTCTTCCATGTGTCTGGTGTGAGTCTGACTGGAAGAGAGGAGAGCTCACCGGTCATAGAATCCGCGGCGTGCGGAGTGGTGGGTTAAGCGTGCGCACCAGACGAACTGAGTGAGTTTAGCTTGATGGATTACGCACCTGGATGAGGATGGCGAGGGCGACGCGAGGCAAGCTAGCCACGAGCGGGCCGCGCGCCCAGCTCCCGACAAGAATGGAGCAGAGTACTGGCCATGTCGTGTAGATGCGGTCTACGGACGAGACGTTTCCCGTGATGTGGTTGGCGATGTAGCACGCTGGGATGCAGAGGGCAGTGAGGAAGCTTGGGAGGGCGAGCGGGTCACCTCCGAGCGGAAGGCTGGGGCGGAGGCCGAGGGGAATCTGCATCGTGCAGGTCAGCTGGTGAGTAAGAGTGAGAGACGAGGATGAAGAAGGCGAAGGCGATGGAGATGACGTTGGAGTCGAGGTGTAAGCTGGTGGCTGCGGAGGAGACTGCGGCAGAGATGAGCAGTACAGTCGTGGCAGGGGGAGGTGGTGGAGTGATATGACGTATACTCAGTAGAACGCCGAACCAAACATGATGGTAAGGCCTTGCCTTGGGTGGCTGATTGCCGACATCGTCCCATCCTGCGTAGTCAGTCACCCGCCGCGTGCTGTCGATATTGTGCAATACGCAGGCTGACTCTGATCTCAGGCAAAGATGACGAGAGAAAACGCGGCGTACTTCCAACTCCGTTCCTGTAAGTGGGGATTACAAATCTATCCAGCTCCCATGAACTGCCAACAAGTCCCCTCCCACCTGTCCGCTTTCGTTCTCCGATCCGAGCACATGCGTGCAAATTCTTTGATCAATGCGACTACGACCATGCGCTCAAATGACATGGGCTCGCTTTCGGACGGAGTATGGTTATTCCGACGCGTTCTTGGAGCAGCGCCTCTGCCACGGCAAGTCGATCGAAAACCCAATAAACCCAATTTGCCACCCAGGGGTGCGGGAGCATGACCGCCGTACCGCCGGCCGACCGAGACCCAGGCCAGTCCCGCATCAGCGTTTCCGCTTCGGGCTGTGCTCGCCTCTGCAGTCTCGAGAGCGAGGCGCCGCCGACGTCCGCCAAGCCCACTGTGCACGCCTCTAGCTGGCAAGTGAATGCGCGGCGTACGTTACATCTTGTGCCCCGCGCTGTGCGCCGTGGCATAATACCTGCATTTCAGAGCACGGAGAGCTGGACGCTGCTTTGGGCGCTCGAGAGGGGCGAGCGTTACCCGTGCAGCTTGAGCTTAGGCTCCCGTCCCGATCGAGCGCCCGAGCTACCATCATCTTGCATCACCACGGACGAATGGGGGCGCGCTCTCGCTAGAACGGCTAGAACGGCTTCAAGAGAACATGGTTTCAAGGTTGCACTGCGTGACAGGCACCGCCATGCCGAGCGTTGCGTACTAGCACTTATTATACCGCTCCGTCCGCCACGCCGCCACACCGCCACATTCAGAACACGCGCCTGCGACTGAAAACGATCGCCGGGCGATCGCACGATCGCGCCGCACCTAACTTTAGAATTGGAAACATGATCGCCCAATGCATACTAGTGATGTGGCAGTGTAGTGTGACAGAAATCGGTCTAGGTCTAACAAGTCTACGCCTCGTCCATGGCGTCGTCGCGCCGCGGGAAGCTGAAATCACGGAACATGAGAGCATACGGGTCCTCGCTCTCGTCGTAGGGAGCACCGAAAATACCCGGCAGCTCGGTAGGACGGGGAGGGGGGTATCGTTGGAAGTTTTGCGAGTCGCCTGTGTGTCAGCTTTGCTTAGATGGAGGAGAGCAACTCACTCATGCTGCCTACTCTTGGAACGATCGGGGCGCCAATCTCCTTGCGCTCGAGAGATCCCCAGTCGACTCCCTGGAACCAAGGGTGGTTCATAACGTCGCGCGCACCGCCGCGCAAGTTGCCCAACCGTTTTGTTCGGTCGGCCGTGAGGAGGCCCCGGATGAAGTCCTTGGCGTAGGGGTCAATGTGGGAGGGGAAGGAGACTTCGTTGCGAAGGATCTTCTCGTAGATCCCGAGCGGGTGGTCGTCGAAGAAGGGAGGGTAGCCAGCGAGCATCTCGAAGGCAAGGATACCAAGAGCCCACCAGTCAACTGCCTTGCCGTGGCCTTGCGACAGCACAATCTCTGGTGCAAGATATTCTGGTGTGCCACACAGCGTGAAGGTGCGATCCTCGACTACCTTGGCAAACCCAAAGTCTGCGATGCGCAGGTACCCACTGCGGTCGAGGAGCAGGTTCTCAGGTTTCAGATCACGGTAGATGATGTTCTTTGAGTGGAGGTAGTCGATCGCAAGCACGATCGACGCGAGGTAGAAGCGCGTAACGTCGGGCGAGAAGCGGCCCGCGCGGCGCAAGTGCGAGAAAAGTTCACCACCAGGGACGTACGTGAGCAGCATGTAGACGTTCAGGTTGTCCTGGTACGTCGCGTGCAGCTCGACGATGAATGGATGCCGGACCTTTTCGAGGATGCGCCGTTCAGAGTTCATGTGCTCGACCTGCTTGAGACGCACAATCTCGCTCTTGCGCAGCACCTTCATGGCGAAGTGGGGAAGCTGCCCGTCGGCGTGTTGCGTTGTGACAGGTGATGGCGCCTGCGGGTCTGCGGGCTGGTAGAGGTTGGGAAAGATGGGGTGATAGGATGTTGGGCGATAGGATGGTCTCTGGCGAACGAGAAGGACGCGTCCGAAGGTGCCGGTGCCGAGGGTCTCGACGACCTCCCAGTCTGCAAGCCCTACGCGCCCGCTGCTGGGGTGAGCCTGTTGCCCATGAGGGTAGGCGGCGGACGGTCTTTGGCCAAAGCGGCCCTGCCACTGCTGTGCTGACGACGGGGATCCCTCCATGACGTTCTCCATCCCGCCCCATGCCGACGACGCCTCCCAAGCGGAAGGAGGCGTTGACATGAGTGACGCTGGGGGTGAGAGCGGTGCTGCTTGTCCTGGCGGAAGGGGCACGTAGTCTGTTGTGCGTAGGTGAAGGATGTGGAACGAGTAAGGGGATGGGGTTCGAAGCAGGAGCGTCAGTCCCGTGCATAGCGGTGGTTTGAGCCTTGCGAGACGGATCTGCGCGACGGTATGGCTGATGACTCACGCGTCTGGATTGCTGGAAGCGGGTGAGCGCCTTGTTGAGGATGGAGGCGCTGCTGATGCTGCTGCTGATGCTGCTGCTGATGCGGCTGGTGTTGCAGGTGCTGGTGCTGCTGTTGTGGCGGCCGGAATGTGGGCTGCGCGCCGAGGGGCGGCGGAGCCATCTTGTTGCTCGCGTTACTCGGCGCAGGCGGAGCCATCATCGCTGCTCGCTCGTGGGGGAGGAGCATTGACATGGGGTCGAACTTGAACTTGCTCTTGGGAGGTTCCATGGTGGCGACCGGAGGCTATCTGCTGGATGCGCGCGCCAGGGCGGAGAGGGGGCCGACGTACGGCGTACGAAGGCGTTGCAGGCCGCAGAGGGCCGCGTGGAGAGGTTGAGAGGGGGGAGTAGGGAGCGTCGACCAAGGAGGACAGTGAATGAACGAGTGAAAGAGAGTGAGAGGGAGATGGAGAACAATGTCGAGTGGATGAGGACGAGACGAGAAGAGAGCTGTGCTTGCCGATCCGCAGGCCGCTCAATCGACCAAGGGACGCCGATCCAATTTTGGTGCCGCCGACTTGGAAACAATCAACCTTTCACCAGGTAAAGGAGTTGTTGTTCGCTCGTCGCTGTCTGTAACGGCTGCGCGGGATGAGGGAGTGTCGATCAAACAAATGCTGCGAGCGAGTGTTGTGGTGTAGGGTGTAGTCTACGTGTTCTGCAGACCGAGGAGATGCAAGGGAGGTATGAATACGACGCAGAATATTGGCAGAGAAGGGGCGGTGAGAGGGGTGTCTCGGATGCCTGATTCTGCCGGGCTTCCGGGGTCAAGGTTAGGAGGATGAGGTGAGCTAGAGTGGGGTAGGCCCCTAAGAATCAGGTTGTGGGTATTGCATGTTGTGGGCACTGGACCCGAGACAGAGTAATTGAGAAACAATCTTGGCCCTCGGTCCTCCCTCCGCCCCGTCACCGTCACTCCCTCTCTCCAGCTGAAAGGGAATGCATCGAAGGGGCAAGCGGGGCGGGGGGCGTGTCCAAAGTAAGGCAAAAAAGCTAGTAAGGCACACGACCAGAAGACGAGGAGGAGGAGAACGCGAGAGAGGTTATTACAGAAGAGGGCAAGCCGCCCCTTATTTAGCTAAACCTCTGCTCTCATGACTCTCACTCTTCCATCAGGCCATCAGTAGTCGCTGTTGGCCGCGCCAACGCTCTGTTCCTTTCCAGGAATTCTTCCTCGGAAAAGCTGGCAATCTCTGCGAGCTCAACCTACTGGGCACCATCCTCTGCGCCCACTCATCATGCGCAGTCAAGAACCCTCCGTTACTTCAGAGTTGACGAAAGCCAAGCCGCTATGGTAAAGCTACCAACCGGCGCAGCCATGGTAGCCCTAGCGCCACTGCGCCACGTCTCGCCAGCCACGTCCTCTGTAAAATGCCCGGGGTGGGTTGTCCCTTGGTTCCCCTCGACGCCTCTCGACTCGGGGCGGTCACCTCCCAGGCATTCAGCCGTTCTCGAGCCCTGTCTAGCGTCCCCCTGGCATGCCTCGTACGAATAAACCCTCAACGTGCCAACAGTATCGACAGCAACGAGCAGCGTTCGGGCGCTTCTGCGCTGTCTTTGGCTGTGAAGCCGTGAGCGCTCACACTCACTTCCCGGTGGCAGCGCCAGCGAAGAAACCCAGGCACACCTTTACGTACTCGGCCCGCACAATCCCTCAATTGTTCGAGGCCTCCGAGGTCTGCACTATTAAGACACGAGCGCCTTCTGACACAATACGCGTCGACCCTGGGAGTGTACTGAAGCCCAGGCGCGCCTGGACGCAGACTTCATCGACTTGGTCGGCCATAGATGTACTCGGGCATACCACCATACCGGCTTAAGCGCCCCGCCTTGGGCGAAACCACGTTACCCCGCTCCGGTTTCTGTCCCGTGTTGGCGCTTGTTGCCGCACTATATGTGGCGCAGTGGCGGTGGTGAAGAATTGCAGTGCGGTCTCCGTGGCGCGCGCTGTGTTGCTGCAGGATCGCAGGAGGAGGAGGGCGCTCCTTTGTGCCCTCGAACACTCCCTCTAGAATCACTGGCGCTGGTGACATTCTATTGTTTCAAATATTCAGATATTACGTGGAGCGCTGAACAAGCGTTGCAGGGGTCGTGGCATGCGCGACTCATGCTGACGCGTACGACTCGATTGAGTAACGTACACCTCCCCCAAGTTCCCCGGGAAATTGAGGGAGATGGAGGGGAAATAGCAGACTCAAAGTTTGCGCGTGGGGAAAGTATGGATGAGTGACATGTGCAATGAAAAGCACACCGTGGGAGAGCTGGACTCGCGACGATCGCGTGGAGATTGGCGTGGCAATCTGAGTGATACGGATCGGCGGTGATCGGCGTGTGGCTCGTCTTGACGTCACAATTCATGTCGGCCTGTCGGGCTGTCGGCCATTCGCTCTGCCGGCCGGATGGGAGCCTGAGACTTGGGACAATGAGAGAGCGATGAGAGAGTGGGCAGCTGCTGTGGCCGTGGCCGTAGCTGCCTGCGTTAAAGTTGCCTTGGGCCTGGAGATTGCAGATTGGGCTGGACACAGGTAGAGGTGGCGGGCAACATGCCATGACAACGAGAATACGCTATCCGGCATCTCATCTTGTCATTCATCCATTCACCATGAGCCCGAGACAACCATCCAACTCGACATTCTTCTCGGGCGGCTCTCCCAAGGTGCCCCGCTTCGGCTCCTCTCCGGCATCCAAGAATCGCCCCTTCACACCAGGGAGCACACGCGATGACCTCGCACAGAAGCGTGCCGCCGAAGCAGCAAGACAAGCGCAGAGCCTAGGCAGGAGCACCCTCGCCGGCTCTCCTCTTGCTGGCAGCGGTCTCCGGCCTCCCGAGGAGGAGCCACGCACGAGCTTCAGCGACGATATGGGTCGTGCGTTCGACGACATCGGCTTGGCCGCCAGCAAGCCGCTCCCACCCAGCGAGCCGCCCACACCAGCGAAGCCGCATGTAACTCCTGAGGCCTCGAATGGAGCCCGTCGGGCCGCAGCCGACGCTGATGCGCCACCGCCGGGCACCGCTATGCTCGGTGCGCGTCCCCCTGCTGAGCAGAAATCAGGCGAAAGGGGATCTGGACAACTGCCTGTTCCCCCCACCGACGCTCCTCCCACCGCTCGTCAGGTCAGCAATCCCGTCAAAGATGTGACCACCGCCGACCTCGATGGCGTTCCCGTTTTCTTCATAGACGGTGGTCTCGAAGGTGGCCTTCCAGACGAACACGGTGTCGTTTCAATCAAGGCGCAGCCCGACACGCGAAGCGTCCCCCTAAGCCCCTCTCATGCCAGCCAGCGCGCTTCTGTACAGCCAGATGAGACCTCCTCGACTCCTCGCGACGGCCAGCAGCCACTAGGAGCGCACCAAGCCGCTTTCCAGCATTCTCCAACCGCGCAGCGATCCACGCCCATTCCCACGTTCCCTCCGGGCGTGCAAGGTGCTATGGGAGACCACACCGCCCCAGAAGGGATATACACAGCCCAGCAGCTGTCCCCTTCCGCTGAGGAGACCCACACGTCTCGCGAAGCCCACGATCTGTCCGCCTCCGCCCCAGCCAAACTGGCTGACCGCGCTGAGCGGCGCACGTTCGGCCAGCCGGCAAGCAGCGACCCGACGTCACCTCATTCCTTCACCTCGGGTACAACCCCTGTTGCCCCGACCTCCCCCAACGCCCCGAGCGCCCAAGGCGACCGGGGCGGATACGACCCGCACATCTATGGTGCCGCGGGCGCTATGGGCGCCGCTGGAGTGGCAGGCGCGGCCGCCGCTATGCTGTCCAGTAAGCTGCAGGGCGACGTGCCGGACACACAGGAGATACAGAACCACGACGTCCACCACAACGAAGAGGCGGGGCGTGGCGAGGCGCAGAACTCGGCCACCACAGCGGATCTCGCTGTGCCAGACAGGCGCAATCTCACTGCCGAAGCGCCCGCCGAGGCACCCACAATCATCCCCGCCTCGCCCCCCTATGACGGTGTTGCTGGCACTGCCCATGACGCGCAATCCAGTACCGCCCGCCAGGGCCCCGATGCCCCTATTATCACGCCCCAGCGCAGCCATACGGCGGAGATGGCAGCCGGCATGGCAGCCGGCACGGCTGGGGGCGCCGCTAGCGTCGCCATCCCGGACGCTACGGTCGCCTCATATCCCGAGAGACCCTCTCGGCCGCGTGCCATGTCCTCAGTCTCCGCGGTCCCCGACGACCTCGACCCGGACTGCCTTCCCGATCTCACCACTGCGGAACCTCCTATTTCCCCTCCCCCGCGCGAGATGGCAGCTTCCCCCGCCTCTGTCCCAGACGACTACGACGCATGCGTTCCCCCTCAGCACTTGCAGCACACCAACTCCATGGACCATGTTCCGCGGACACCGGAGGCGGGTGCGCGGAGAGACGACGCCACGGACGGCCACGGCCACGAGAGCACGAGAGACCAAGTGGCGCCGGAGCACGACGACACGCCCGTCGCGGTGAACATGGAGCAGATGCGGGATGAGCCCGCCTCTCACTCCTTCCCCGAAGGCACCGAAACCGCGGCGCAGCACTCCGCCCCGGCTCTTGCTGGCGGGCTGGCTGGCGCAGGCCTTGCCCTCGGCACTGGCTCGAGCCAGATGCCCGAGGAACGCTCGATGTCCGCCGCGTCCATGGTGGCGATCAAGGACGGGCGGACGGGCGTGCCGGGCGCCGTGCGCACGAGCAACCTCGTATGCGAGCCGGCGCCGAAGACCGGCGAAACCTTCATGACGGGGGCGAGCGCGACGCCGTCCGAGGTCTCGCTCGTGGGCGACACGCGGCGCGGGCACGAGGCCGCCGAGTCCACCGCGAGCATCACGGCCATCAGAGGCGGGAACGAGGGCGCACCCCCCAGCCCGCCCGGCAAGTCGCCGCTCTCGGCCAGCCGCACGATGGACGATATGCTGGACGAGGCGGAGCCGGCTCGCCTCGCGGGCGCGGGTGGGGCGGGCGCGCTCGTGGCCGCTGGCGCGGTGGCGCGCGACACGCCGGAGGACCGCCGACACGGCGATAGTGCCGAGGCTTTGCGTGCGTCGCAGCTGCACTCGACAGAGGCCCATGGCACCCAGCATGTCGAACCCAGGAGCGAGCATAGGGAGGCGCGCGAGATCCACTCCCCCACGCCGAGAGTCGATGACTGGCACACGGCAACTACGTCGACACCGGCAAACGAGGTGTCGGCGACTGAAGCAGACAACCGGCTGGTGGGCGAGGCTACGCCTGCGCCTGGCGACTATATGGCCGCGGGGAGCGGCGAAACATCCGCGACAACGCCCCATGCGCCCGGCGCGTTCCCGGTGGACCCGCCCAGCGTGCCCGCGGAGCCGGTGACGCATGATGCGGCGCCGCTGCACACGGAGACTCACGCGGATAGCCTACGGGAGCGGGTTCATCAAGAAGAGGCTACGGAGACGCCTGTGGCCGAATCGTCTACGATGGCGGCTCAGCCTGCGACCGCGACCACTTTCTCAATGGAAACACCGACCCCGTTGGGGTCGGGGGCTGCAGTGGCTGGCGGTGCCGCTGCCGCTGGAGCTGCGGCGGGCGGAGTGGCGTTTGCCGCTGGCAAGGCCGGCGCGAGCACAGACACAAACACGAACACCGCAGCCGCAGTTAGAACCAACGGCACCGAAGCGGCCCGCGCCACCGAGCGCAGGCAAGTCCCCGCAGAGAGCTCCAGCAAACCCGCGGCTGGAGCAGGACATAGCCGCACAAATAGCAAGAGCAGTGCGGGGAGCTTGCGCAAGGTCGGGTTCATGAGCAAGCTCAAGGGCGAGTTCAAGGTGTTGAGCGGCAAGTTGAAACACGACGACAAGATGGTCGCGGAGGGCGTGCGCATGAAGCAGGGGCAGTGAGATAATGAACGGAATGCTATGTACAAGTAACAGGTTGATATGACACTTTCATGCCGGTTGGTCGCCGGCTGTGCTATGGGGAGCACCAGGAGAGCACGCAGCACGCTGCTCTCAGTAATACCATCTTGAGAGAGCCCTGCTGTCAGATGTAGTTGAGGCTGTTTACTCACCCCGGAACGGCTGCGACAACGTCATCGCCGGAAGCCAGTGCCGCCTCGTACTCTTCCCTCACACTGAGGAAGATGTCCATCGTGGCGCGTGCGTCTTCGAGCTGCCATCAGTCGCTGCCGTGGAGGGACTCACAGGACAGTGGGAACCACACTGTATCTTGCGACCGAGCACCTCCAGTGCGACTCGGCGAAGAGCGGGATACTGTCCCTCGTGGTGGACATTGCACCGCTCACGCAGTGGATAGTACAACGCGGTATCGCGCATCTCCTCGTAAACGTGCCGGTGCTGCAGGATCGCGAGGTCGTTGAACAGCGCGTGACCGACAACGATCTTGTCGGCAAGAAGCTCCCTCACGCACGCTTGGACGATCTCGAAGGATGGTGCTGAGGTCAGCTCGAATCTAGCTGTGGTGCGGAAGCCGACCCACCGCCGTGCAAGTCACTCTTCGTTATGCCGGTTATATCGGTGTGGTAGTTTGTCACGTCTTCTGGATGGACAAAGACGAAGGAGTGGTACACTTCGGCGCCGGTGTAGTCGACGACCGCGATGCTAGAGTCAGCCGGATGACAGTAGCCTGGTGGTACCGAGCAAGTGCCAACTGTGAGCGGCACTGCACCATCTCGCAGTCTGGTTTATGTCAGTGAGCCCAAGTGTGCAGGGGGATCATACCGAGAGCGACGTAACGACTGAGCGGTATCACAGCCATGTTCAAGAAAGATGTAGATCCGAAGAAGATGGATGCGTCTGTGTTTTTATAAGTGTGGTCGGTGTTGATCGCTGATCATCTGGTGGACATGGCCGGTGGAGGTTCAACAACCTGGCCACCTGGAACCACACATCCGCTTCCGTGCATGCCTTGCACTCCTCTCTCTCCCGCTCAATTATTCCCTTTGCTAAATTGCTCTAGCGTCATGCCAGGCCTCCCACAGCCAGGCATGCCGGGCTTCGCGCCCGCGCTCGTGGCCGCTGTCGCCTCTTCCCCCATGCTCCGTGGCTGGCCCGTCGACGGCACGCTCACCGCCGTCCTCCTCCTCGCCCTCATGGCTCGACGTGGAGGCGTAATCCTAGACGCAGTGGGAAGCACGGCAAAGGTCGCAAAAGTGGTCGGCGCAGTACGTATTTGGTGAGAGGAGAGCAGCGGCGGGACACCATTGCCGAGCGGTCACTGATGGCAGCTCACCGCTTCCGTGTTCGGCCTCGAAACACGTTTCATGCGTCTCTCACATAGCAGCGTCGCCGCCGACGCGGCACTTGGCCCCCCATCAGCCGCTGACCCTGCTTCGGAACCCAAACCTCGCCCCCCTGCTGCCCGCGCCGTTGTGATCACCGGACTCGAAGATGCACCGCCGCCGGTGCTCGTTCAACTGCGGGGCGACTTCGCCTCGGCTGAACGCAGTCGGAACGCCCCGCTCATTGTGTGGGTGCGCGACGAGGAGCGCGACGAAGCTCCGGGGTGGCTCGTACGTCTTTCCCCTCACTTCTTGCCGTGTCGGCCTCTTCTGACACCAGATCGACATCTTTGCCTGCTCCGCACTCATCTACGCTGACGAGCTCGTCGCGCCTCCTCCTGGATTGGGCGTGACAGCTCTCATTCCTCCAGAGTATATCCTGGACCTTCGTTCCCTCCTCCTCCTCACGCACATTCACCCACCACTGGAAAGTCACATCAATAACCTCCTCACCGCCCTCTCTCTCCACCCAACGCTCGAAGCACGGCTGACTTCTCGTGCATCTGCGTGCTTCAACACGCTCATCAAAGGGCAGCGGATCCTTGCCGGCCCCTTCGAGCTGCCAGAAGGCTGGCTCGAGCATCTTCGCGCCTGGCGCGCCGATAAGTGGGCCGAGGCTGAGTACGATGCTGGCGCTGGGTCGTCTCTCCCAGCCTCTGCTCTACATTCGCGCACACTGGCGAACAAGGGCGGATACGGCGGTGGGCCTGGCGGAGTCGACACCTGGGGCCAGAGGGCAGGGGAAACGCCGACGCCGGCGAGCATGTTAGGCCCCGGTGCAACAGACTGGTACTGCGACCCCGACAATGTAGAGGGCGCGTTTGAGCTTGCCATTCGCCATCGCGTGCACGTCCGTCGACCTGGAGAGGCAACCCTCTTTGCCCTCAATGGCAGTGCGCAGGAGCGCGTCCAGTACGCTCGGCAGACGGAAGCGAAGGGGAAGGCGCGGCAGCGTCGTAAGGAAATCGACGCCGCGCTTGTGCGGCTCCTCCAAGAGGTCTAGGATGGGTAGAAGGGTGATCAAGCGTCTGCGAGGATCGTGCTTCCCAAAGTGGACGAGCACCGGTAACCGAGCGGCGCTGGCTCCTGAACGATCCGAGGCCGAGGACGTAAGGACTGTGCGGGGGGCGTGCAAGGGAGATGGGAGGCGGAGAGCGAGGCGAGCAAACGGAGCACAGTGCGCAAAGGTGAGATGTAGATGGAGACTGGCGGAGGCCAAGGTGAGGCGAGCATGTCGCCGACCAGAGCACAGACCTCATCTTCGGCAACCTTCCTCCTTTCTCAACTCTCGTTCTTTGTCACTTGCCAACTCTTCCACTCCTTCAATCCTTTCTACTCTGCTCTCGCTCATCTCTACCCACACACGTCCCCTCCCCGTCCTGTTCTCTCTCTCCTCGCCTCCTCGTCCTCATTCCCGCTCAGCATGCCGTTCACCCCGACACGCCCAAGTCGGAAAGGAAGTGTGACGGGTTTTCGCAGCCAGTCGTCCCGCCCATGCACACCCAGTGACACGCGGCGCGGCGGTGTGACAGAAGACATCTTCACCGTTCCCCAAATCGGCCGTCTCGCGCGCCCACGCAACGGCTCGCTCGCGTCCAAGGTGTTGGGAGCGCTGTCTCTCACACGTCGCGAGACGCCTCGCCCAGCGATCAGCGCTCCCATCGCAAACGTCGACTCACCGATTCGCTACGAGGGACCAACCGTCGACCTCAAGCGCCCCCACACCTCCATGGCCGAGGACCCGAACGATTCCGGTGTGTTGAACCTTGGTCCCGCTGACGCAAGGGCATGACCTGCGGCGCAGCCACTCGCGTTTGCTCGGACTGTGGACGAACGAGGATACCAATCGCGCGCCTCGCATTCTCGACGCGGACGACTGGCCCAACAGCCCTACCTCGGTAGCTCACTCCCTCGACATTTCACTCACCCCGCCTCCTTCACCGTTGCGCAACACGGTCCGCGCGCGTCACAACTCAATGTCAGCAGCGCACACGCTGTCGATCAACTTCTTCCCTTCGCGTCAGAACAGCGCCGACTCCGTACTAAGTGTTCCAACCCTTCCTCCACTCTCACCCGCGGCGAACGAAGGAGCGTCCATCACGCCTTCAGCTGCCAACTCGCTCAGCTCGGCCGCCTCTAATCACTTCCGGATCAAGCGCAAGCCCGTACCGCGCTTCGATGAGCCTGACGGCCTCGCCTCGTGCACTACTCTGCCCGAGAGAATTGGTGGTGCAAAGACGCTCACCCGTGCCGAACGTCACAAAAGCCTCGACACCCGCGACCTCCCGGATCGCACGAGCCGGACCGAGTTTCAGATCGAGTTAGGCCGCCTGTTTGATCAGCTGTACGACGAGTGTCGCGCTGGCGCGTCCACAGATGCCGTACGCCGTCCACCGGTGGACAATTTGCACCGACGCTCGCGCTCTGACTACCCCGAGGCATGCTCGTCGTCTACCCTCCGTCTCCAGCCGCGGCGTCTCTCCCGTATACTGTGCGAATCAGACCTCGACAACAGGTCGTTTCCTGCGACTGAGCCGCGTGCTCGCTTGGCTGAGACTAACCCTTTCTTCGGCGGGGGCCGTGACTTCGGGGCGTCTCGCTCGACAGTTAATCTCCTCGCCGCATCAGACGGAACACCAAAGCCTTCTAGTCACGTACCCCGCGCCTCCGGCAATGAGGGGCGCTACGAGGTAGGCCGGCGTGATCGGCCAAAGCTGACAGTAGACTACACCTTCCAGCAGCTCCGCGTCGATCCATCGCTACGCGTGAGCCAGCGTGAGTCACCACTTTGCGGCGGCGGGTACTCACTCGAGAGCGAGACGTCGCACTGGAACGTGCACCTCGTTTACCTCAACGGACATGTTCCGTGGCTCAAACGCACGGGGTAGGTGACGGCGCCGGACGTCTCTAACGCCTGAGAAATTCATTATAATACCTCAACACCTCACCCGCTTCATGTACAACCTACTTCTGCCCAGCATTCTCTTCCAACTCCGACTCCTCCCCTCGCTCCGTCGCATGTTGTATCTTACAGGCACCACCTACATTGTACCAGGCAGCCATGGCCCAACGCTCTATAAAATGTACATGATGAACGAGGTGTGCGGTCTATGCGGAATAAACATGTTGCGGAAATTGGAGCCTGATCAATGGAGATGCGCAGTAGATCACAAGATTGTGAGGCCGTCAAGTCGCGGACTCCTTGACAAGGACGGCCTCCTCAGCGGCGTGGACCGCAACACGGGCCCAGTGCTGGAGGACACCGCGGCCGCGCTCGTGCACAGCGAACTTGGCCGGGTCTCGCACTACAATGACGGCATGGGCGTTGGCGACTCCCGGGAACCACGCAAGGTGGCGCGTCGGCTCGAGCTGGTTAAGCCAGTAGACCATGCGGTGTTGGCTGTCGGAGAGGAGAGCCTTGATCGTGGGCTCAGGGTACGCCGGCGAATCAGGCTCGTCCTCCGGCGGCGAAGGCGCGGTGTCGGCGGCATCAGCGGCCTCCATGAGGTCCTGCTCGAGCGAACGCTCGACGGCACGGATAGCGGCGCGGAGGGCGTCGATGCTGAGTCCGTGGGGGGAGGGAATGGGGGATGCCCCAGACTCGGGACTGATGTCGCTGTAGGAGCGTGCAAGACGCTGCAGACGCAGACGGGAGCGGCGGGTGTCGAGGCTGAAGCGGCAGAAGACGAACAGCGCAAGGATGGGGAAGACGATGGGGAAGAGCGCCAGGATCATCCACGAGTACGGCCAGCGGAAGCGGAGCGTCGGCGGCAGGCTGCCGAGGTGGAAGCGTACTTTGCGCTTGCGCGGCGCACCGCCGTGCGGGAAGCGCCAGTGCGAGACGATGCCCGCGTCGTCCGCGTCGACGTCGAGTCCGCGCTCGGTCCACTGCACGAAGGGGTCTGTGGAAGCGATCGCCGCGCTGGGGAACGGCACCGTGTTGTCGTTGATGGTGTTGGCGTACACGTGAACTTGGTCGAAGCGGGCAAGGGCTTGGTGCCAGACGTGCTCTACTATCAGCACCTGGTGGGTGGCGCTCAAGGAAGCGGCAAGGGCAGTGCTCACTCGGATCGGCCATGACCTCCAGCAGCGGACGCGGATCCATCTCCGAATACGTGTCGACGAGGTGCATCTGCTCGCCTGAGCGGCTCAGAAGGCGTGCTCCGAGCCAGAACACGACGTTGGAGAGCAGCGTGTCTGATGTCAAATTACACAGATGTCAAAGCCCACTGTAACGAGCCACGCCAAGATGAGGGGTAGCGATAGTCGTGAACGACACGGGGATGTGCTTGTCAAAGAACGAGGGCGTGCGCGCCTCGAGCAGGCCGACGAGGTAGCGCGCGACCACTGTGTCAGCGGCACCACGAAGACTTCCGGGACTCACTACCGCCCAGCGAGTACCCGAGCTGGCATGAGCAAATCTCTCCACCGTCTGAACTCACAATACTGATGTGTGTGACGCGGCGACCACCGTGCTCGATCTCAGCGATGTGCTCGTCCACCTAGTTTCAGTTCATCGCTTCACGGAGGTGGATCCCACCTCCCAAGCAACACGGCTCGCGCACACGTCCACCCCATCATACGTCAGCATGGCAGTCATGCCTTCCGCGACGACGACCACGAGGTCCGGGCGCATGCGGAGGTTGAGCCGGTCGACCATCGTGTCGCCGCTGTCGCTGGAACACACCGAGGAGGTGTGAAGCGGCGTGGTCTCGGCGCCGGTGACATCGCCGTCGGGCGTCCCAGGCGTCCCATGCGTGCCGGTGCTGGAGGGGGTGTGGGCGTGCCACGCAGCCTCGAGCTCGGCTTTGGCTTGGGCGAGATGGAAAGGGTGGCCTGGGGTTATTGGAAGAGAGGTCTTACTCACCCCACAGACCGTGGATGAGGAGGAAGAGGTGGACGTCGGGCATGCTGCGAAGAGGTGGGTCAGAATCTAGCTGTGCTCGCAGAGTCGTCAGAGAAGTGAGAGAGATGAGAGTTGCGAAAGATATGCGAGAGCGAGTTGAGTGAATGGAGTGCGTGGATGAACGCGCTGAGCATGATCTGCCTCACCAGGGGGATAGGACGCAAGGAGGAGGATGTGCGTGTGACGGGTGCGAGTGAGAAGCTGTGTGGCGTGGCCTCGTGGCGGGGTGGCGGCGTTGTGTCGATAAGAGGAGCTCTCGTCAAGCCACCTCCGGTCAACAAGCGCGTGTTCCCACACCCACACTAAAGCCTCACCTCCAACACAACCGCGTACACTGGGCGCAGGCGTCGTGCAACGTCAACCGGATAGACAAGAACACAGGACGGTGTTGCCGACGTCGATATCACCCATGCCCAATCGTCCAGCGCAGTCAGCTGGAGTCTCTCTTCAACTTCCTCCCCCTGGTCCTCGATAGTCCCCACTCTAAACTCGCCCTCGACACCCGCACGACCCACACCCTCCCATCCACCCGCTCCCCGCTGCTGGGCCTACACATTCGCATCTCGTTTGAATTCATCTTCAGATGTGTGCGAGGTAAGTAGGAAAAACATGCTGCTGTGAGCAGTACAGCTATAGGCTTCTTCTCCCATGCGTCACCAGTGTCCGCAATTAAGCCTTGGCCTCGGCGGCGGCCTTCTTAGCCTTCTTCTTGGGCGCGCGGAGGGGCGCGGCCACAAGCGCCTTGAGCTCCTCGTCCTTGATCGACTTGGATGACTTGACCTTGTCGGCCGAGTACCACGCAGGGACGGGGGAGAGCAGCAAGGGGCCGGCGGGCATGAGGGCGAGGGTGAAGAAGAACTGGGCGACGACGGTGCCGGCAGCGGTCTGGGTGACCTCGTATGGCTTGAGGAGGCCGTGCGAGACAGCCTCCTGCACGCCCATGCGGGCGCGCTTCTCGTCGTCGAGAGCGCGGAGCGTGAAGGGGAAGGCGCCGGCCTTCTTCTGGATCTCGGAGAAGGTGGTGCGCGACGTCTTCATCTTGAGCTGGTAGTTGATGTCGTTGGCGCGCTTGTACACCGACGTGCGGGCGTCCTCGGGGCGGGCCTGGGATGTCAGCTCGGTGGAGATGGATTTGCCCCGCGGCGGTTGGCTTACCTTGGGGTCGGTGCCGGAGACAACAAGGACGTCAACACCGTACACCTCACCCTCCTCGAAGGTGCACGACTCGTGCTCGCGCTTGAGCTCGGGCGTGGGGTTGAGAAGGATGCGCTTCTTGCCGTCGGTGACGTTCTTCTCGTGGTTGCACGAGAGCATGCCCTGGACGGGGAGGGTCTCGTACTCCTTAGCCACCTTGGTAACGACCTCGGTGACGTCCCAGTTCTTGGCGCCAGCCTTGAGGGTGCGCATAGCAGCCTGAGCGGCATCGTACGCGGCCGCAACGACGTCGGCCGCGGCGCCCTCGACCTTGGAGCCGATCACAATCGACTCGGCGTGCACAACGGCGTAGCCGTCAATGTGGACACCGAGCTGGACCTTGACGACGTCACCGTCCTTGAGCGTGTACTCGGGGTCAGAGGGGAGGGGCGAGACGTGCGAGACGACATTGTTGACCGAGATACAGGTGGGGAACGCCGAACCTGCGAGTCAGCCATCCGCCATACCTCGGATCCGATGGCAAGGAGCACATGCTGATGCCAGAGCGCGACTTTGCACTGGCGGCAAGCGCAGCTCGACACTCACCCTTGGTGACCTTGACACCAGCCTTGGCCTTGTTGTAGAGGGACGCGACCGACTCGGCGATGTGCTTGTCGCCGCTAGACGTCAGCTTTCCGCACCTCCCATTGTTCGACGCACGAGATGCAGAGCTCAAGGACCTTCTTGCCGGCAGTGATCTCCGGGACAAACTTCTTGAGGACGGCAGCAAGAGCCTGGCCAGCGGTGGTGTACTTGGTGATGCTGGCGTTAGAACACAGTCCTGTGGTAGCTGGTCGAGGCTAGAGGGCCGTGGGACGCACATGTCGTTGGTGAGGCCCTTCTCCTCCTCCTTGGGCACCTCGGCGACGGGGGCGGGCTTCTTGAGGTCGATCTCGGGGGCGGGGGCGGCCATTTTGGGACAGGAGTCGGGGGTGGGAGGGTGAGAGAGGGAGCGGAGAGAGATGCAAGAAGATGGCAGAACGTTTCAGTTGGCCGCGAGAGAGAGTGGTCTTGTGCAGCCAAGCGTTGAAGGTCCTCTTACTGTAATTTGATCCCGCCAAACCCGGGGCTCCAGCAATGTCATTGATGTGTCACGTGGCACAAATGTGGCACTTGTGCGAGAGACGGATACTCGGCGGCGCCTCCCATAACTTGAGAAGTACTAGGGATAAAAAGTGAGTTCTGTGTGCCAATGTGCAGCCTCTTTACGTCCTGGTGGTCATCATCGGTCAATGTGCATTCCGGCGTGGGATTGCAGGAACGGTTAACCTCGCATTACGACCACCACGTCATTCGGAAAGTCGTCTGTGCCTCGTCTGGTCGGAAGGCAACAAGTCGACCATTAACGACGCGGACAATCCGACGACGCATGCAAGCGTTTGCCATAAACATTAAAGAACTAATGCAGTCGCTGACGCAGGCCACCGTGGGCGCACGCACACGGCTGACGGCAAGAGTATGGCCACACGGACGAGGAGGGCGCAAGCCGCCCCACCCAAGTCCAATGAAACTCCTGCAAAAAAATCCTGATTACTCCTATTCATTCAGTGATAGAAGATTGTGTGAGATACTTTTGCCGCAGCCCCTGCTGCGCAATGCTACAATATGCTGTGAATCTAGTTCTTGGGGGCAAGGTTGCCGACGGGGATGGTGAAGAACGAGGTGTCGTTGGTGAGGAGACCAGCGACTGCGACGTACATGGCGCCGAGGCCGCCCACGACACCAAAGCCACCACCGACCTTGACGAGCGTGCCGTTACCAGTCATGTCCGCTGCGGCGAGGATGAAGAACGTGAGGGCGATATCGGCGAAGACGAAGACGAGAGCGACGGAGGAGCGGAGAAGACAGATCGTGAGGAACGTAGTCACCAACCCCCACATGACGAGGTACAGCCCGATGGCCTGCATGAGCTCGTCCCGGTCGGGGTAGGCGGCCTTGACGCCGAACCAGGGGATCTGGATGGCAGCCCAGGACATCCAGAACGCGCCGTATCCCGTGAACGCGCAGGTGCCGAACGAGTTGCCGCACGCCCACTCGAGGACGCCACAGATGATCTGGCACAGGCCACCGTAGAAAAGCGCAACGCCGACGAGCACGTTGGGCGTGTGGATGTCGCGAGCAGACAGGTTGTACAGGGAGAGAAGGACCGTGGTGCCGCCGAAACTGGGGTCAGGATCGAGCGAACAATGCGCAATGTGGCGCGGCAGCTCACGACATGAGACCCAGAGGGGCGGGGTTGGCAAACTTGCGGTGGAAGACGGGGAACGCGGGCTGCGAGGTGTCCATGGGGTGGCCGCCGGGCGTGATGAAGCGGGACACACCGCCGCCGCCCTGGAAGTTGGGGGTCGGGGCCGCGACGATGGGCGCCGCCTCGTTCTTGACGTCCTCGTTGGAGTGGCGGGTAGACTGGGACATGGTGAGATAGAAAGAAAGAGATGGGCTGCAACTTGCTGGCGAAGAGCTAGTTTTTATGCTCTCGCGCAAGCAATGTCTTGGCCTCGGGACGCTCGCGTCTCGGCCCCAGCGACGGGCGCCGAGCCCCGTACGCACATCTCGCGCTCGCACCCAGAGCCCCGCGCCGCTCGGCGCCCCACAGGCAGAGGCGTGGAGCGCTGTTGGGTTTAGTCGGCCAACGTGGCCAGCGCGGGCTGGACAAGCGAGACGAGAGACGAGCACAGGGATGCGTTGCAAGCTTGAAAGCTTGCTCACAGCCGCGCGGCGAATTACGCCAACATACCACCGGCCGGCACGATCGGTACGAGGAGGATGAGCGCATGTTGGCCAGGACGCAGGACATGTGGGAGGCAGGTGCCGCTATCGCCGCACTATGTCCGCACATAATGGGCACATGTCTAACCTATCCGCTCAATCGGGCACTAGGCACTGCTCGATATCTCCTGTGCGAGAGGTGAGGCGGTCAGGGGTGTGGAAATACTGCCCGGGGCGGATAATGAGAACAGACTCTGTGTTCGGAGAGCCATTGGATATCGCCTCCGCAGACCGGGCCGCGATTGAAACGCACTTTGCCGAGCTGCGCTCCTATTTGGATCGCCGTCGGGGTGGAAGCCCGAAGGCCTCGCCATGGCTGCGGTGCACGAGCGAGGGGCTCACTCCGGTGACTGTGTTAGCGGAGGTCGGATGCGGGGGGCTAATTGCGGAGTGGAGGCGGTGGAGCGGGCGCCGTGGGGTCGAGCGCGCGAGCGCTCGATATGGCAATGATGGCTGACATGAGGTGGGGGAGGTGGCGGGTGGTGGGTGTTCTGAAGATGGCTATGTGATCTGATCGTTTCAAGTGGGAGATGTACTCGTTGAGGCGGAGAATGTGGCATGCTGGCAGTCAAGCGCAGAGAGAGCAGAGTGAAAGACAGCGCCAGCGATGGCTCTAGCAAGCCGGCCCCTCTTCAGCACATTGCGTTCCGCAAACGCCCATCCACCCACAACTAGTATGAATCTCCATGCGACCGTCATCTCACCTCCCGATAATCGAGACGCGAGACGAGGCCCAAATCCAAACATAGCACAATCGAAACGCGGCCACGCTCCGCCAGGCACCTCTCACCACATGGCGCTGCACATGCCATGATAAAGGCTAAAATTGGCCGACCAAGATATTGGGGCGACTGCGTGCGTGCTCTACGTGTGCGTAGCTGCGTTGATGCGTCCCGCCAAGCTGCACGATTGAGGCTACGTCTTCTCGGGTGAGCGCTCAGCCCCACAGTAATTGATCGAGCTGGACTGCGTGGTTGGCCGACCCCACACCGCAGTCGTCTGTTATTGAGCCCCACGCCCATGCCCCACGCCCCATGGCAACCCCAGCGCTCGTGGCCGACGGTGAGCTCTGTTGCGCGCTGACGTTGCTGCGAATCTTGCGGGGCGACTCAGTGCGGGGTGAGTGTCGGGGTACGGGGGAAGAGCAATGGGATGCGGAGGTGGCGGCAGTCTGGGCCAGGCAGAGGGTACGAGGGATGCGGCGCCCTCCCTTGGCATTGCACTTGGCACCGTTTCGCAGTGTTGTCAAAATTGCCTCCTCTTCGTTTTACAGTGCCCGACAGTTGATTTAGCGAAACGTCGTAGGGACGTGCGGACTTTGCGACCACTCGCTAGATCATGGACTGTGGCGTATCTGTCGTGCGTTGCAAGATCCGGTCGGATATCCGGTGCAGCGAGGTGCGGCAGAAGTGCGGCAGTGGCCACGGGAGAACCACGCACAGGGCACGTGCGTCGCAGGTGGCAATCCGCCTGCCAAGCCGTGCGTGCACCTGGCGCTCCTGATGCTTGCTCTGATGCAAGCCAAAATCAGGCGCGAGCACAGGAGTGAGGGAGATGACGGCGCTGGGTCGGAAGGGTGAGGCTGCTTGTGCCCATGTGTCCTCGTGACTTGAGGCAGCCTGCAGCCTGCTATCCGCATCCGCAATGTTCACGTTATGGTACGGCTTCCTGGCCTCCCGGATCCGTGCGCTCACGTGAATCGAACAATTGGACCGTGTGCGCTGTGGACTTGCACCCAAAAAACGCGGCATAGCTACAGTTTCGTCAAGTTTCCGTTGCGTGTTCTAAGTTTTCGGTGAGCATTGAAACGCCTCCTGGAGTAACAAGTCGGCGCTGAAGCGCTCGCGCGACGCGAATTGGCCAGGAGTGGAGTGCAGCCTGTGCCCCCGGGCGCGGAAAGCCATCCCGCTGCCGCAGTGAGGCGCCGTAAAGTTCGGAGACGAGTCGTGCCATATCTGCCATCTTGCGACTGCATTGGTGTCGTGCATGACTTGTACCCATTGAGCGGACTCGATCTCCCACAATGCCACAGCATCAACTGCCACTTGGATCTTGACCCAGAGGAATTGAGGTCTGAGACAGTCTGGACAACGGCGACAGTGGCGGACTGAATGAGATTGAATTGAGGGCGCCGCCGCGCCGCAGCAAAAAGCCAGCTCGCTTCCCCTCCCCGCATTGCATCGATGCCTGCCTCTGCTACAATCCCGTGGGGCGTTAATCAAGGCGAGTAGAGGAGTGCGTAGATGACTGTGACCGAACAGGAGCAACGAGGGGAGCTGCGAGGTGAGCTTATGAGCATGGAGAGGGGGGGAGGGCAGAGGAGAAAGCGGGAGATCAACAGGATGCCGAGGCCTGAATGGACCCGTTACAAGTCATGTTACGTTGCGTCGGGAAGGACGGAGAGTGGACAGTTGCCAGAGTTGCACAAGCGAGAGAGAGAGAGAGAGAGAGAGAGAGAGAGTCGGGAGGATGGAGAGGATGAGGAGAGAAATCGGGGCCGATGAAGACTTCGGGCAGGGATTGCAGGGAATGCAGGGCGACCCGGCGCGCCACAACGCCACGCTCAAGGGATCGAATTTCATGAGGCGCGCTCCAGTGGGGTGTTGGGTACAACACTGAATGCATCATGGTCGTTGCTGACACGCGCGAAAGAACATGCACATGCAGGTCGAGGGGTGCTGGCGAATGCACTGCAAGGTGTTGGTGGGAACGCGTCCTGGGGTCAGGAGGGATGGAAGGTTGGAGGACAGCAGAGTGGGCGCCGGATGTTGTGAACCCTATCTTTTGAAAGTGATCGAGTATAATATCCTTCCATTACGGCATTGCGCTTGTAGTCACCATCCCATCTCTTTCTCTCTTTCTTGCATCTCTCTCATTGCATCTGTCAGCGCGACTCCCTCGCCGCCGTTCTACCCGCTGGCCAACTCCGCCGCCGCTCGGTAGCGTCCTTGTCCGGTGTGACGCGCTCCATCGCGCTCACATCCGCGATCGCCTGCGCCGAGCCCTCCTCCTCCTCCTCTCCCCCCCCCCTCTTCCATTTACGCCCCACCATCAACGCATCATCAACTCGCTGCCCCTCCCTCCTCACTCTTTCTCTCACCATGCCCACTGCCACAGCAAATGCCTGGCAGCCGCCACCACCACTCAAGGCGGGCCCCTCGCGAATGTCTCCATGGTTGGTGAGTCACGGTTGTTTGTCTCAAGGGCAGCACGCGCGCCATACCTGACACACAGACTCCGCACGACACGCTATCACCATCAGAAACTGGTTCAACCTATTCCGCGAGCGTGCACTCAGTGTCTGCGAGCGTGCATTCTGGCCTCAGCTCGGGACGCAATCTCAGCACCATCTTTACACGACGCGGCTCCCTCCCCGGTGTGCGGTCAGCCAAGAGCGTGCGGTCGTTACAGAGCAGTTCGGGGTTCGAAGATGACCTCGAAATGTTACCGCTTCCTCGTGCGAGCAGGAAACGTCTCGTGCCAGAACACCACGAGGCGCGAACGGACCGCCGGAAAGCGGAAGCCGCAGTGGCCAAATGGAGGGTGGGTCGACATGCCGCGCGCCTCTGCTGCATGCCAAGGCGGATAGGGCATGGGTGCACTGCACTTGAGGAACAGTTGGAAAGACCGTGGGGCTGACGGCAGAAATGGATTGTCGAACAACCACAACAAGCCACCACCATCACCGACGGGCCGATCGCGAGTACAAGCTCGAGCGTCCTCTTCCGCGCCGACCGGCAGTCGGGAGAAACGGCCTCCAACACCAACACTCCTCCGTCCACCCTCGGGCGCAGCGGAAGAGACTTGTCAGCTCGTGGCTCCTTGTCCATCGCTGGCCCAAGCTCGAGCGGATTCATCCCCTGGAATGCAGAGGCCTCCGAAACATCCCACCCCGCGAGTCTGAACAAAGCCCTGGTGCCCGGTGCGCTCGACATCTACACCACGGACTCCGTGCGAGCCCTACGCGACGTTGAACTGGCGGTCGACCCCTCCTTCTTTGAGAACGCGGCGCCGTTAAGAGTCAAGCGATTGTCAACTCATCCACGAGTATCGCCCAATATGGAGAATCCCTTCGCCGCCATCGACACCCTGCTATCACGCCGCCGCATCCGCCCACTCGTTATCGAGCTCGTTCAAGCGTTGGGCGGATACATTGACGCCGTGTGGTGTACGACTTATCCCGATCGTCCCTGTCCGTGGGCCGGCGTGCCCGTTGCTCGGCGAGCATCGGTCGCCGGCGCTCTCGAGTCCAAGTCGTGGAAGAGCTGGACGATCACCGCTGTACAAGAGGGCAAGCGACAGGGCTTTTTGCCCTCGCCACCGACGCTGGCGGATGTCGAGTTTTACGAGCGCGAGATTCGCCATGGGCTGCGAGATGTCGACGAAGCTGTTAATCGCCGCAAAGATCTCGGTTGGGCGTTTGGCGAGACTGTTGTGAAAGGCGGTTACGGAGACATTGCGCCCAGCAATGTCATGACGGATGGCCAGGCGGGCAACATCCCTCGTCTCTTGAACGATCTGGAGGAGGCACTATGGTGAGTGACAGAGTGACATGGAAAGCAGAGCTAACAGCAGGGGCGATGCTCTCCCGGCGCCCTCAGATCTTGCTTTTGAGCACGACTCTAGCTTTGACCCCTTCTCGGTGTACCGTGAAGGCGATGAGCTGATTGGCGTCGGCGCGTCGTCAAACGAGGCGCGCGACGCCGCGCTGCGGGAGCTATTTGGAGAGTACTACGCTGCACCGCTGTCGCCGGAGCGCGAGGTACCTGGCCTGAGCTCGTCTCCGAGGAGCCGATTTGACGAGTCGCCGCGCACGCCTGCCGACGCTGCGGTCCCTGCCATGCCAGGCATGCCGCCGCTCGACTTTTCAAGACTGGGTGTGCTGCAAGAGATGAGCAGGGAGGAGCAGCTTGAGCTCGGGCGCCGGCGCCACCAGGAGTATTTGGAGCGGAAGAAGGGGGAGGGGCTCAAGGCCGACTGAGCGCTGAGGCGCGGGCAAGTTGTGAGGTTTTCACGGCGGAATCTGTAGAAGGCCGCTCGAGAGACTGTGTACTGCTGGGGCACATGTTTGTATAAGATCAGTGTGACGACGCGACGTGACGCGAGGGCATTGCTCCACCTCACGCGTGAGTGCGTGCACGAGTGCGAGCAGGGGGAGTATACTAACGCGCGGGGGGCTGGCGGGGCGGGGGGGCTTCGTGTGTATTAGTCACGCGTGCGCATAGTGCTTGATAACAACGCATTGCATTGCAAGCGGGACGTCGCGCGAGAAGACGCTGGACGCTAGCGGTAGAGTATTGTACATTCCACGGTGTGACGAAGTGCGAGACGGAGTGTTTGTAATGCGCCAGAGCGAGCGAGCGGATGGCGTGAGCAGTGACGTCTGGTGGGGAGCGCGGCGGGTAGAGCGGGTAAAGCTCACGCTCGCTTGGTGGCAAACTTGGCTTGGTAAGAATTTTCCGGGAGGGGCACTGTTGATCCGCCCCGCGTTCTCCCGCTGTGCTCGTCGACCTGTACGCGGGGAATGCGCGGAGCTGGGGGCAGACGCCGAGGACTCGAGGACTCGAGGACACAAGCACGGCGCGCGGCAGGAGGACCGAGGAATTCGGGTGCCGCACATGGCCGGTGGGCTGAGTGATAGGGGGCAGTGGGTAGCAATTGCGTGCTGTGTTTAGTTTGTCATGTTGAAATTTGGTCACCGCCGCCACTCGTCTCGAGTATAAGAGCGCGTCTTGCATCATGCATCGGTTACTCTTCGTCCCAGCCCCTCTCTCTACCTCTCTTTCTCCATTACATCTAGCATCCGCTAGCCCTCTTTGTCCGGTTCAACCCCGATCAAACCAACCCCCACCCCTCCCCTATCCAAAATGACCATCTACACCAACGGCGAGTCGAACGGCAACGCCGCCCCCGCGCCCCACGTCCACGAGGCGTACCACTTTAACACGCGCGTCATCCACGCCGGCTCCGAGGCCAACGAGGAGACCGGCGCCGTCATCCCCCCCATCTCCCTCGCCACGACCTACAAGCAGACTGCGGTCGGCGTGCACAAGGTGAGTAGGAGCAGAGAATTCCCGGCATCGGCCGGCAGGCACCGGCGGAGAGCCGAGTGGCGCAGGCTTTTCGCCCCCGAGGCTTGCGGCTTGAATGTGATGCCAAGTCTCCATGGCCTCAAGTGATGAGGCCATCAGGCCGTGAGGCAATGCCGAAAAATCAAAATGTGTAAATGCTGACTCTTTCCAGGGCTTCGAGTACACGCGCTCCAACAACCCCAACCGCCTGGCATTTGAGGCGCTCATTGCCTCGCTCGAGCTCCCCGAGCCCGGAGATGTGCACGCCACGACGTCGCAGCTGGCGCAGGACCTGCCGCCCGCTCTGGCATTCTCGTCCGGCTCGGCGGTCACCCAGGCCATCGTGTCCAGCCTCGTCAAGCAGAACGGGCACATCATCTCGGTCGGCGACGTCTACGGCGGCACCTACCGCTACTTCACCAAGGTGGCGGTCAACTCTGGCATCGAGACGTCGTTCGTGCACATCTCAATGAACGAGGCGGCGTCCTCGATCGAGGCGCACGCCGTCGAGGTCGAGAAGCAGCTCGAGGCCGCGTTCCGCCCCGAGACGCAGCTCGTCTGGATCGAGACCCCCACCAACCCCACCCTCTCCGTCATCGACGTCGAGACCGTCGCGCGCGTCGCCCACGCCCACGGCGCCATCGTCGTCGTCGACAACACCTTCATGTCCTCGTACTACCAGCAGCCGCTGCGCTTGGGCGCCGACATTGTCGTCCACTCGGTCACAAAGTACCTGAACGGGCACAGCGACGTCATCATGGGTGTGCTCGTCGCGCCCAACCCCGAGATCATGGACAAGCTGCGCTTCTACCAGAACGCGGGCGGCGCCGTGCCGGGGCAGTTTGACTCGTGGCTCGCGCAGCGCGGCGCCAAGACGCTCCACCTCCGCATGCAGACGCACGGCGCGAACGCGCTCGAAATCGCCCGCTGGCTCGAGCGCCAAGACTGGGTCCGCGAAGTCCTCTACCCCGGCCTCGAGGGCGCCGCGCGCACCCCCATCCGCCACCTCGCGTGGAAGCAGCTGTCGCCTGTCGCGCGCGAGAAAATCGAGTCCCAAGGCATGGACAAGGACTCGGGCTTCCCGTACGGCGGCATGGTCTCGTTCCGGCTCGACGCGGCCAAGCTCTCCGCGGCGGAGAAGGCGACCGTGTCCTCCAACTTCCTCTCCGCGCTCAAGGTGTTCACGCTCGCCGAGTCGCTCGGCGGCGTCGAGTCCCTCGCGGAGCTGCCGTCGTTGATGACGCACGCGAGCGTCAGCGCAGAGGACCGCGCCATCCTCGGCATCGACGACGAACTCATCCGCCTCTCCGTCGGCATCGAGGACGTGCGCGACCTCGAGCGCGACCTCGTCCAGGCTGCCAAGGCCGCTTCCCGCGCGTAGATTGCATATTCATGACATTGGCATCATTGTAGATTTATAACATGCATTGGTTCGTAATCAGCGCGAGCGAGGGAGCGAGTACTGCGAGCGCAGCGAGCAAGTGGAGCGTGGAGAGGTAGCGAGGAAGCGAGTGCTGCGAGCGCTGCGAGCGAGTGGAGTGAGGAAGAACAGCGAGCGAGAGTCGAGCATGCAGAAGCAGCGAGCGAGTCTCCGAAGGCGCAGCGAGTTGCGGAGGCCAGCAGCGCACACGACGTATCGGCATAACCACACACCCATGCCATGGCGGAGTACGACTCCACCTGCGTGGAACCGCAAACTGCAGATGAGATGAAGCGAACTCTGTGCGGTATGCTGTGGGGCGTGGGGCGTGGGGCGTCGGGCGTCGGGATGGCCCGGTATGTGCCGATGTCACGGCCCCCTTACCCCATGTCCAGCTGTGGATGTGACGGCCATACGCGACTGACGCGGGTCACACATGGAGGATGGGCTGCAGAATCCAGGAGGCCAGGCGGGTCAGACAGTAGCAGGCAGCAGGCAACAGGCAGGACAGGCAGCAGGCAGGACAGGCAGCAGGCAGGCCAGGCAGGCCAGACGTGCATTCCGCGATTTCGGAAGAGGTGGAACGTTGAGAGGACATTCGGAGGGCGGCGATCTGCAGTCGCCGATGAGGGTGATTAGAGCTCACGTGCGGACGACGAGCTGTTGAGCGTTGTCCGTGGTCCGTTGTTCTCTATCTCCACCTCTTCGACTTCTCCTGTATACCAGTGCGCGGTAACCAGCGGCCAGGCCACACACTCTGTTTACACCCATGCACCGATGACTTCAGCACTCCAACATCACCTGCTCCTCGCCGCCTCCCCCTTCCTCCTCCTCCTCACCACTCTCCTCACACCTCTCCCTCTTCGTTCCCCCCTCTACTTTATCCCTGTGCATTTAATCTAAGGCACAACATGGTATGGCTTGGGGCGCTTGAAGTGGCCGATCTCCACCGGCACGTCAAAGGTCGCCGACGAACGGTAGCGACGGACGTACTTGATCGCGTGCTCCTCGATGCGGTCAGGCTCAATCATAAGCTCGCCCCACGACTTGACCGGCTCGCCGTCGACGGCGGGCACAGACTCGTCCTTGAACTCTGGCGCCCAGCCGGCGGGGTACGCCGAGATGTCGGGGCGGTTCAGCTTCTCCACACCCGCGTCGTTGATGTAGTAGCGCTCGAGCTCGTCGGGGCTCAGCACGGGCCACCAGATGGCGCGGTTAATGATGTTGGAGAAGATCTGCGCGATTGGCTTGGGCACAGCCGGCAGCGACGTTTCGGGCTTGAGCGTAAGCTCGGAGATGAGCGCCGCGATAGAGCTGTACGTGTGCATTTCGGGGCCGGGGAGGGAGAAGGTGCTGGCCACCGAGGTGACGGGTGCGTCGAGCATGACCTTGAGCGCCTCGGCGACATCGTGGACGTGGACCGGCAGGATCTGGGTGTTGCCGTTGTTGAGCTTGCCGAGAATGGGCCAGGTCGCGAGGGCGTTGAGCAGCCAGTCCTCACCGCCAAACATGCGGCCGGGGCGGACGATCGTGGCGTTGGGGAACGCGTCGCGCACTGCCCGCTCGCCGGCGTACTTGGTCCTGTAGAACTCGGAGGTGGAGCGGGGGTTGGCGTTGAGGTGCGAGACGTGGATGAACTGGTCGACGCCCGACTCGGCAGCGATCTGCGCAATCGTAGCGGCCGTGGTCACGTTCACGTCATTGTACGAGTAGTTGCGCGTCTCCCAGTCCCGCCCGACGAGGTTGTACACCGTGTCCGAGTGACGGAGGCACTCGTGGATCTGGTCCGGCTTGCGCGCGTCCCACTCGAGGGGCACGACCTGACCGAGATCGCCGGCCACCTTGAGGTGGCGCTTGGCGTCCTCATCACGGTAAGGGACGATGACCTGGGTGCCGTCCTTTGCGAGCTTTGAGACGAGGTAGCGGCCGAGGAAGGAGGTTGCGCCGAAGACGGTGACAGTGTGGCCGGAGAGGGAGGCGCGGCCACCGATGGGCGAGCCCACGCGCGTGATGGGCACAGCCTTGTTCGTCTTGGGCTGGTTAAGGACCGTGAGGTCGTGCGTTGACTGAGGTCAGCGGTGCTCGCGAGGTGCGGAGTCGGAGCAGAGACCCACCCGGATGGCCATGCGCGGGCCGACCGAGGCCGCGACCTTTGACCGGAGTGCGGGAGCTGCAGGAAAGCGTCAGCATGCATGGCTAAAGGGCGAGGGGGGTGCGCCAAGGTCCAAGGAAAGCTCACCGAAACGGGCGGACACCATGGTGGCCTCTGTCGCCTGTTTGTGATGGTTGGAGTGACGGAGGTCGCGGAGTGATTTGAGCTCGCGATGGTTGGCCCGTCGTTGTGCGCCGGCGTAGGCAGTGGAGGGAGGCGCTGGGCGGGGGGGACTCTACGGTGGGCCCTGCGCCTGGAGAATTCGGAGCGACCAGTGTGGCACTCGTGGCATCAACCTCACGCCAGGTGGAATTGATCCCGTCTGTTGCCCCGCACTGCTCATTGATGGACACGCGGCCGACGCCATCGGCAACGACCACTCGTGCCAGCTCGAGATCCATCGCCAAGCCTTGACTGGCAACAACTTGTACCTCTACTCTCTCTCTCTCTCTCTTCTTCCAACACCACACACTGGGCCACGCAGGCCACAGTCTCCCCCCTCTCACCACAATACCCCCCCTCCCCATGCTCGCATCATCCTCGTCGCCGTGGACGCGTCGCTCCGCCGTCCAGGCGCTAGTCGGTGCGTCGGCCGAAATCCGAATTTCGAGAGCAACTGACACGCAGACCAGGCATGCGATCCGACGCTCATGTCGTCCAACGACGTCGTGAATCTCGAGCTCGCCGAGGCCGTTAACAAGAAGAAGGCCAACTCGTAAGCTGGGGCTCCCCGGAGCTGTTCTCACGTTTCAGTGCGCGGGAAGCAACGCAGGCCCTTCTAGTGTACATCAACTCGCGCAACCCGAATCAGTCGCTCATCGCCCTCAACGTGCTCGATCACCTCGTCAAGAACTGTGGATACCCGATCCATCTGCAGATCAGCACCAAAGAGTTCCTGAATGAGCTCGTGCGCCGCTTCCCCGAGCGCCCGCCCATGGTCGTGGGGCGCGTCATGGCGCGCATCCTCGAGGTAAGGCTTGCGTCTCGAGCCGGAGGCAGTGAGATAGAGCTGACGCCCAGCTCATTCACGAATGGAAGAACACGATCTGTGTGGCGTCAAAATACAAGGACGACCTGGTGCACATCCGTGACATGCACCGGCTGCTCAGCTACAAGGGGTACCGGTTCAAACCATTTGACGCGGCGCGGGCGCTGGCGACGCGGAACCCGAACGAGGACCTCAAGAGTCCCGAGGAGCTCGAGGAGGAGGACCGCAATGCGAAGCAGGCCAAGCTGCAGGAGCTGATCCGACGAGCGACGCCGCGCGACCTCGCCGCGGCGCAGGAGCTCATGAAGCAGCTGGCCGGCGCCGAGCCCGACAAGGCGGTCGACTACGAGAAGCAGACGGTGTCCGAGCTCGAGAAGGTGCAGAGCAAGGCGATCCTGCTCAACGACATGCTGGACAATGCGAAGGAGGGCGAAAAGGTCGGCATCGAAGGCGACGTGTACGACCAAGTGGCGTCGGCGTGCCGCGGCGCGCGGCCACGGATCCAAAAGTGGATCGAGAACGACACGGGCGAGCACGAGGGTCTGATGGACCGTCTGCTCATGTGCAACGACCTTATCAATGCCGCGCTCGACCGCTTCGAGGCGGCCAAGCGCGGCGATTGGGCCGCGGCACAGACTATCGCGCAGCAGTCCAACCCGGCCAACAAGGCCAACGACCTCATCTCGTTCGACGGCTTCGCCGACGACGCCGACACTGGTGGCGTGTCGCTCCCATCTGGCGGCGAGGCCGCGCCGTCGTCGAGCAACCCCGGTTTCACGGCCGGCGGGTTGCCGCTGGACCTCTTCGCCCCATCCCCATCGCAGTCGCCTGCGCCTGCCGCCGGCCCGTCGCAGCCGCACCGAACAAATCCCATGGACCTGTTCAACATGTCGGCGCCGTCGCCGCCGCAGTACCAGCAGCAGCAGTTTGGCGGTATGGGTATGGGCGCGGGCATGGGTGGCATGGGCGGGCTCCAGCAGCAGCCGCAGCAGTGGGGCCAGCAGTCGGGTACCGGGTACGGAGGGCAGCAGTGGGGCCAGTCTCAGCCCCAGCAGCAGCAGCAGCAGTGGGCGCAGCAGACGCAGCAGCCGTGGGGTCAGGCTCAGCAGTCGGCCGGCTCGTCGTCGGCGCTTACGCCCAACGCGACGGGATATTCTGTGCCGCAAGCGACGAACGGGGCGTCGTCTCCGCGCCCCGCACAGCAGCAGCAGCCGCAGCAGGCGAAGAAGAACGACGCGTTCGCCGACCTCGTGGACCTGATGGGCTAGGGCTGAGCTAGGGATAGATGCATGCATGGCATAGACTATGGGAGACTATGGGAGATTTAGGATGGCAAGCAACTGCTGTGCCGGCGGGGTGGGCGAGGCGTCGAGCGCAGAGCGCAATCCCTGCGCCCGCTCTTTCGAGAGGAGGGACCAGTGCGGGCTCGGCCCGGGCCTTACCCAGTCAAAGTCTTGCACGCGCTCATGCATGCTCCCCGGCGCAGCGGAATAGGCGCCGAACCGCACGCCGACGCACCGCTCCACGACGGGCATGGACGCGGTGTGCAGCAGCAGCGCGCAGTCGGCGCTGTCGTGCAGCCGGAACTGTTGGGCGCCGAGGGCCACGGCGCACTCGTGCATGTCGGACAGCATGGCCGAGCCGGCCATGATGGGCGCGAGGAGGACGCAGCGGCGCATGTCGCGCGCGTGCAGCGACGTCAGACCGGGCGAGGCGCGCAGGTCGACGACGCAGTCGGCCAAGTCGGAGAGCGTGAGCGTGTAGCTCCCGACGCCGGCGTAGTCGGATGGCGTGAGGGTGCGGTTGCGGTGGGCCGAGAGGGTGTATGTTGTCGCTGGGGGGGTGGGGGTGGGGGTGGGGGTGGGGGCGGAGGAGGGAGGGACCGGCGACGCAGGCGACGCAGGCGAAGCGGAGTGGGCCCGCGACGATGAAGCGGAGGCGGGGGCAGAGGCAGAGGCGCCCGTCGGCGGGGCGCGCTTGAATGCGAAGCGCGACTTGGGCTTATCTGCCCGCGAAGCGGCAAGCTTGGTTTCGAGATCGCGTACTTGCTTCTGTCAGCGATAGAGGGGCGGGGCGCACAGTATCATAGCTCCGCTGGTCGTACGACGGGAGGGTGGGGCGGGCGGCTGCGAGCGCGGCGCGGAGGGCGGCGAGCTTGGGCGCTGCGTCTGGGGCGTTGTGGGATAGTGCGTCGGCCGTGTCTGGTGTGAGCTGCGCGGGGTGGGGAGAGGGGAGAAGGGAGGAGATGTACCTGCTTTCAAGCGTTGGAAAGTCGCGTAGAATGCTGCTGCGTCTGATGTGCTCGCCATGATTGTTGACATTGAAGCGTTCGAGATGGACGTGGATGAAGAAAGCCGAGTGGGGCAGGTGGAGGTGGAGGTGGAGGTGGAGGTGATGGACGGAAATTGGATTCCGTGGCTCCCGATGTGTGGGTGAGAGATGAGGACTGAGACGACTCGTACGCTAGCTATGATGGCTCCCACGCCCAACAACCACGCCCACGCCCACGCCCACACCCACGCCGAAAGCCCACGCCGAAAGCCCGCTTCTGCTAGTGATATTCAAACGATGAGTATGTCATGAATCATGCACTCGATGATGATGAGAGATGGTGAGTGATGGCTTATCAGTTGTTGAAATTGATCCCGGTTGACGCGCTCAAGGCCCGCCCGATTGTCCCTGGATGAGTGACGGAGGAGTCAGGGTCTGGCGAATGGGAGAGCCGACTCGAAAAATGAGCCAGGCCCAAACTCGTCTTTGTCTTTTCTCTTTCTCTTCTTTACTCGATCAACATCCACAAACCTCTCGGCCCTCTTCACAGCCCACCCACCACCCCCACTCTCAACAGCCCCCCCCCACTGCCATTCTCGACACTGTCGATGCTGTGGACAGAACGCACTTCGGACGAGTAGGTACTGCTTGCTGCCCCCCGCCCTTTGCCCCTCCCTCCTCTCTCCTCTCTCCTCCCTCCTCCCTCCTCCCTCGCTATCGCTCTTTCTCTTGTCCCACTCCTCCTCCTCCTCCTCCTCTTCTCTCTCTTCACTCTTTCTCTCGCTCTCTTCATCTCATCTAACCCCAGCTACCTCTCTGACCTTGTCTTCACCCTCAACCCTTGATTTTCCTCTACTCGCGTAGGAACATCCACTCAAACATCACACCCCATCTCACCATGTCGTCGTCCATTCTTCGCCCCCTCGCCCACTCTGCTAAGACGGCCCTCGGCCGTCGCGCCCTTGCGACGCCTACCAACGTGCACCCCAGCATGCTCCAGACGGTCCTCCCCGCCGTCGTCCCCGCCGCCCTCCACCTCAAGACTGGAGAGTCGTACTACGGCACAAACTTTGGCTCGACCAACTCCAAGTATGGCGAGACCGTCTTCTCCACCTCCATCACCTCTTACACCGACTCGATGACCGACCCCTCGTACCGCGGTCAGCTTCTCGTTTTCACCTCCCCTATGATTGGCAACTACGGTGTCCCCTCCAACTCTCCCCTCCCGGAGACCCCCGGCATCCCTTTCCTCGAGTCCGAGGGCATCCAGTGCGCCGGCGTCGTCGTCTCCGACGTCGCCCTCAAGTACTCGCACTACCAGGCAATCGAGTCCATTCACGAGTGGTGCGCCCGCCACGATGTTCCCGGCATCTCTGGCGTCGACACTCGTGCCATCACCACCCTCCTCCGTGACCAGGGCACTACCCTCGGCCGTCTCGCGGTCGGCGACGAGGCCGAGTACGTTCCCAAGGCCGACGAGTACTGGGACCCCTCCAAGGAGAACCTTATCTCCCAGGTCTCCACCAAGGAGCCTTACCAGCTCAACCCCAACGGCAAGGGCCCCAAGATTGCTGTCCTCGACTTTGGGTCCAAGGCCAACATCCTTCGCTCGCTTGTCAAGCGCGACGCCCGTGTCACGGTCCTTCCTTGGAACTACGACTTCAACGCCGTTCGTGACCAGTACGACGGTCTCTTCCTTTCCAACGGCCCCGGTGACCCGACCTCGATCATGGAGACCGTCCACCGCGTCACCAAGACCATCAACGAGTGGGACAAGCCCATCTTCGGCATCTGCATGGGCCACCAGATTCTCGGCCTCGCCGCCGGCATGGAGACGTACCGCATGACCTTTGGCAACCGTGGCCACAACCAGCCCGTGCTCGCCCTTGCCTCGTCGGGCTCGATCAAGGCCGGCCGCGTCTACGTCACCTCGCAGAACCACCAGTACGCCATCAAGCTCACCGAGGACTTCCCCGCCGGCTGGGCGCCCTTCTTCATCAACTGCAACGACTCGTCCGTCGAGGGTATCATCTCCACCCCCGAGTCGGGCAAGCACATCTGGGGCGTCCAGTTCCACCCCGAGTCCGCCGGCGGCCCTCTTGACACCCACCCCATGTTCACCGACTACGTCCAGGCCTGTGCCGACAAGTCGGCCTCGGGCATGGCCACGTCCGAGCTCAAGGTCGACACGCACGCCGCTGCTGCCGCCGCCGCCGCGTCGGCGTGAGAGAGTGAGAAGTCCATTGTAGATTACACCAGGGTTATGCAGCATTGCACATTTCACGGATTCACTCGTTGCTTCTTTTTATTTTTGAACGGCCTAACCTTGACTAGCCCTCTTGCGCAAATGAACGAAAGATGCTGAGTGGACGTCAGGCGATGGGACCTTATCCCACCAAATTCGTGTTAAATCGCCACGATGGAACTGTGGACTGTGGCACTGGAATCTCAATGCCCCAAAACCACGTACGGCCCAGCCATGCACAGAACCCACGCGCCCTCCGACAGTTGCCACTTCTGAGCCGTCCAAAAAGCAAAGCCAGCACATGCATTACGATATCAAGAAATCTCTACGCCTCTACACTGGGCACATGCGCCCTGCTACCACTCGGAAACCTTGGGATTGCTCAAGTCGGACTCGCCTCGCACATTACTTGGGTCGCGGATTTCACTGAGAGCCGCCTACCCCGTCAGCGCAATTTCCTCTCGTACTGACAGGCCGACCCAAGCGAGGAGGCACAGCCGCGCTCGCAGCGCCCGGGATAGCTGACGTGACTTTTTGCGTCGTCGAAGCAGCGTGGGTCGCCCGAGCAGCGTGGGCCGTCGAAGCAGCGTGGGTCGTCGAAACAGCCCGGGTCGTCATATCATCACGCGTCACAACCTCCCCACTCGTGGCGGCCTGACTCCTCACAACTGGACTCGGAACCTGGCGTCAGCCATGCAAGCGCACACGCACCGGCGGCTCAGAGAGGATGATCTCATGCAGGTCGGCGATGAGCTCCTCCAGCCCCCGGCAGCGCTTGCGGTCGTATAGCGGCGTGCCGTGCATCGCGCGGGCGAGGTCGAGAAGGAAGGTTTGCGTCTGGGGCATGTGCAGCGTGCCAAAGTCCGCCGCGAGCGTCTCGAGCAGCGTGCACTGGGCTGGCGTGACCGTGCCGAGGTGGAGGCTGTCGAGGACGTGTGTGAGGTCGTCGACGCTGTTGAGGATGTTGTGCGCGGCCAGGCTTTCGGTAGGGTGCGGGACGGCCGCCCAGAACAGGTACAGGTCGGAGGGGCGGGGCATGGCGAAAGTGGCTCTGCGTCAGGTCGGGTCTCGTGCTGCTTACGGAGGTGTCGCCTGAGGAGTATCGCGAGGTAAGGGGGACAGGATACAGTAACACGCAGATGGAAGAGAGTTGTGAAGAAGAGAGCGAGAGGATTAATAAGAGTTGTTGGGAAGACAGCCACCTTACTTGCTCATAGACTCCTGCTATCTCTCATGGGCCCAGCTCTCCTCACAGAGCCCAGAAGAGTGCAGCTCCAAAAAGCCCCAATTTGAGGGGCACACAACCTGGTGGCTCCACGTACGTTTATGGGTTGTTAGTACAACGTGCTGCACGAGCCTGTGGCGGCGTTTCCATATCACGTTATCTGCTCTGCGCATGCACACTGTTACATCGTGGACTCGCGGCACTCTGCATAAAACACGAACTGCCGCTCTTGCACAAGATTTAGCCCTCGGATCATTTAACATTAGTGAGAAGCGATAGCAAGCACAGTCCTTGAAGCCCGTAGTCGTCCGTCACGTTCCCATTTCCGATGGCGGCTCGCCTACTTCATCGTCCACCAGCCGCTTCCATTAGCAATCTCACGCACCCCACCCACATTCTCATTCATGGCGTTGTTGGCGAAGTGGACTGCCAGGCGATGAGCCGCTGGCACAACTTGCCCGGAAGACATGAAACCGGCGACCTCCATAAGTGAGGTGAGGATATCTTGCCTCCGCGAGTCTGGGCTCGCCGGTTTGAGGATCGTCCTAAACAGCTCAGCAGCCAGTGCAACGTTGTAGGAATGCGGCGGTCGTTCGGGGCGCCAAAGGAAGGAAGAGGAGAGGTCGTGGACAACCAGGCGCACAAAGTCGGCAGCGGTCTCGAAGTGGTCCATCGGTGACTCCGGAGAGAGATACGAGGGAAGGCGGTCTCGAGCCGATATGTTCTGCGGTATGTGTCAGCGTAGTGCTCGCGGGCGCTGCAGTGGACGGAGATCCAGTCGGCAACGCATGTGGCACGACTGACACTCAATGTGGAAGAGGCTTCGGCCTTGATGTCGTCGGGAACAGGGCCGTTCTCGAGCACCTCAGTAGCATTGGAAGGCAAAGTTGGAGACATCTGGTTGGAGGGAGCTGTGTTGACTCCCTCATCAGAAGTAGGTGTGCCGCTGCTATCCCCCTCCCCCTCCTCGTCATCTTCCTGGATTGTCTCCATGTACCGGCCAAGCTCTGCAGAGTTGTTGGACCCGCATTCCTCCTTGGGTCAGCTCAACTTCCCCCACTGTCGCATCTACCTCCTCAGCGTCTCCTCTCAATTCTTGAATCTCAAGGAACAGACCGAGGGCCAAACGGTGCGCGACACCGGTCTCCCCGGCCTGCACCTCCCCGAGGACGTCGCAGATGTCGCAGAACATGAGGTCGCCTTCGTGGTTGAGGCGCCGTAGAATGCCGACAGCATGGCTGAGGTGCTCGGGGTTGAAAGGGTGTTCGGGCTCGGACGAGTAGAGAAACATGACCGCTTTCTTGATGATAACCTGGGCCACTTTGAACCACTCTTCGCGCTGTGGGGCTGGCATGTCTGGACCGATTGCGCCCAGCCACTCGTTTGGAGATGTCAAGCTAAGCGAATCGATGAAGTCTTCGAAAGTGTGCTCGGTCGGGGAGGACGTCCGCGGGTCCATGCTGTGGGCGTGCAGGATGAGTCAAAGGGGCAGTCAAGAGAAGTGAGTGAAAGGAAGAAACGCGCTGAAGCAACCTGCGCCTGGGGAGAGGGAAAGGTCGGGGAAGGCGATGATATCCAAGGATAAGTGAGGACAAACGCGCATGCTGTCTCAGTCCGTGAGTAGCGCAATACAATCTGTGACATCTAGGTCTTACAATCTCTACTCGTCACGACCGTCTAGATCTTCAGGATGCTCACTAACGTCAGCGCCGCCTCTGGAGTAACTCACTAGCCCGCTCTCTAACGGTTGGCGGCTCGGGGCCCTCGGCCTCGACCTCGGGCGTGGTGATCTCGCGCTCGTGCTCCGAGTGGCCGTATACCGAGCCCTCTGCCGGCGTGCCGGTGCCGCGGCCGTGGGGCGCGCTCATCCACCCGTCCGTCTTGGAGCCGAGGCGTTCGCGGAGCTTGGCGCGCACATTGTCCGCCTTCTTCTCCTTGTCCATCTGCTCCTCGGCCTCGGCTTCGCGCTCGATGTTCTCCGTCTCGCCCGCAAAGCTCGCGATGCTGCCGCCGACACCCGAAGTCGCCTCCGCAAAGTTCTCGTAGAGGTTGCGGCCGGACTCGTCCCCGCGCCCTTCGCCCGACCAGAAGTGGAAGGCGCGCGAAATGACGCCGTACGACGCCGGCGTGACTTCCACGAGGTCGCCACGCGCGATTTCGATCGCAGGAACTTCGGATGGCGGCAGGCCGACGAGGTAAGCCAGCAGGCAGCGGATGACGGATGCGTGCCCGATGATGAGGAGGTCGTCCTGACAGCGTTCAAGCTCAAAGATCACGGGCTCAAGGCGCACGGACAGGTCGTGGTACGACTCGGCGCGCGGCGCGCGGTGTGCGTACGGGTCGCCCAGGAAGCGTTCCCATTCATCAGGGTAAAGCTCTTGCGCCTCAGCGGCAGACAAGCCGTCCCACACGCCCGGATTGATTTCAGCCATGATCTGCTTCTGCACAACCTTGTAGCCAGCGTGCACGAACGGCCAGGCAGTGTGGTGTGCACGCCGCCGCGTGCTCGTCCACACAATGAGGGGATTCTCCTTGATGTCCTCGCCGCGGGCGCGACGCTCCTCTCTCAACGCCTTGCGACGCGCCGTGACGGCCGCCTTGAGGCGTTCAGCGTACTCCCAACCCGCAGGTGAGAGATCCGAATCGGCTTTGAACGAGTGCTCGATGAGCGACTGCCCAGACTGTTGGGGTCAGCGAGACTCAAAGACATCATGCGACATACCCTTGCGAAGAAGATAGTGCGGGGACGGGTGTGTATATTCATGAGGAAGAAACAGCACCGTGTCTGGAGGTAACCCTCGATGCGGTTGATCTCGATGCGCTCCCCCACGTTCATGACCTTGATGTACGGCCCCTCGTCGGCCGTAACTGTGTCGTAAACACCGGCCTGGCCGCGGATGCGCTCCCAGTAATCGGCCACCGCGCGATCTGCGTCCCACCCGGCATAGTCGGGGGAGCTGAGCTTGACGCTGCGGATGTTGGCGGTGATAATGTCGTCGTTGTCACACAGCGACTCGAGGAAAATAACGTGCACACCCTTGGTACGGAATGTCTCGATCACGTCCTTGCGCGCCTCCTTGCTGCCATTGTTTGCGTCGTAGATGACAACCTGGCCGCCCTGGACGGTGAAAAAGTCCCAGATCTGCTGCTCGAGACCCTGCTTGACTTTGTCTCGTAGCGCGATGGTTTCTGGTGACTTCGGGCCTGGCATCAGTGACGGGAGCAAGACGGCCAACAAGCACGGAGAGCGTAGGCGGCGGGGGAGGGGGAAGTGACGTGAGCCACGTGAAGCAGCGCACAGTAGTGAGTGTTGTGGTCTTGCTGCCGCGCGATCAAAGCCTTCGACACCCCAACCGGAAGCGAGACGCGAACCGCAGTGAGACTCACCATCCGCTTTGTAGTAGTCGTTAGGCAAGTTCTTAGCTCCACCGAGCATCTTGCGGCGGTAATCGCCAAGCGAGTAGACTCTAGTCTTGACGCCGAGCCAGCGAAGGTATCGCTCGAGGGCGCGCGAGATGTGCGTCTTTCCGCGAGCTGGTGTTAGCGCGACGGACAACCAAGGCGTAGGTAGTGTGGACGTACCGGGCAAGCCGACGGTGACGATGAGGATAAGGCCGGCATGGAAGAGGCGGCCCGACTGGGTCACGTAGAGCGGCGCGGCCATGGTGCCGTATGAGTGAGCTAGCGATGTACAGTAGATGGAGATGTATATGGAGACGAGGATGTGGTGTTGGTGCACGAATGAGGATGAGCGGTGATATCATTCCGCCTAGTTTGCCCCAACTCGACCAAGGCGATCAGGCACAATTTGTCTTGTCCTCCCCTTCCGACCTCACATGTTTCGAATTCTCGCTTGCGTTTGCAAGCTTATGTACATGCAGTCAACACGGCCTCACGTCACCCCGCGTTCCGGATAATGCTAGTCGTGATATATGTTGGTGGTACAACCAAGCTCGCAAGCTTTGCTAGCTGCTATCTAGTCCCCATTCAGCACTACATTGTTGTTGCCGTCAATCTTGATGAACCGTCTTGATAACTCGCCGATGCTCGAGCGCGGGAGGTGCGCGAGCGACACCTTGGTGGCAGCACGCGTGTTGCGCCAGTGCTCAGGCTGGTCTGAACGCCCATCCTCGCTTGCCTTGCGAACCGACGCACCATGCGGAATGCTCGGCGGGTTGGCCACTGGCGAGAGTGGCCGCGAGGAATCAGAGAAGGCCAGCTGCCGCTCCATCTCGTCGCGCAGTGATTCAGATGAGCCCAGATACTCTGGCGCAAGCTCATAGTCATCCGAGTCGGACGTCGGATTGCTGGTCGGAGATGGTTGTGGTGAGCCAACGTCCGTCTTCTCTGGAATCCGCGGGAACTGGGGCACTGGGGCCGGTACAGGGGCCAGCGTCCTTGCCGGCGGCTCAGGCTCAAGCTCATGCTCGTGCTCGTGCTCGTGCTCCTCATCCATCGGGTTCGTCTCAGGCAACTCGCCTGGGCTTGCCTGACCCGAAGCAAAGGATCCCACACTTTCACCCCAGGTGCTTGCGCTCTCGTCGTGGTCTGGAAGAGACAGCTTGGGAATCGCAATCGGAGCCGCGATAGTCGCGCGGCGGTCGGGCTTCTCCGTGGCGGGAGCGCACAGACTGCGCGCTGCAGCCTGCAGTGCGACGTGTCGAACACGAGCCCAGTCGCGCTGGTCGCGGTCCTGGTCCTTGAGAAGCATCGTGATCCACAAGTGGAGCTTTGAGAGCTCGATGCGGTCCGACCGGATCTGATTGGCGAGGTCTGGAAGTGCAGCCTCGATGTGGTCACGCGTCAACTTCTGGAACGGCGTCAGAATGGCGAGGTTGCGGGCAATCCGCAGGTTGGTCGTCAGGCGTTGTTCAATCTGTGCAGCGTCCGACTTGAGAGCCTGAACGCGCGCAGCGATCGCTTCGAAGCGACTGGTTTTATTGGACGATTCAGCCGCAAGCTCGGACGGAAGCGAGAGCATTCGTGCAGCCCCAGCTCGCCCAGCGGCGAGTTCAGCTTTGACGGACCCGATGACTGCCTCCATCTGTTCACCGCCATTGACAACAACGTCATTGGCGCCGGATATGTCAACGACCGGGGCGGGAGACGAGCGCATGCTGCCCACGCGGCGCAAGCGTGGCCGAGGAGAAGCGACAGCCTCCACCTGCTCGTTGGGATCTTGGAACACAACGGAGCGGACCTGAGAACTCTCAGGCGCTTGATAAGGGGTACCGGACTCGACATCCCGAAGATGCTCCTCGGCAGCGACCGATCCGGCTTTAACAGCGTCGCCGCTGTTTAGGCCTGCGCCGCGCATCCTAATGGCTGCCGTCCGGAAGGTGCTGGCGTAGTTGATGAGAGTGAGCCACTCGTTCATCTCGTACTCGTCGTTGAACTGCATGAGGTACTGGCGGTTGTCGGGCATGACGAAGCGGAACGTGAAAGGTGTAGCCGAGTAGTCGCGATCGAAGACGGCCACAGCGTGCTTCACAGAAAGAACCTCGTCTGGCTGGAAGCTCGTCATGCGCGGTACAACGGGGGCGTCACCTTTGCCGGCGTTGCGGATCTGCTCGACCAACGTGAGCGCCCAGATGGTGTCCTTGAAGAAGAGGAGCTGCGAGCCGGTCAGGATCACACTCCAGCTTCTCCACTTCCGGGCTGCGGTACGCTTGGTCGTTGGAGAGTCGTCTTTTCTACTAATCAACCCAACCTTGGTGATCTTGAGCGTGGTCACCTCCTCCTTGGGCGTTGGAGTTGGGGGGCCACCACCAATGTCGAGTAGAGGCACCGCTGACTTGCGTCGTGGGCGCGACTTGACGAACTCGAGAGGATGGGCGTTGGCAAACTTGCTCTGCAGCCGATCCACGTCAAGGAACGGGCGAGTGCCCATGCAAGAAAACGGGCTGTCAGCGGGGATGTAGCGCTCGACGTCGACCCGCAGCGAGCCCAACTGGCCGCCGACGATGAGGTCGTAGACGTCAATCTTCCCGGAGCGGGGCATGCCATTGGATGCCGAGAGATGGGCTCCAGCTGCCGCAAGCGCGGCCTCGTTGTCGTCTTCGATGAACACGAAAGGCGTGAAGGTGATGTTGTCGAAGAATGCCTCCAACACGGGCGGGGGGACTCCATCGAGCCGCGTGTTCCGCACGTAGTCAGGTTTGGTCATCTTGTTCTTGTTGTGGCGGTTGAATGCATCCGTATGAAGCATCATCATAGAGAAGGCCAGCACGTACGCGTTGTCTGTCGTCAGCTTCGTAGACCTGGCGCAGCTCACCCTTGGTACCGAACAAACCTGGCTCGCAGCGGTCGTAGCGCGTCGCGAACGCCTCGATGACGCGGTCAATCTGCTGCGTCTCCTTCGGCAGCGACATGTGCATGAGCAAGCGGCGCAGCGCAACGTCGAGCGCGATGTGCGTGAAGTCGAACCGATTCATGTAAAGGGTCAACGCAGTGGTGTGGAACTCGTCGGCACTGAGGTTAGCATGACATCAGTGTAAGACTATTCACCTGGAGGCGAGAATCCCTGCCAGCTCGCGACGGTCAACGTTGCTGAGTCTTGCCAGCCAGCTCTCGGGAGTGTCATCGTCGTGAATTGATGTGTCGACGTCTTCCATGTGCAAGCGCTGCACAGGTGTGGCAGAGCGAGAGAGAGGCAGCGGACTCTCGGCGCGACTGGGGCCATCATCTGTCCCTGGGCTGGGGCCGCCGGACGATCCTGCTCCTGGTCCACGAGGAGGGAGCGGGAACAGCTGGCCTGGAGGCGGCTTCGGAGAACTGGGGTTGGACCTGAACAGGCCCGTAGACAGTCGCCTGATCGAGCCCGGCCTCTGGCGAGGAGGAGTTGCGGCAGTGGGGAAAGTTGGCGTGGAAGGTGCTGGGAGATATGTCGACGAGCCACTGAAGGCAGATGGCGGAGCAAGCCCAGTGTCGTGCGACCCTCTGTGTATCCCGTTTGCACTGTGGCCGAGGCTTGCAGCCGTCGAATTGAATGTTCCGTGCCAGGAAATGGCCGACGAGGTGGTCTGCGCACGCGCGCGCCCCACTCTTAGCCCAGAATGAACGCCAAGGTTGGCGTGCGGATCAGCCGTGTTCGATCGCCTGGTGGAATGAGTCGTACGTGATGATTGCGAGGCCGCGTACGACGAGCGGGGTGACCGTTCCGGCGTGTCGTTGAGCACCACACGGCGATCATCCTCTCCGATCTGTAGAGCCAAACTTGAGACCTGAGGCACATCCTCCGGGCGAATTCTGACTGGAGGCAGAGCAGGAGAGGGGCCTAGTGATGATGCGGATGATTCTGGGCGAGGCAATTCTCTAGACCCAAACTCGCTGGTGGCAACAGGGTCGCGCTCGTCCGCAGAACTGTAGCGCAACGTGCTGTTACTGCGAGGGCGGTTTCTGGAGAATACGCTGCGAACCATCCCCATGACAGCCGAGTTGCCAGAGTTGGATCTGCTTGACATTGGGGGCCTTGGACCTCGGGGTAGGTCGATATCAGAGGGCGAGCGCAGTGACCGTGGTGTAGAAGCCATGGACCCGTCTTCGGAATGTATCCGGCGCGCAGCATCGGAGAACGAACGCCCGCGCCCTCCAGCTCGAGGTGTGACTTGGGGTGGAGTAGCTTCCCCCCCGTGCTCAACGATGGTTGGAGGTGGGCCGAGCTCCGGTAACGAGCTCAGAGGCGATGTTGAACCCATTGAGGATCTTTGGGATGCGGGGTCCAGCAGGCGCCGAGCCACAGAGTCCTTGCTTGACGAGACTACGGGAACCGGGGCGGAGTCGCGCTTGACGTCGCTGTGAGAAGTGTTGGTAGTCGTCTCGGAGGACATGGTTTCCATTTCCAGCGATGGACGTTTTCCGACCCACTCGCGCGCGGGCCAGAACTCTTGCTGATCGATGACTGGAAGGGAGGAAAGTGATGACCCAGCCGAGAGCGGAACTCTTGATACGTCAGGAACTGATCGATTGAGGAGCATGGGTGTTGACGCGTTGGCGCCGAAGCGCCCGCGCATCGGCGTCTTGTTGGTCACCTGGTCATCGGTGCTGTTCTCACTAGGCCCCGCATCGTTCTCAGAGGAGAAGAAGCCGCTACGACGCTTGCGGAGCTTGGATTCGGACCGCCGCCGCTTGATAGCTCTCTGCATCCCGAGCCAACCCAACACGCCGGAAGGGGCGGTCTCGTCGTCATCAGGTGTGGGCGTCTGTTCAGGTCCTGGGGTGCGCGAGAACATGGCAGATAAGCTGCGTGGCCGTGGCTTGGCCGGCTTGCGATCCTTGTCTTGTGACGGCTTGGCCATCTCGTTAGCTGAGAAGGTGACTTTCACGACGGGACTCGTAGCGCGCTCAGGTAGCGGAGACGACACGGCCTGCTGTCGGAGTGCGAGACCGCCGGCAGGGGTTGATGCGCGCTTCGCAGCCACAGACTCTGGGAGGCCCAAGCCAAGTGAGCCTTGGCGCATAGGTGTGGGAGATTCTGGTCGGGGTCGGTCGAAGCCAGCCGCGCGAGGGGTGCGAGTTATCGACGGGGTGCGTGAGACAGGGGCGGAAACGGGGCGGCGGTCATCTGTGGGGTCCGGCAGCTCTGCACCGTCGAGCATCAAAGCGAGTGTTGGAGAGGACGGTCCGAGACCGAACAAGCCTTCAAAGCTGTCGATGGGACTGCTTGGCGTCACGACAATGTCTGCTGGTGGGGCGGAGATGGTGGTGATGGGGAGAGACACAGCTCGAGGGGCACCAGCGGAAGGTCCTTCATGGGGGGGCTGAGGGAGAGGCTTGTTCACGGGCGGAGAGTGATCAAAGGGTGGCCCAGCAAAGCGCTGCTTAGTCGGTGTATTCCTTGCGCCGACCGACGACGAGCGCTGAGGCACTCTGGAGGGAGAGAGGACGAGGGTATGTGGGCGAGGCGCCGGGGCGGGGAGGGCGTCGCTGGACGACGAGCTGTCGCTTTGGGTCCTTTGGAAGACGCGGGACGGGAACGGTTTCTTTGGTTTAGTCATTGCACGCGGAGTAAGATGATGAACGCACTGGCTTGACAGTATTGTTCCGGGAGAGGATGGCAAGCGTCGCCATGTCCTTCATGCGAACCGGCTGCTCGCGCTGCTCGTGCTCGTGGTCCCCGTCTTCAGTGAGGAGCTTGGGCCTGGTTTTGGATTTGCGCCTCACCGTGCCCTCGCGATCCGAGTCTGATTCCTCATCGTCTGTTGTCGAATGTTGACGCGGGAATGCGTCACCCGACCTCTTAACAGGTGGAGTCGGCTCTAGCTCTTCCATGCGGCCGCGGTCCTCTGGATGCTCCGGGTATTCTGGGCGCTCAGGTTGTTCTGGGTGCTCGGGAGCAGGCGCCATCACGGACACGCGTTCCCTGCGTTTGGGTGTGACGAGGCCAAACCATGACCGTCTTCGGTTCTCCTTACGGGTCGGGGTAGAGGGCGCATTCGACCCGTTTGAGCCGGTCGAAACCATCTGAGCCTAGTTGCGCTTTAGCATCAGAGGAGGGGTGAGGAAAGTGTGGAGCTGGGGTGGGGGTCGCGAAAGGAGCGTAGGTGGAGGTAGCAGTGGTGCGCGCGGGGCGCGTTGAGTTTTCGTGTGGATGGGTCGGTTCGGGCGTGGTTTTGGTACAGTATCAAGATCAAGACGTGAGATGGAGAACAGGATGCGGGAGAGATAAGACCGAGGAGGAAAGAATGGAGTGCGAGATTGCAATGAATGAATGTGTGAGGTGGAGAGAGAATGAGAGATCAGAACATGACTGGAGCAGATGGACGCGATCGCAAAGTCGAGGAGGGGTCGCAACCCGCAACACGCAACCCGCGCAACCGGGCCAGGGGCCACGTTCATGGAGATTCATCTCCCCAGCTATGCTGCATGCTGCATGCTGCATGCATTCTTTCAGCTCTCAGCACGCGGTACCCGCCTCTAACCCATCATGTACTGAAGACCCCGCTCCGAGCCGCGCAGCTTATGCGTAAGACATTACACTCTGCAGTTTGGCGATGGCGGTGGCCGCAGTTGGGGAGGGAGGGGGCATGTCCCGGTGAGTCCAGGTACGGCGTTGTCAACCCTCATTCCCATCCCGCTCTGCTGCAATGCACGCGATGCACCCCCCACCTGGTCAAGCTTCGGCCCGACCCCAGACTTTGGGAGGCATGGAGGGCAATCAGGTGAGACATGCCGGTTATGAGCCCTCGAGAAGGCCGCAGTGCATATCCGGGGGGCTGTACAGCATCTCAGCTCTGAGTATCTCGGCGTCCTCGGCACCAGAGATGCGCAGTGGATGGATCGATGCATGCGACGGCGCGGAGGGAGCCGCGAGACGCGTGCTGATCGTGCTGATGGTGATGATGGGTGATTCCACTGCAGAATGTGCCGGCTGAACAGGTCCCGCCTCAGGTCTCTCTGTTCCAGCCCCTATCCGGCCCTTCCGGCCCTTGGCCCTTGCGCCCCATCTTTGCCCGGCACATACCACGTGAAGTCCACGCGCATCGTCGGACCTAACCCTCATCTCCGCGCCTGCCTGCCTCCACCTCCACCGGCTGCTGTCTCCGCGGTTGCTCTCGGTGCTGCCAGTTGCCGAATCCCATCCCAAATCTCAACATCCACCTTCTCCATATCAACACCATGGCTTGCCTCAACTTTGTCCGCCGCGTATGTCGACATTTGGGACACTCCTCATGACTTCAACTGACAGCAGACGTGGCAGAAGACGATCGACAAGGCCGGTGCGTCTCATTCTTCCCCTCATCTACGCTCTAACCTCTAACGGGTACTAACCGAAGGCCATGACGGCAAGGTGTTGAAGAACGTGAGGATATCCACGGGTATGGCTAACAGAAGATGATCGTCACTCAGGCAAAACCGGGATGGGTGCGCACCGAGCTCAAGATCGGCACCGAGCACATCAACAACCACAACGTACGCCCTATGTCTACCAAGCTGACAACAGACGATCCACGGCGGTGTAATCCTCTCGGTACATGGAATAGAGCGCCCAGGCTGACGTCAGATGGTTGACACGGTGACCTCGCTCGCTCTCCAGTCAAGGGGCATTGTACCGCCTACCGGTGCCAGCGTGAACGCATCGTGCGAGTTTGTGCGCCCCGGAGGCCAGGTCGGCGACACCATCTTCGGCGAGGGCGAGGTCACGCAGCTCGGCAAGACGCTCGCATACACACGCGTTAACTTCTACAATGCGCAGGACAAGATTGTCGCGTTTGGTTCGCATACCAAGTTCATGGGCAAGAACCAGCCGAGCGTGGGGTTCAGCCCCGACGGTGAGACCGAGGTACCTCTTGAAGGCAACTCGAAGCTGTGATAGATGCATGGACTTGCTTAAGCTGCAAAGGCGAGAGCCGGGCGGGTTGGCGGTAAGATGGGCTGACGAGGGGCGCCGCGGAGTGGGTTACCCCGTGCTGTTCATTACACTGGCGGCTATAGCCGAGCGACCAGGCAATCGCGGGGCGGGGAAGAGCGGAAATCGGCGCTGATGCGGCCGGGAATTGATCCCGTCTTACCAGTCGGAACAGCCGACTCCAACTGGAAACATCTCGATAATCTTGAATACCCACTTCACTGCAACCCCACATGGCGTACATCACGGCCGGCGACCTCGACCGCGTCCTCCAGCGCGCAAAGGAGAAGGATGCGCTCGGCGTCAAAGTCGCTGCCGCGATCGCGCTGATTGAGGGCGTACTCGATGATTACGGGTGGGTGGATTGCTTACGTAGGGGAAGGCACTAATAGCAGGGAGCAGGCGGTCGCGCTGTCTTTCAATGGGGGAAAGGACTGTGAGTACGCCGAGAAGGGAGCTATAACGGAGGGTGGGACACGACGAGATGTTCTGGCAACATGTTGGCGGCGTTGGCTGTGGTGGTTCTGGAAGGAAGGCTGCACACCGCACAGCCGGTGGGCCGGCCATCGACCGCGCCGCGCCACTCGGCCCTCTGCGATTGGCATCGCGGCGAACCACGCCATCGAATGGCCAGAGCACTCGCGATGCCGTGGAGATGTGGAAGGTCGAAGGAGACGTAGGCGACATCGCTGTTCCCGGCTCAGAGTGCCCGGTCCTCGGACATACGTCCGGGGCGACTCACCCCGGCACCAATCCGAGCCGCCTCACCACTACTCTCCTCCACGCGTTGTCCTTCGTCTCCGCTGCGCGACCCATCCGTGTCGTGAATGACTACGAGTAGTCCTTTGTGTGACACGTCGCGAAGGATGGCTTGCTAAGCTCGGGGTGATCAGAGACCCTGCCCACCCTGTCTTCTCCGCAGTCGCCGCTTGGTCAACCACTCTTCCCTCTTCTCCCTCCCCAGCCACCGCTGCCTCGCTGACAGCAGGTACTGTTCTCTTGCATCTTTTCGCCGCGGTCCTCTACGCACGGCACAACACGCCCCAGTATCCTCCTCCCCGCGCCATCCACCACACCCCCACCCACAATCCACCACACGACGAGCCCGCGCTGTCCGCCAGTTTCCGGGCGTATCTCGAGGGGCCCGCGGCGCCCCCGCCCCCTCTTCCAGCCAATGTGGCGGAAGGCGAGGCCGCGCGCTCCGCCACGCACCACACGCCGGCGTCCGACAGCGCTGCCATCCCCTATCCACCCATCCGCAGCGTGTACTTCACCGCGCCGAACCCCTTCCCTGCCCTCGAGAAGTTCGTCATCGACTCGGCCACACGCTACAAGTTAGATCTGTGGCGCTTCGGCGGGGGGATGAAGTCCGCGCTGAGCGAGTACCTCGGGTGCGGCGGGGGAAGTGATGTGCGCGCCATCCTGCTCGGGACACGGCAGGGGGATCCAAATGGCAGTGAGTACAAGCGCATGGGCTGAGGTTGGCGTGATAGCCTGGGGGTTTGGAATTGGTCGCTGGACATCAGTCGCGACAAGTTGGCCGAAGGTTGGCCGATTTCCGTGATGGGTGACTCACCAGGGTGGAGGGGCAGCGGGTCGATATCCCGTGACCATTCCGCTCCCTCTTATCTCCCGTGCTGGACAGTGAATACGTGGCGGGGGTGGGAATCAAGCAACGGCGCATCGATCGCGACGATCCTCATCTTTTGTCATCGTCGTCAGAGTGCTGACCGCAGACGTCGCCGTTCTCGCCCCCACAGACCCAAGCTGGCCGCAAGTGCTCCGCGTCCATCCCGTGCTTGACTGGACGTATGCCGAAGTGTGGCAGTTTTTGCGCGAGCTCGACGTACCCTGGTGCAGCCTGTACGACGAAGGGTGAGTAACCTCATGTCACTTGGGATCGCGCTGATGCCAGATTCACGTCGCTCGGATCGACGCATAATACGGCCCCTAACCCGCTGCTCAAGACGGACGCGGGATACGAGCCGGCGTGGAAGCTGCAGGACCCCAGTCAGGAGCGAGCGGGGAGGGGTGTGAAGGCGATCTAGACGACTGTACTACTATTTTTTGATGTGTTCTCTCATGCATTCATCCTGCACATTTGAGGACGCACCAAGCGGGAAGATATTTATAGTAGTGTCACTCCCTCCACACAGTCTCGCCCGCAGAACCTCGATGCATTCCCCAAACCTCCAGACCGTGTACCAAACTACCGAGAATCAACCCTTGCCCGTCACCCTTTCGCTACCTCACTCCAGCTCGCACGTCGCTCCGTCGGTCCCGCGCGGCGTGGACCACCGTCCAAACTGCTTCGCCCATTTGCCGCGGGTGGCGACGTTGCGGTTACCGTCACCTCGGGCGGGGCGCCGGGAGGCCCTGCGCTCCCGTGGTCCGCATCGACCGGCGGGTCGTCCTTGACGCTCAGAGCAGCGGTAGCGCCCACGAGCTCCTCCGCCCCCTTCACAGGCGGGAAGTAGTCGTCGACCTCTCCGCCCGGGGGACCAGCTGCCGGCCGGTCCGAGTTATTGGGAAACACCTGCGTCGTCGGCGTGCCGAGGGCGGCGGAGCCCCTCGTTACCGGTCGGTAGACGGGAGCGCCGGGAGCAGCGTTCAGCAGCGGATTGCGCCCGCTATGCATCGGGCTTGTCACGGGCGCGCCGGGCGAGAAGGGCCCGGTTGCACCTGGCGACAGGAAGGGGTGAGGCGGGGGCGGCGTGCGAGGGTACGCGTTGAAGACAAAACCAGGCATCGATGGCGTCATCGGAGGAAGGTTGCGCGTCTGCATCGGGCTAAGAGGGTTCATCTCCGTCATCGTCGGGAAGGGCGGGAGGGTGATGGGCCCAGGGTGGCGCGGCTTGTTAGCCGCAGCGTCGTCGGCAGCGCTGGGCCGGACCGGCGTTGTCGCTCCCCCAGTGTCAAGCTGCCATGGGACGCGAGTCGAGGCAGTTGGAGACACCGCTGGTCCGGTCAACGAGCCAGAGGAGAACGCCTCACCGGCAGCAGGGGGTCTCGTGTTGAGACCGGCTGACGCGGTTTGGGGCCACCCCTGTGGGGATGGCTTTGCCGCAAATGCAGAGAAAGGCTCAATAGGATGGATGGGCTGTATCTTGCCCTCGTCAATCGTTTGCCGTTCCGTCTGGACGTTGAGCATACGCCCCTCCACCTCGTGGCTACTGTTAGCTAAGTCAAAGGTTTGAGCTCACCCGTTGAACATGGTGGCCGCCCGCTGCGCATCTTCTGGTGACGCAAGAAGTACAGTGCCAAAGCCACGCGACTGACCGTCAGGAGTGGTGGCTACGCTTGTTGTCAGTTTACATTCCGCAACATGACTCACTCGGCGCGGATGACGACGCCCGCTGGTCTGAACAGGTCTTTTAGGTCCTGCCATTGCATTGTGAAGGGAAGCTTAGATTAGTTATCTCTGAAGCCTGTTTCAGACTCACATTCTTCACAAAGCATACCCGATCGTAGACACTGTTAGGTGCGCCAAGATCTTTGGCCTGGTTTGCGAGGCCATTGAGGGGAATAGGCGGGGGTATGAGTACGGGTGTAGGCGCCTCCGAGCTGCTCGTTGACGGGCGTCGGAGACTGGCCGATGACTCGAGTGACTCTGCCGAGATGGCCGGCTTGCTGAGAAGGCTAGGGCCAAGACGTCCACCAAGAGGAGGACGGATGAGCGTCTCGCCGGGCTCAAGCCCTCTGTTCGGTGAGATTGCGCGCTTGCCGTTCGCGCCGAGGGGTAGAGCTCCCAGCGTCCCCGGCGACCCACTGCGATCGCTAAAGACGTCGCGGGTGCCACCTGGCCCCCACCCGCTGGAGGCTGCTGCGGAGGCGGTCGCACTTGGTCCCGCGGTGAGAGATCCTGCTAAGGGCGATGCTCCGATGGGAGGCACTGCAGGAACGTGTGCGGCGAGCGAAGGCGGTGGGCGAACAAAGGGCTGGTGGGGCGCATGCCCTCCGTGCGAGCCAGGCCCGAGGTGATGCCCGAATCCGCCGAAAGGCGCAACATGATGTGGTGGACGCCCATGCCAGCCACTGCCGCCGCCAAAGTGGTGCATCGGTGGGCCCATATACCCGCCGAACATGGGCTTGTGGTGTATGTGCGGCTGCGGCTCATACTCTGGCGGCAGGCGGTCCGGTCGCACCTCGAGCGTCCGCGTCTGCCACGTAAAGCCGTTGAAGCGATCGATGGCGCGCGCCGCATCCTCGCGACTCCCCATGAGAACGTTGCCATACCCTCGACTGCGGTTATCGGGGCCGAGGCTCACGTCGGCGCGCAAGACGGTCCCGGCCTTTCGAAACAAGTCTTTGAGGTCCTGCCACCGTACTCGGTACGGAAGCTGTGGTTAGCGGTGCTGGGGTTAGGTGCGCAGTCAACTCACGTTGCCGACAAAGAGGTTTACGCGCCCATCCGATCCGATCGCCGACGGCAGAATGTTGGTCATGAGCGGGGTCAAGGATCGGGTAGATGCTGGAGTTAGCGGTGCGACGCGCGGTGCGAGACGGGTGAGGGAGGGAGGAGACGTCGCTGCGCTTCTGTGGGCAGCTTCCTCAAACACTGATGTGCTCCACCTAGTCGATTCCGCCTTCCTCCACCGTTGCCGTTAATCTCGTCCCTTGGGATCATCCGCATTGCAGCGCCTCTCGCCCATGTCTTCTCCTTCTGCCCAATCTTGGGCGTGGCAGCTCACCTTCGAGACCCATGTCCATCGGTGGAAGCGCGGGGGGAGCGTTGGCGGTTGCTGCAGCAATGACGGCATCGATCTCGGCCGACGTGGGGGGCTGGCGCGCGCCCATATGTGAATGGTCCATGGCTAGTTCAGAGCCCGAGATGCTTGGATGGCTTGAGCCGTAGGAAGGGCTGCTCTCACGAGCGTCGGCCATGGCTGTGTGTTAGGTGGAGCGGGAGGTGGTGGTTGGTCAACAACGTACGCTCGCTGACGACGACGCTGTGGAATGCGGACAGGAAGGGAACGGGTGCGAGTGCGAGTGTGAGTGTGATGCGGTGGAGGGCAAGTGAGTGATGGGGCTCTTTTGAAGTGGGTGCCGAGGGAGGGTGGGATAAGACTGGAAAGAGTGGATTGTGGGAGGGGTATACCGGGGAGCTGGGAGGTGAGGAGAGGAGGGTGAAGTGGAGATGGATTGAAGATGATGATGGAGGATGGAGGAGATGGAGGAGGAGAATGGAATCTAGTCGATCCAGGTGGTAGTAGCGTGGTAGCGTGGAGATTGAATAGAGTTGGATGCAACGAGGGTGGAGTGGTGGACGGATGACGCATGATGTCGCTGCACTGTGCGATGTGCGACACGACAGGTCCGCGCTGGCTGGCCGCTGGGCGCCGAGGCACCTCGAGGCCCCGAGGCATGTGGCTGGCTCACTCGGCGGCGGCAGGCGGCGGCACGCGGCGAGCGCGGCGACCTAGCGGCTGGCGGCTGGCGGCCTGGCGGCTTGCGGCTGGCGGCTGGCGAGGACGAAAAGAGAACGGATGTCGGTGCTGATCCAATCTCTCGCAATCTCGCTTCTGTCGCTCTGTTCCTCTCATGATATCTATCATGCTCTCTTTCAACCTCTTCATCCCTCTCACTCTCCTATACTCCTCGCCATCATTCCCTCCTCTCTCCCCGTGTGCCATGACCCCCATGCATGCCATGCACCCTCATGCCCGTGCACAAGCTGAAACCCAGGGCTCTCCACCCGGCCGTGCCACTTGGAATGCTCGAAGCGCGATCCATGCTCGCTCGACAATATCGACACATGGACAATCGAATGTTGTGAGATGGGGCGCACAGAGCGCCGCGCCCACCTTGACCACCTTGACCACCTTGTCTCTGGCGATGCTGTAAGCTGTGCATTACATCACCACGTCGCCCGTCGCTGCGTGGCTGAGCCTGCCCGCATGATCCCTACAGAGCTACGGAGCTACGGGCCTACGAGTGTCGGCGCAAGAAATCAAGGCCGATTGATGTTTTGCCCGCGTCATCGCGTCGATTCATGACGCCCCTTACTTTTACTTTCGCTCCTTTTTATTCCTCCCTTGATCGGCTCTTCCCATATGAGTCTCTCTTCGCAGCAACTTACACCAACATGTACTAACACAATTCAAGTCCTATCCGTCAACAATGGTCTGCTCAAAGCTCACACAACTCCGCTCCTCCACGTCGACGCGTGTGCAGCAGATGTACTGAATTTGGTGCGACGGTGACATGAAATATCACCCCTTCGACCCTCGCCCCTGATTCATATGTACGTGCCTCGGCACTCAACGTGACCCCTGAAACCGCAGGGTCAAATACAGTAGTCAACCACCGCTCCGGCCATCCGGCACATGGCACATGGCGTGAAGTCGCCAAGTTGCCAAGTCGCCAGATCGCCAGCCTGTTCCAGTGTTCCAGTGCAAGATGACTGCTCTCCATCGCCTCTCATGCCTCTCACTCTCTCACTCCCTACCTCGGAAACTCCTTCTCCCACTCGTGCTTCTCCCAGTAACCTCTGCAGCAGACCAAGTAGCGAGGCCAGTGATTACTGGCGCCGAGCTGAAATTGTACGCCGAAGTCGTCTTATTATCAATCGCGGTGTCTTCAGTGCGAGTGGGCTACTGCAGCTCTTAGAGACCCCTCACACTCACCTGCAGTCGCATTTCCCGCTTTGCTGCCTCCTGACTAATTATAACCGTATGCATCAAACAATGGCGTCGCCCACAGGCGACCTACAAACACGAGCCGTCAGATCAATACGCAGGATACATGGACTGGTGTGGCTGTGCGTTACCAGGCGTCACGGGAACGTACACCCCACCCATGGGGTACTCGTTCTTGTAGCGCTGGGTAGGGGCGCACAGGCTGCAAGCACCAAAGCACATGGCGACAAGGAGGAGGAGCTGATGTTAGCTTACCACGAAGGCGCTGAGACTCACGAAACCGCACAGCGTCAGTGCCATGCCGGGCCCAGCGTGAGCGTGCAGCATGTCGGGGCCGGAGACCTTAACGGCCAGCCGGATGGCGCGGTAGAGTCCATAGTTGAAGCCGAGGGCGAAAGCCGACGAGCACCAGCTCACGACGAGGAAGACATAGGTCGTGATGCCCCATCGCTTCTGGCGCTGCACTACAGTGAACGTCCAGAACATGAGGGTGATGGCGATGAGCACCGTTGTGAGCGGCACGAAGAAGAGGCCTTTGGTGAGGATGGAGACAAGGGAAGGCACCTTGATGCCCACGACCTCGAGGTCTTCAAACAGCTTGGACTCAATCTTCCAGCCCATGCCACGGTCGGTACAGACCTTGCCTCTGTTGGCGTCAGCGTGGGAGTGCGTTATGCGTGTGGAGATAAGGGGAGAGAGTGGAAGCGGTAGAGGGAGGGGAGGGGTAGGGAAGCCGGGGAGGACGTGCAGTTCAGTGACTCACTTGAGCGCATCCTTGTAGCACGCGCCATAGATACCAAAGCTGGCGCGCCACTCATCCTGCGGGCCGAGGTTGACGAACATGAGCGAAAAGTCGCCAATCGGCGTGGCGAGGTTGAGCGTGAAAAAGAGGACGAGGGCAGCAACTGGAGGTCAACCCGCCGCTGATGTCGCGGGGCCTTACAGGTCAAGCAGGCCAGGAACAAGCTGGTGGTGGAGCCGCGGAGGGAGTCGGACGTCATGGTGACAGAAGTGCTGAAGGGGACAAGCGGTGGGTGGAAGGAGACCGAACGAGATGAGGTGAAGTGGGAGGCGAAGTTGTGAGGGTTGTGGAGATAGGCGAGTTTATAGCGAGACAGATTGGGAGACGGAGGAAGGTGAGGATCGACAATTTATGCCTTGTTGGTATACAAGCTGCCAGCTGCGAGTCGAAGGCGGCTAGAGGGCTGTAGAGGGAACTTGTGGGGCGACGCTGTGCATGTGAGTGGCGCTAGTGGCGGGCGGCTGTGTGCGGTGTGGGGAGCTCAACGCACAGACCGTACCAAGCGGAAGGCCGTAGCGCACAGACGTGGAGATGCATGTGAGTGCTTGGTGCGAGAATCAGCAGCACAGCATGTGAATTATGTGAAAGTGAGGGTCGTATTCACCTAGTCACAGCGCCTCCCATTTAGTTAGCGTGTCTTGCGCCTCATATTCGCGCTGCACGACCGGGTCCCCGGCTGTTGTTTCATGGCTTCATGGTGTCAGTAAATTCAGTGAGAGCAGGTTGGGGGGTCAGCGCCAAACCAGACGACCCGAGTCATAACTGTATACATCATCTAGAAGAGGTCGAGCAGGTCTTGCGTCCCGCTCGATGCTGCTGGCTGCTTGGGAGGCGGCGAAGTGGGGTTTGAGCGTGGTGGAGAAGGGTTGACAGGTGATCCGAGCCCGCTGAGGCTGCCCAGGCCACTGAAGTCGTTCGACTGAGCCATACCCCCCATCCCACCCATACCTCCAAAGCCCCCAGACGGCTGGGTGGGCTGTGCTGGGGCAATGCTCGTCGTCGAGAACAAATCCATGAGCTCATCGAGCGGGTTTGTCGACTTGGCCGCTGTTGCAATCTGCTGGCTCGAGATAATGTCAACCCCTGCGCTGGCCAGATTGCTGGTGGGTGTCTCGGGTTCGTCGGCGTCAAAGTCCAAAAGGTTCTCAGACTGCTGGCCCTGCACGACTGTCTGGAGGGCGCGCTCGCGAGCGACATCATCTTCAGGTCTGGGGTTAGGCAAGATCGCACGGAAGAGAAATATAAACGTACTCAATCGTTCTCTTCGCCATCTCGTCGACACCCAGACGACCCTTGCCAATGAATGTCGCCGCTGGCTTGTGGTACACGCTTGACAGCGACGAGATCTCACCGACGAGCTCCTCGAGAATCGCTGGTGGCACAGTCGTTTGAGGCAGGCTGATTGGTGGCCGGACTGCGAGTACCACGCTTTTAGCGGCCGCAGGATCTGACGACAACAACCGCCAGTAGATGTACGCCCGGTCGCGGACGTCGGCATTGTCCGAGTCCTTCGTCGCGGCTTGGAGCACGCGCTGAACAATGGCCTGGGACTGGTCAGGCTTTTTCAGGAACAGCTTGACGATAGCCGTGAGCGTCTGCAGCTGGACCTGAATGTCAGTGGAACTCCAAGGTGCCAGAAGTCTCTGCCGCTCACAGGATAGCTCTCTTCTTTGAACACATCAAGGAAGGTGGAGAGGAGGTCGTCGGCGTTCTCGATCTTCTCAGCGTACTCGCCGATGATCCAGATCAGGCTCGCGCGTGCCTCGGGCTCGTCCAATTCATCAAGGTTGGCGCACAGTGTGGGAATGATCCCCTCGTAGCTGTGAGGATACTTGCGGAAGATGTCCTTGATGACAATGACGGCCTCTTGCACAACGTAGCTAACGCGCGTCTCAATAAGCTCCATGAGAACTGTAACACAGCGCTCGGCCGCGCTCTCAATCTTGATCGCGGCCTGTCCGATGGCGCGCACAGCCTTGCGCACAAAGTCGACGTCGACCTCGCTCGCGTACTCCTTCAGCTCACCAAGGAGAATGTCGACACTGCGCTCGGTCGCAAGGCGCACCATGATGTCGAGCTTCTCAACCTTGACGTACGGCGGATCATTGTACTTGCAGAAGAACACGCGCATCTCGTTGGCGAGCACGTCCGGCTTCTTCTGCAAGAGCAAGTTGATGTTACGGAGGGCGACCCACTGCACCTCCGGCGCAGAGGAGATGAGCGTGACGAGCGGCGGTGCCATCTTGCGCGAGAGCGACTTGAGCAGGTCCTCGCGCTGCACGTGCTTAATGTGCAGCATGATGACCTTGACGGCGCCGAGCACGACGGCGGCGTTCGCGTGCTGGAATTGCGGCATGACGCGCTCGCAAATGTGCTCAGCCTCGTCGACATCGCTCGTGCGGTAGCGCGACAGCGTGCCGAGAATTGCGATGCGGCCCCACTCAGAGCACTCGTTGAGCGCGACAAGGAGCTTGGTGAGCGTCGGCTGGTCGATGACAAACAGCTGCTTGCTCGGCCGGGCAGAGGGCTCGTCGTCACTCGGCTCGTCTGACATCTCCTGCGCCGCCTCGTGGATGTCGCCAAGCGCCGTAACAGCGTTCGCGACGACCATCGGGTTGCCGTCGCCCAGCAGGTCACGAAGTGTCTCGATGAACCCGTACTCAATGCACATCTCGGGCTTGAGATCAAACACCTTGGCAACGCACAGTGCTGCTGTCTTTCGCACGTAGGGGTTCTCGTCCTTGAGACAGCGGGAGAGGGGTGAGGCAAGGTAGTTGAGGATCTTCTCGGCTCTGAGCACGGACATGGTGCGGATGGCCAGCGCGCGAATGAGGGGGTTGGGGTCCGCAGTGTCCTGTTCATGTCAGCGCGTGCACGCGGTGAAAAAGGCGGCGGGATCGCAAGGTAATGGAGGAAGGAAGGACCAATAGGGGGATATGCAGCGAGGAGGGGACAAGGTGGTCGGAGCACCTGCGCACCTTCACAAATGTGTTGACGGCGAGGATCACAAGTTCTGGTTGCGTCTTGGCATAGTTCATGAGGTAGAGATAGACGAGCTTCTTCTGCTCCAGGTCGTCCGTTTGCTGGCGTCAGATGCGCCCTGTAGCCGCGCATTACGCACCATGTTCTTGACGACGTCGGGGAAGAGGCCAGAGCAGTCCTTGCCTATTGTGTGGTTTGCAATGACCCGCTTGATGGCGTCGGCGCGCTTCTCGCGATACTCGGAGTTGAGCTGCTGCCGCAGCTCCCAGTTCTCGCCTTTTCGGGGAGCGACGGCCATGGCGAGGGTGGACGGTGAGAGACAGAGAGTGGATTAGAGGGAATGGACGGACGTGACAGCACAGCACAAGATCTCAAGCTCTCCGGGATGCAGGATGGAGTTGGCGTCGAGGTGGCACGCGCCAGTGCGTCAGCGCGTTTTGCTTCCGCTTCCCCGCATCGTGCCTCCCTCCACCCCCGTCCTGCAAGCATTAAAAGATCAGAGATGCATGCAACCCTTGTCTATGGCGCTGAGATTGAGAATATGCCCGTCACTCGGCCTTTGGTCTCTTGAGGACCACGGCGTCCCCGTCGAGCTCGTCCTCGGTGGTGTCGCGACTTGCGCCCTCGCTGGATTCAGACACAGCAGACGCAACGAGACGCTGGTCGACAGTGTTGTTGTCGGTACGGATCTTCTCCAGCGCCGTCGCCTTTGCGACAGATGTTTCGATGGCAGCCGCCGTCTTAGCGGTCGCAGGAACAGGCTGCGAAATCTTCTTGAGCGCCTTGAGCATGGCGTCGCGCGTAGACTCGGTCAAGCTCGACACGTCCTCGAACGTCAGCCCCTTGGTGGGGATGGGTGGCAGGACTGCTGTTAGCTGTGTTGCAGTGGCGTAGCTCACTCCGGACGCGCAAGGTGCCAGGCTCAAAGCGGGTGCGCCCGTCGAAGATGCGGTTGTAATTTTCGCAAACGATGCACACCACGGGCACCTGGGCCTGAACAGCGAGGTGGAAAGCGCCCTTCTTGAAGGGCAGCATGGTCGGCTCGGGGTGAAGGGAGCGTGTGCCCTCGGGGAAGACCCAGAGGGAGACGCCCCGCCGCTTCATGTCCTCGCCAGCTTGGGCAACGGTGCGGTGGGCGTCCTTGCGATTCTTGCGGTCGATGAACACGGCGCCCGACGCGTGCACTGACGTCAGCCCGCACGGGCGGTTGAGAGCTCACTGTACTGGCCCAAAAGGGGCGAATACTTGAGCTCCTTCTTAGCCATGATGACAGTGCGCTCGGGGAAGACACGCCCGAGGAACAGGATGTCGAGCATACAGGGGGTCAGCTTCATCAGACGTTGGGAAATACCTCTGGTGGTTGGCGATGACAACGGCGCTCTGGTGCTTGCCGTTGTTGGCGGTGGAGAGGCCGTCGAGATGCTCTTCGCCTTCGACAATCACTTTGATGCCCACGAGCGGACCGCAGATCTTGTAGAATGAACGTGCGACATAGTAGTTGATGTTGAGTCTCTGGATGTTAGTTTTGCTCTTGATGGATCGTACCTGGCCCGTGGCTGACGCAAGGATGGTGACTACGAGACCCCAGACACTAGTTGTGGCGAGAGTGGTGAGATAAACAGTGACATTGAAGTAGAGGCGGGCCTTTTGATTCTTGCGTGACAGGAGGCCGAGTGCACCAAAGGCAACTGCCGAAGCGATGGCGAGAGGCTTGAGGACCCAAGATATGGGCATTGTAACGAGTGTGATTGTGGTGGGGAGGAGGAGGAGGAGGAGGAGGAGGA